ACTGTCACTGACAAGAGCTAGACAGAAATTCATGAAATCATTTTCGCCGCTACCCATGAGCGACGGAGAGCAAAAAACATGCCATTCCCCGCCATCTTGGAAGTGGTTTAGACGTCCCTGAAACTATAATTAATAATCGAGTAAATTCAATTGCATTAAGCGCGAAAGGACAAGGTAAAGACTACATAGTACAGTATGGTATATATGTATATTCAACTGAACTGACTTCTACTTTGAAAGCTACTTAGATCATTTCAGCTTCTTCACGTTCATCTGTTGCTTCAAGAAGTGTACTTGTGTTTATTAAAAAAGCATTGATTTTATTCAGCCACATCTCAAGATCCAACGGGCCAACAGAGGCCGTTAATGACCGATCGTGTGGGGCATATGTTGCATTCCTACAGCTGCAGGTGGTTCGTATCAACATATGCGGGAGATGAACTACACATTATAGCTAAACGGTTGAAAAAAGAATATAACATGTTCAAGAGAAACACTTTTGAATAAAACGAGGCTTTGAAAAACGCCCATAGCTTTATGCCTTTTCTTGATTTTGTCATTTTATTCATTTTTGTTAATGTTACGGAAAATCTATTATCTCAGGAATGCTATTCATTTTTCATTTGGGTACAAATTCTTAGACACCCTGTAATGCTCAGTTCCAAAATTTTTTATAATGCATTCACGAAGAACAGGATTCTGGACTTGATCTTTGAAATTAAAAGGAAAGCAACGGACTTTGCATGTAACATTTATAATGTTAGGATGAATCCTTTAGCATCATTTACAACACATAGACACGCTGTAAATTGAAAAATGGAAATCGACGAAATAATGGTGCTTGAACCAAGATAAATACGATACATCATTCTGTGAACATGATAATCATTATGCTGGCGATTTTCAACTTGTAATTGCAGGCTGTCAATAATTAATCAGTTGTATTTTGAGATACAATCCTTTCAACAGCATTGATGATATCATCGAGCTGTGATAGAAGCTTCGAGCTCGGAACTCCCGCAGTCCGTGGAAGTCGATCAGCCAGTTCAAAATGCGGGTTACTTGTAATTAAGACTGTTTGGGTGGATAGTATTGGTTGGAGGGCATGTCAATGGCATGAAGTCAATACTTTTAATCATTCGCTAAACTCGGAACATGCTCACCTGAAACATGACACTCATTTGTTATGTAATGTACTACAAAGCACTGTGACATTTCGAAACGGAGTATTCGTATCGTTTAACAAATAAAATCAATCTTGAAATCCTGCCTCGTTCAATAGATCGCAAATGCTACAGTTTTTGTCTCCAAGAATTAATGAATTCAGTCGATTTTTAAATTTCTTAAATGTCAAGGGATCTGCTGCAAATGGATTGTTGATAAATTTAACTTTCTGCTTTCGTTTAAGGCGCATGCGTAAATTTCATTAAATACCTTTGATTATCTTATTATCCTGAAAAGAAAAACAGTTTTCTTGGCCTAAGGAGCACAACTGCTCTTTTAAGGTAACCGTTAAAAACAAGGCTTGTCGTGATCCTCATTAACAAATTAAAACGAACGGGTGAAATATTTGAACACAAAATATTTACTCGAGTCTCTTGCCAAATTGCTTGGCTAGAAGACATGGCATGTGGACCACCATGCACTAGTGAAAGCGTTTATTCTGGAGTAAAAAAAATTCAGATGTTATTCTAAATATCGTAATAAGAGTATTTCATCAATTAGAATTCAAACGGACACTGTCCTTTGTGAGATTTTGCATGCTTTCGTCTAAACTTAAAATCATTTGGTCTTCCATTTGTAAAAACATCTGTTGAGGCTGATCTTTATCTCGCTATAGCGAAAAACAAAATGGCCGTTTTTACCGAAGGATCTTTTTCAAAATATTGCTCTTAGAACAGACTAAATAAAGCCGATGTAGATGGTCATATGAACTAAGACTACATACTAAGTTCAATGAAGGTATGTTTATTACATTTTAGTTAATTTATAGCAAAAGTCCACACGGAATAGCGTAAAAAGCAATAAAACAAACAGGGCTTGATGATAGCGTAAAGCCACATTGTGGCCGAAGAATAAGGTAATAAAATATCACTAAAGGTCTAATTAAACGATGCTGAAAATGTCGTAAAACCTGTGTAACTTGAACACCATTGGTACCTTTAAATAGCATTCCACTTTGGAGTAATGGGTAATGGAACTTGTTTGAAAAATGTTCCACTTATGGATGTCTTCCACATACAGGAGGGGAACAAGTTTAAATTAAATGTATATACGGTTCAAAATGTCAGTCACCTCTTTTGATGTGTACAATGTCATGGCATCCAATCTCTATTCCCTCATCAATACTAAGCGCATCCGATCTAATACATCAAATAAATAACCCAGCGTTTTTATCATACTGACCCATACCTCACAAATCACAACCATTGGATAGATTATCTGATGCCTTTGTAGATGAAGCGTATTTGGCTTTAATCAAGAAAACCACATATGCTGTAAATCACAACTTGATATATTTGATCCTATCTCAGCGTCTTAGGGATAGAGAAACTTGCTAAGTCAATGAACACGTAATACTTTTGATAGTAACTAGTTGTTGATGTTGTCCGCAGCCTTTATTTGAGTACCAAGGAGAGCAAGACATTATCTTCTGCTCGGGAGTCTCACCTCACTGGTTGCCTTGGTAGTATTATTTCCGCTAGTCTGATTTTCTAAATCACATCATGACCCACTTCTTTTTCATGAATGATTGAAGAGTTCAATAGAATGGATTGGTATCGATATGGAGAACTGAATTCAACAATGTTTTTCTCTTAAACCAGTCATTGAAAACATTCGGTAAAAAACACAGTACTTTATGTAATGTTGACTGATTGACAACAATTTAATGCGAAATTTTTTTAGAAATATTTCATTTAACTGTTTTTGTTAACATTTTTTTAATTCCATTGTTTTTGCTCCTTTCTACCAATTCTTGAGAATGAAATAAAATGTCTTTCCGACCCTTGTTGGAACAAAATAGCATATACAACATTTTTTTAGACCTCTCAATATTATAGTTATAAAAAGGAATTTTTGGTTGATTTTAAAAAAGTATTCAAAAAATGTAAACAAAATGCCCCTAAAATAGATAAAAATCAAGATAAACATTTCCTTTGTACAATTTCAATATTGAGAGACCTAAACATGTTGTGTTTATGTCGTTTTGTTCATTGTTCCAATGAGGTTCGGAAAGATGTTTCATTTCACTCTGGAAACATGATCCCAAGAACAAAACAAGTGTTTGATGTGTTTTCTAAAACAATATAGATGAAAGTATATATATATATTTTTCAAATTATATTGTTACCATTTAAAAGATGACCATTAAATTGACGATGTTTAAATTTTTAGATTTTTTATGACTGGTTTAAGAGAAACGTGTGTTCAAAAAGTTCTTCATATCGACACCATCCTTTTGATAAATCTATTCAAAATACAATAAGCTTTTTTTTAAATCGTGTATAGGTTCTCAGGAGCTCACATCTGACCTGAAATTTGAGATTTGACCTTCAATTTTGAATGAAATGGGGCAAATGTGACCTATAGGCATAAGCGCTGGGTGCTGGCCGATTAGCTACTGTGAAATCATACGATTGCCGGGGATTTCATCGTGAGTGTGCTCACACATCGTACGGCGGCCGCATAAGATTGATACATGGAAATCGTACGATGATCGCACGATGATCGTACGATTTCCGTGCGGCATCCGTATGGACATCTTCATTTGATTTATATTTCATAATACAGGTAATTGTTATATACATTTTGATTTGTGATAACTTTCATATAACTATTTACCAATTAGAATCAAGTTTTATCAAATCATTGTAATCACAGGATGACCGTACGGACGCCGGTAGGGTAGGCTCTGAAGCGTTTGATCGAGAGAAAAATCTGTGAGACTTCGGCAACTTTTATGTCCGAGATAAAATTCTCTCGACGCCCGTACTATGTCTAAAAATCGGCCGGCGTCCGTTCGATGCCCGTACGATGTCCGACCGATGTTAAAAATTACTAATCGGACGGAGCCCGTACGATGAATCGGAGCGAGGCATTTGTAATACCATCGAGTGATCGGGAACAGACAATCGACATTTCAAATAAGCACGATCCGTTTAATCCTCGTGGATTTGGGAAATTAATTCAAATGAAGTTCAGAACTTGCGTGAGCGAGCCTACCATGTACTTACCATTAATTAGCTACTTGATCAGTTGATCACCCTTCACATTGATAGTGTTGAATTGTCAGCGCGACATATTGGGTTTACAAGTAAAGATATAAGATTGGGAGTTTGTATTCCATCTGATAAATGGACAATTATGCAATTACGTTACATTATACGCAAAAATCGTACCTGGCTATCGTCAAACTGTCATGGTCGCCTAATAATTCACATCAAAAGATAAAAATCGAGCAATCTAATTGATGAAATTACTGTAATGACCTTCGATAACAAGTCGCTACTACAGTCTCAGCTGTGGTGGCTAGCCCTTATGGCTCAGGGGTAGAGCGTCTGACTCTGAGCGGAAGGTCCTGGGTTCGATTCCCGTACGGGAGCACACCCTCTTTCGAGTCTAGTATCTGGCTTGGTACACTACAGCTCCCCGACGGACGTGCCCAAGGGTCGTTACATTGGTGTCAGATGTGGGATTGCCATTGTGACCCAGTTACACTCAGTTATGGGACGTCGTCTTCTAGAGGGGGATGGTGTAACTCCCATCACATTAATTGGAAGGTCCTGCGTTCGATTCCCGTACGGGGCATTCTCTCTTTCGTGTCTGGTATCTAGCTCGGTACACTACAGCTCCCCGACGGACGAACCCAAAGGTCGTTACATTACAAATGAAATTCCTTGAGAGTTAACTGGTTTTAATTGATTGCAACTTATCTTCAAACAGAACATTATTTCTTTCAATGATTCATAATCTGTGCACTTTTTAAAAATATTTTACAGAGAGTAAGCAGAATTATATGGATGCGACTCGCTTGATGAAGAAGCTGTTCGGTGAGGGGACTTACGATAAAAGAGTTATTCCCGCAAATAAAACCACTGGTCAGATTTCAATTGCGGCCTCCATGACGCCCCAGCAAATTTTGGATTTAGTGAGTAGATTTTTCTACATTGGCCAGTTTGGGCGTTATACCAAAGTCAATGCTCCAAAAATATGAAAATTGGGTTAAAACAGAGTATTGGTCATCGTTATAACATTTGGACATTATAACTCACTTATCACTAAGGAGAATTTGATTTACACAGAGTTAGTTAAGAGATTGGAACTTACGAGAGATCTTGATATATTGTCTTGTTTCTTATTCTGAATGTTGTGGGACTGATTTAGAAACTTAACTGGGTTTCAAAGTAAGTGATTATTTGCAGTTTAGTTTATATTGGTATTTTGTCAGGTATCGTCTCGATACAAAGGCTGCATACTACGCCCCTTTAATCAACTCCCGCGATTCCGCGGTTCACATTTGGAAAAATACCAATCTTTAATTGGTTGATATAACGGATGGATAGGTGTAGTGGCATCTGGGAAATGTCTTTATTTGATGTAGAATCGCGATGGTTTATTATCTTCTCATTATGCTCACGTTTGAGGATTGTTGAAATTTGTCAGATCGTGCTTAGAATAGAGATGCCCGCCAATGAAAATCATAATTATAGTTACACCAATTTCTTGTAGATCAACTCTGATCATGAATTTTTCGCTCACCAACCTACTTGAATAACTTAGAAAATGTACTTCTAGATCTGACTGACCCAATATAGATATTGTTCATGCGAAAATACATTTTACGTATCCCGGCGTTATTGGTTTTTTCGTTCGAACATTTCAGTTGAGAAATATAAATCTACAAATGATCTATTAGTCTCCCATTGGCCTTAAATCACCAGACTTAACGTTTGACTTAATTAGCCCAAGGGCTTTAATAAAGGATATGAGATTACAGGTTAAGTGGCCATTTCTGACCCTAAACACCCTAATAACGTATTTTGAATATTCGATATATTTTCTTGCAATTTGCACCATCTGAATATTTTGATACTCTGAACCTTATTTTCTGTACATGTCAATGCTACAAAAATGCTCATTTCTAGAGGGTACATGTGCACATTCTTGTTTCAAAAGCAATTAATGCATATACTGCGCATGCGAACATTGCAGAGAACAAGGTTAAGTTTGAGAACCTACATGTAGCTATCGGTCGCTCAAGTTATAGGTTATTTTCATTTTACTGTATATGTGTCTCAGAATCAGGCACTCAGCCTCTCTTAATTCGAAATCGGTAAATGAATGACACCCGAAAACGTCAGTCACTATATGTGGCAGATTTTCTATATATTACGCACCACTACACGACTCATCTGCAATGAATTTGCAGTCAAGCGTATTGACTGTTCTCTGGCAACTCCATAATTCCTAGATTCACCGATCAGTCTTCATCTGTTTGTATGTCATATATTATTTCATCACCATTAATTACGTATACGGCTACAAGATATACTCTCATGAATTTTATATCCGTTTTAGTGAAGTTATTGACAATTTCTGTGATTTCACATTCATGAAAATATTAACGATATCGCCTTCAGCGCAACGACAGGATACCGAATACCCTTGTATTGATACCGTCATTCAATTGGTGAATGGGGGACTTTATGTGCTCTTGGAAATTGGAATTGAAATGAACCAGCCATGTTTACAGTGGGCAGAAAACAATTTATTCAGGCTTAACCGATGTCAGTTTATAGAGAAAATAATAGAAGAGATGGCATTTCAGAAGTTGTCTTTTCTGCACGAACTCCTCATTCATCAATCAATAGATAAAGACCTAAGTTTGGATAAACCCATCTCCGAAAGTAAGGCAACACCTTGAATTTGTGTTAAAACCCGTTAATTAAAGGGGCAGCAATGCCCATAGAGAGAAAATAGGAACATTTTAACTTTTTCTGAGCTACATGTGTATCAAGGCAACATTTGGCTTAACATCTTCTTTGACATACCTATTTTCTTAAAATGTATGGATAAACTATCAATTTCAGCATAGAGGAAGTGGAAATTCAGTTCAAAGCTTCAAAAAGGTTGAAATCCACTTATATATATTTTTAAGATCCACCATGTTTCAAGAGGAATATCAGCTGAAATTTAATAATTTTTATGAAATGAAATATTCAAACTTAAATATATTTTGACACTGGTCCATGATCGTTGAATGGCCCCTCTGCACTAATTGTTGCACCTTTAATATTTGCCGAATTTCGAAACTCACCTAAGTCATGATTTAACGATTTGGTGTTAATTTGAACATAATTGCAGACGGAAGTAGGCCATCAAACGTTGAGTAGGGATTGCAAAACGTTTGAAAGGTAGTATACATTAATGAATGAAAGTAATGGTGAATGTTCCTTATCGAGAGGTTGGAATGAATTACAGTTGACCCTATCGAGCGTATTATGTTTGACAGCATCATTATCTCTAGAGCCAATGGATCGAACGTGGATTTGCGACATGTGATAAACCGCGTGCCCTAAGATAGCCCCAAATTGTCATTGGTCAGCTAGATAGGACAAACTCGAGTTTGTTGTCCAACGTTTGACTTTTCATTTCTTCAACGTATCTTTTCATTTGTGTACCGTTTCAGTTTTTAAAATAGTTTGCTATGATTTTCATTCATGAAAACATTACACGTTGGAAATCAAAGATCGTGGTTGTAATGCATCCTTCATTCAAAATACTTCATTTATTAGTACTAAGGAAGAGAAATAGACTTGGAGCAAGGATGGTTTTAATGTGATGATTTTGTTTTATCTGATATGTACACGTCTGGTTTTTTTTATAACATGGAATTACAATTACGCCACTGTCGACATCATCGTCGCAAAACTATTTTCGGTTCTGATCGTATCGGATTCGTATAGTTTACGATCAACAAATCAGATGACTGAAATGATCATAAGCATTTGATAATATAATTTATCATTGTTTTTTAGGATGAGAAGAACCAAATACTGAGAACCATCATATTTGTTGACTTTGTAAGTACATTTGAAAGAAAAGTTGCACGATTCAGTATTAATGTAAATCGTAGAAATACTTGAAGTCATGAATTAAGTCAAGATGTTTACTTCATAATTGGAATCAATACCACCCTTAACATCGATTGATTTAAGGAACAATTAATTTTTTGAGGATACCATATCTCTGAGAAATAGTAACATTTCAGTACCCAAATTCTATAATAAAGCCCTGGGTAGTGAAATGGGGGCAGTTCGTTAATTAGTTAAAACGCTTTTATTTTACGAAATTGTACATCTGGCCGTTTAAATTAATTAAATCATTAAAAACTGAGATATTGTGTCCATTCCTGCAATGATTGATTTGGATCCACCCTTTCTGTATTTTCAGATGTGGCCAGATGAGCGGCTTGTTTGGGATCCCAGTGATTACGGGGGTGTAGACCACGTCCTTGTCCCTAACGAGATGGTCTGGAAGCCAGATATGATTATGCGAAACAGGTAGCAATAGTTATAGTATTCACTATAGGTCTGTGGGCGTGTCGATTAAATGATATCATGGCATGGGTTAAAAGTACATATGGGCACCTTGTTCTTTATATTATGATTACATAATGAATAAACGTGTACACTGTCTACAAAAATATGGTATGTATGATTTCAATTATCCAGATTTCATATCCATATGGTTGAGAGCTCTCATTAGCACACTTACATGACGTTTTGACATGAATAAAGCAGATCAACCTGCCCAAGATCCTTCTCCATCAAAGGAATTCCCTATGTAGATGACATATGGTTTTTAGTTTTTAGAGCTTCATGTACTCTATTGCATATTTACAGCATCACTCACCCCCAACAAATGTTGCAGCGAATACAATTCAAAGTTTAAACTCCTTATATCGAAATGATCAATTGTCGTCGGCCATTTTGACTGATACGGTCACGACTGTCAGTGTATCTATACTGACCAGTGGTATTAATAGTACCGCCTGCTACCGTCAATACACATTAGATGACATTATGAATATCATTTGCAACTTTCCATCAAATTCTTCTCTTTAGATGAAGGAAATGAAACTTGAATATTGATTGGTTATCAGTTAATTTGGAACTCCTACTTGGTAAGAATTGTCAATATAAACATGATAAATTGATCATTATCGCGTAATTAACCATCGCTTAGAGTGCCTGTAGGTAGTCTGTCGTTTAATTTGAAGTTGTGGTACTTCAATAAAATCAACCACTTTGAATCAAATAATTTCCCGTTGAGCAAATACACAAAATATCTTTGATCATTTCAGTTATTCTATAGATCTTGATATCGAGACGTATTCCGTTGATTCATCTCGATTTTATGGTGAAAACTCATTTGTACGAATCAAGTTTACATTGTAATTGAGAACTTTACGATATATCAGTCCTAAGTTTGTACACGTATGATTAAAAACCATTTAACAGCATATGCAACAAGGCATTGCCATGCTAAATGTCACCACCTGCAATTTGTTACAAACGCCGAACGCCGTCCAGAAAAAGTTGGAAACTAAGAGGAGGGAAAGCCCCAGAGTTTTAAAAGATGATAGACATAATTACGTCTCTTGCTTACCACCTTCGCTCGTTCGAATTTTCATTGGCTAGTTTTCAAATTCTACACTTCGATGTGATGTTTTAAATTGATATAGGCACATTCCATACATCTTTCTTCATCTTGATGTGAAATAACAAGCTACTATCAGTATGTGAGTATGATATTGGTTAACACGCCAGAAATGAACATAATATAAATATTATTCGAAGTGTACTTCGAAAATTTTGAAACCGCCATTGATGAAATTATTTGTCTGGCGACTTTTAACCAATCAGAGATGTATGTCATCTCAATACAGGTTTACATTATAAGCGTATTTCATCTTTGAACTCTGGTGTTATTCCCCCTCTGTTGGAAACTATAACAATATGTCACCACTTCCGGTGGTGACATAATAATATCAAATTCCGATATTTCAAGACTTGTTAAGGTCTAGTTCAAACCCCAATGATGTGTGTGTTTATCGTTTGTATCGAAATTATTTCAACCACCGAATACCTCAATTAAATCATTCATTGAGGTTTTGCAGCCATGATATACGGACTGATATGGGGCTTCAATTACTAGCGTCAACCTGTGATACAAAGTAGTTATTCACCAGGAGGGATTTGATATTGGGAATATCAGAAGGATGGTATCAATATTTCCCGAGGGAACGCAATGACTGGGGGAAATATTGATCTATTGAAATACTGATCATGTTTAAAACATTTAATGTGACCATAATGGTATCCAGGACTATGGTCCAGCTGGATAAGTCCAATTGGCATAATATATTTTTATATCGAAGTATGCATCTTCAATATTAGATATGACACATACGATCTTATATTTTCTCAACCTAAACATGTCGAAATTAAAGTATATTCCCAATAGAATCAACGTCTTTTAAAATATATTCCAGTCGTACTTTTTTCTCGGACAACCAGAATGTAAGTAACTGTGTAAAAATATCTTATAACATTCACACCGGAATAGCATGACAACGGTAAAGTCAGATACCGTTGTCACAAATTGCGGACATAACCGTCGAACTGTTTAATCACTTGGTCCTCATTTCATGGGATTTTATCGTTGCTAATTCTGTGCATGCATTAAGCTCTTGTGATGACGTTTCATATGAAATCCCAATTTCGATCAAATTGGGTCGTGAATCGCTACAATATAGCGATATATTATTCTTCAAATGTTACTTCAATATAGCGATATCGTCAATGACAACAGAATGTGAATTTGAGTAATTTAGAAAGACAACGGCATATGGTAATTACAGTGTCTTGTATTGTATTTTTTTTTTGTTTACCACCAATGAAGGCGAGCAATACCTGCAATACCTCTAGGGTTTGTCCCGTATACTATATATACGGTCGTAATTTACGTAATTAACATGGAAGATAGACCCAGAAAGATCAGAAACCCCTCCTTGAAGGAGCCCTGTGTTCTTTTATGTGCACTTATACATAGACATACAAGTACACACCACAGCCTTTTGTACGAGTTGCGGACCACTCAGTCAAACACCCTGAAGTACTTCACGCAAACAAGCAAATTTAGTCTTGCCTGAACCGGGGATCGAATCCGGGACCTATTGCGTAAGAGGTAACCTGCGCTACCGCTGAGCTACACGGGTGGACTACCGGGTGTCCGTTGTCCCGTATCGCATTTTGATCTATTAAATTAAAGACTTAATTTCGATGGTAGAACATTATTAACCGTACAATGAGTATTAAGACACGTTGGTTGATTGTTGTTCCAAAGGGATTTAGTCTAGGTGCTATATTAAACATACAGTCAAGAAAATTTAATTGAAGAGACGGTCATGTCCACCATTTGTTGTTGCCGTTGTCAGGCTATTCCGGTGTGACATTGGGATTATTCAATTATTCTTCAAATGTTACGCATCATTAGTCCTGCTTATCTATTAGAAGTGAACCATATGACAATCATGTGAGTCGTAGTAGACTACTTACGAAAATTTCTATTTTATGGAGTTTTTTAAAATCATGCAAGCAGCCTATCAGTATGATTTCCATAAACACTATACGTGCTATTAGCTCTAACAAGACACTTGCATAATTACCTAATTAGGTATAAGCACCTAGCTTATCATTAATGATAATATTCAGTTTTTTCGCACAAGGGAAAGGTCATATTGTTTGCAATTTTCCCTTATTAACCACGATGAGCTGTCAAATATAATGCATGCCATGCTGAGGACTTTGAAGGACTTTCAATAAATGGCCAAGAATTCATTGGGTTTAATTGTATTTTAACATCGGTTTAAAAAACTCCAAGGATGAAAATATTTAAAACCGTATTTATGATATTAAAACTGTTAATCATATTTCGAATTAATAAATATGAAATATCTGATTGATATGTACTTTCGGCGGTTGGTATTCGGTGGTCGGCGGTCTATAACAAATGGCAGGTTGTAGCATTTTGCATGTTAAGCCTTGTATAAAACTGTCTGTATGAAAAGTATTTAAGCATTGAACTCAATGCTTTGTTTGTAAAATATGTCACTCATGGATTATTCCTTCCTTCAACCTCGACAATATCCTCATGTAATGCATTACAGATTCCAAGATGAAATTCATAAATTCATAGTAAGAAAATGACACTAGGATCTAGGACCTAGTGCTTAAAGCCACACAGCTCATTCCATTTTTTCTCTTTCAGCGCTGGCATGAGGATGTTCTTTGCGTCTAAGTTTGACGTCAGCGAAGTGATCGTATACAGTGATGGGAAAATAAACTGGTATCCTTTACTTCTCTCTGAAACCGCTTGCAAGATTGATGTAGAGCTATACCCATTCGACTACCAAGAATGTGAATTTCTTGTCGCACCTTGGAGCTATGACGTCACGGTCATGAACTTTTCGTTTGGTTCAGAGCCACTCTCCACGAAATATATACAGCAGAATAACGAGTGGCACGTTCTTGGGAGCGAGGTCGTGTTTTATTTGGAGCATTTTGACTGCTGTCCAGAGGCGTATGCTACGATGAAATTCATTTTAAAGTTATATAGAAGAGCGTCTTTTTACACCATATCACAAATTATCCCCTGTATACTACTGACGATATTGACAACAATGGTGTTTTTGCTGCCCCCAGAATCTGGCGAAAAGATATCATTGGGTAAGATACTTTGTTTCATTATGCCATAGGGCCTTTACCATCTGTGAAATTCTTCACCATTTACACAACCCTTTATGTATACTTTTGCAATTTTGTCCCGACTTTAGAAGTCGGCTTAGCATTTCTTTATTAAAAAATGATTTAAATAGCCTATGTTTCACTTCATTGAATTTTATCATTCTTATTTTTACATATTTGCACTGCGTCAAATGTGAAATTCCAAGCAATTTCTAGACGTGCAAAGATAGTCTAGGAACTCCGCGTATCTAGAGATTCCAAGACGTGTCAAGAGGTGCAAAGACCTCGCGTGTAAAGAGCGTGTCAAGAGTTTTGATATCTCTTTGCACAGCCTTATCAAAACAAACAGTATAATTAGACCGGCCACATGTTGTTATGCCCTATAGTCGCGCTTAATTATACTTTACTAGGATTGGAATATAACAATCATTTTAATTTCGTGTTAATAATAATTTGTGTTTTTTAAATCATTATCAAAATAAAATTAATTTAAAAGTATGCGTGTGCGTGTAAGTATAGGCAATAGCTTAGTCGAAATGAGTAGATGTGTGCAGATGGAGATCGCCTATGTATTTTGCTAAATCTGACATTTTTACAGGATCATGTTAAAGATCAAATGAAAACAAGAAATGTGTTTTTCTTAGGTTTATCTACCCTGATTTCGAGTGATTTTAACTTGGACGCATATTCCTAGATATTAAAACAGTTTGAATAATTAACAAAGTCCACTTTGAACCGTGTCAATCAAATTGTCAAATATGTAGATGGCACATGCAGGCCCGAATACAGGGGGGATAGATTGGTTCTAGCGACCCCCTCCCCCCTCCGTGACCAAAATTGCATTTTTTACCCCATACTGAGCACCTTTTAAATTATTTTGCTCATTTTTGAACTAACATTGCCAAAAGTAAACTCCCCCTGGAATTTCTTAAAAAAGTAACCCACCCCTTGGCAAATCCTGGCTATGGGTCTGAAACGCCTGAAACATGCTCTGATATAATGAGGCATATTCTGTGATCTGAGCATATCAGATGGGAAGAGTTATGAATGTCAATAAGTGTGATTGTTATCATGTAATCATCTACCTTAATGTCAATACATTACATAATGTAGTAAGGCATTGTACATGTATTTAACAACAGGCACATCCTTCTTCAAAGGACTTCATTTATACTTGTAAAATACCCTTCCAGCGAGGATGCAACAGGCACAGTTACACAAGTTTTTTATGACCCCAATTAGATGAAATATGAGCTGGGATGAAAGATCTCAAAAATCAAGGGCTGGGAAGATTTGAGATGTCATGGTTTACTATCATGACGCTGAAACATGTGTCGCTTATTGTCACCTGTATTGATCATGATGGGGCGACGGCAGTGCCCCGAGTCTTTTTGAACTGTTTAATCTTATTAGTTACTATTTAAAATTGAATAATTTAGGACCCCGGAAGCAAAACAACTCTTTGTTATGAAAGGAATACACCATGGACAGAACCCCTCATGTAAACCATCTATAAATACCTTTGAAATCAATTTGATTTTCGATCTACATCTGAATCTCAGATGGAGAGTACTCTTTGACAAGATCAACATTTAAAAGTGTAGGAAAGTTTTGATAAAGATGTTTAATAGCTAATTATTCAGACATATTGTTCTTTCATGTTGACGATCATCGAACATAATTGCAATCAACTTCCATGATATTTGCAATTTTGAATTTTGAATTATTTTGAATGCAAATGTACTCAAGTACTATATCCTGAGTTCTGCTCGGATCCCCGAAAACGTTTAAAATCAAACTCGATTATTTAGCTAGACTTCAAAATAAGGGATTCAATAGAAACATGAAATCCATATCACTGTATAAATTGTGGAATTTCTAGTAATTTTTTGACGTGCTTAGCCGGTCTAGAAACTCTGCGTATCTAGAGATAGAGGAGGGGAGAGAGGGCTAATTTTATAGCTGAAATTAAAAATAGCTTATGATCTATAAATATAATATATGGTTGTTCTTATAATGAACAACTATTGGTTTAATATCTGATATGTGGACGGATATTTCTTGATTTGGTTTAAAAAGAAACTGAATGTAGGGTTGCAAAAATGAGAGAGACAAAGACGTTCGAAGGGTGGGGGTAAAATTTAATTAAAATCAAGCTGAGACAGAATGAGAATAAACATATCTGTTAGTTGCTCATGTAAACGAAAACAAATTAGAGGGTTCATTAGCACCGCAGACCAGATTTGCAAAATTGGGGGAGTGCATTTTCCCAGGATTTCAAACAATACTATATCTAAAATGTTGCCCCTCATATGCCTGGGTCATATTTGCTCCGATTCATCGGCCGGGGGCCGGCCGATTGAGTGTTTTTTCAAACATGAAAACAATTTTAAACAAAATACTCAATCGGCCGGAGGCCGGACGATGAATTTGAGCAAATGTGAACCAGACATTGCAAATTCCTTCAAAATTGAACTAGAAGTTTCAAATGAAAGCCATTCAAAGCTCCTTTCTTCTTCCTTCTCTATTGGTTAAGCAGGGGGGGGGGGTGCGATCATTCACGAATCGCACCCCCCCCCCCTGGTTACGCCTATATGTTAAAACTTTACACATATCAATATTTAAAACTGTATCTTGTAAGTGGCTTATTAAGCATCAGATCAATCACTAAGAACCCCTCTTATCTGCCGTTTGCGTTTGGAAGGATAAAGACAAAGGGGACGCGGCTATCGCGATAACGTGAAATCTTTATGACATATCCCTTCACCAGGGCCTACACCAATATTCTTAACACCACTTATTAAAGGATGCATGCATCAAGGGGTAGACATCATTCAAAAGGCATAAACATGACCGGGTCGGTCAGGGGAAGGTTTGCATACGATGCAATTTGTACATGCAAGCTCATTTTTCACATATAAATTAATAAAGTCGATTCGTTGGGAATACGTTATTGGGTTTATAAGCGTAACGAGGAGAAGTGGTGGGTTCGCACCCCCTCCTACAAGCAATAAAAGGTACCATAAGGTAGAGGAAGAAAAGAGCATTAAATTGATTTTTGTTTGAAGCTTCTAGCTCAGGTTTGAAGGAAGTTGCATCATTTTCGTAAAAATTCAAAACAAATATTTTTTGCCTCATTTATGTCACGATCGCACCCCCCGACTGAAAACCTAAAATATTTTGGTGATTGCATCACCCCTCCCCCCAACTGAAAGCTGGCTACGGCCCTCGGGTTTTATCGAAAACTATATCGTCAACATGTTATCATTATGCGGAAAGTCCAATATGAAATCTTAAATGGTAAATATGTTGCATTTATGGAGGGAATTCCACTGTAAATTATAATGTGAATGTTTGATATGAATACTTCCATACAACCATCAATATCCATTCTTTTGAAATAAGATGTTACAACAAAGGGAATATTGAAAACTACAGTGGTAAGAGCATCTTTCTGACTGCTAATTATGTGTATCAACATTTTGATTGCACCTCAGCTGGAGATTAAATCTTATAATAATTTGATCAAAGGGATTGTAATTTTCCCCAATTCGCTTATCTATGTTACAATCTGTATACTTGTTATATTGTGAGCGGTATGTGTTGATAAACCAAAAAGATATGTTTTTTGGATATCAACATTTAGAAAAAAGTGTAAGATACCATTCTATATGTTTATCTTAGTGTTTAGCATAGGTAAGAATGGGGGATGGGCTGGCGGGGGTCCGTCTTTGAATAATTCCAAGGGTTCATATTCCAAGGGGTTCATGAAAGATTATTTGGCCAAGGCGTCCGCTATTAACATGAGTATGAATTTTATAAAAAAATTACTTGAATCAAAATCGAAGAATTCCTTGCCCCGTGTGTTCACCATTCACCCCGGGGGTTCACACTCGGCTCAGGTTGGGTACCTTTTTTACATTTGGTATGTCAAGCCAATGGACCCACATTTTAAGACAGATTTTTCCATTTTCTGGTATAAGAATCGGTGTGGAAAATATGTTACCCCTCAATTGTGGTACGGCATTGGTCCCGGAGCATTGGTCTAGTTGTTACACATATCCTTCATTTGAGGTTGTTTTTATGATCATTTTACTCAAATATCTGCCTTCTTCTCAGGGCATTCGATATTTCGAATGGCCTTGGTCTTATACTCTGGATATTTGGTACCCGGGGGTATGGCATTGGTTCTATATTTGGATGTTTGACATGGCATTGGTCTTGTGTTTGGACATTTGATATGGCTTTTTGGGGTTTATTTTAGTTTGTTTGAGAACACATTTAATGCCACCCCCCCCCCAAATTACAAATCTACATCTATTCTCTCTATCCCAAAGGTGGATCGGAAGCATGAAAAACAGATGCAGACTCGGGACAGTTGCAAGGGGGGCTATAATGGAGAAATTCGTTTTGATTTTGAGTCTAACTGAAATATTTTGTCACAAATATTAATTAAATACGCAAATAGCCTGTTTTATTAAATGAGACTAGGGCAAAAAATCTATTCATTAAATCTAAAGCCTAGACGATATCTTCTGTAATCAAGGTGGTTTTGGTACACTTCCGCAATTATAAAAACAAAAACATAGACTTCTGTGTTATTAATCTTTTGTTATCATATCAGATTAAGTCAGTTTTGTCTCCGATTGTTATGCAGGTGTGTGTATCGACTCCAGTGAACAACATTAAGTGAATCAATCCTTGAAATTCCCAAATTCATTCCAAATTCTGGCCGTTAACCCCCCCCCCTCCCCCATGTCTCTTAATTACATTTATTTTGCAAATGATATATAAATTATAGATTAAAATATTTCATTTTCGAATTGCACAAAGGGCAACATGTGAAGATAAAACCGCGATCCTAAAGCTACTTGCGAAACAAAGTGGTTTATGGTCCCCAATATCATTATTATATTAATACCAATACAATGTACCTCTATGAATATCATAAATTCACTCCTTTTTAATATCAATAGTCAAACAAATTAAGCAGTATGCTACAGTTGGTTATCAATCGGAGTTCACGACCTATTGATTACTCTTTAATACAAAATTTAACCATTTTAGAATGGGTAACTCACACCCCCCCCCCGTCCATGTCCATGAAGTGCGTAGACTGACATAATAGTGTCATTTATTAATTAAACATCACTGGTTTATATTGAGACATTCAGTGCGATTATTTCATTTCTTTGTTCAAAAAGTTAAAGCACCAATTAAATACATATTTTTATCACACAAAAGGGGCAGAATACTTGACCTTGTATCAATTCATATCCCGATAATTCTTTACAAGGGAATGTTTCTTATTAAAACATAAGCAGCGCCTAGGCGTCGATTGGGGGGGGGGGGGGTCAATCCAGTGTTCTCAGGCTATGTACAGCCAAGTATCCTGTTTATGTAAAAACCCTACGTTCCCGAATCACAATCAGACAATTAATTAGTATATTTGCTGTGTCTAGCAATTGATCATAGAATTAGATGTTGCGAAAACTATGGGAACTTGTACCTGTCTGCTTATGGATAGGCTGGGAAAGAACAGCAGAGAGAATGGTACATTCGATTGAATATGCTTGTTTTGCCCAAGTGTGTATTAAAATGCCCCTCATTTATCATATGTATGGTCACAAAATAAGTCGGCGATAATTTGTATTGACTTAACTTGAAACAAATTACTCCGAAATCCAAATACTCATCGAAAAGTAAGGTTATCTTTATATTAAGCTAATACAAAATAAATATATAAATAGGCCTGATGTATCAGTGTTTTCAAAGTTTATTGCACGTTTTATCCTTGAAACGCCTTTCTTTTTCTTATCATGATATGTATTTCCTTCACTTAGGATCAATGCGTCGATTAGCATTGCCTGTAACTGATTTATATTTTCAAAAGGCGGCATGAAATTGCCAAAATGTTTAAATAAGTCAATGTGTCAGCGTACATACAAAATAGTCTGTTTAATATTTGCTACATGTACTTGTTCCAAACAGTCTGCGAAAGAATGATTAAAAAATATATCAATTAAAAGTATCAGAGAAAATACTTGCAATCGTTAAAATATTGTATGTATTGCTATTGGTAATTAGGTTAGTTGTTTACAAATAATTATGTTGTTCAGTGTGCCAAGAGCGTGTCAAGAGATTCCATTAATTGTCACAGGGCGTGTAAAGACTTTTTGACATGGTCTTTACACGTCTTTGCACTGCGTGTGCCAAGAAGTGCAAAGAGGTGTAAAGAGTTGAATTCATCGCGTGTCAAGAGGTGTAAATAATTGGCACGTCTAGAAACCCGGCGTGTAAAGACCAGTTTCTAGACGTGTCAAGAGTTGGAATCCCATATTTCACGCAGTGTTGTATGCACGTAAAGATGAGTAATGGTTCAATGTATGAAGTACAATGTTCTGTTTCTGAAGGGCATTGTACCAGATCTTCTGTTTCTGATGGCTGACTAAGTGAATTGTTAATTATACTGCTAAGTTAGTACTGCCCGATATATTAGTGTGTAATCGAATTGTGAAGGTATTATCAATCAGTGTTAGCTTGCTCCCAGATATGCAACGAATTCAATTGGTATATATCCGTAGCAAAATTGACAATTTATTAATTATCACACGCTAGAGTGAACACATTTATCCTCACTAACAAAGTTAGGTGTGGGTATGGTGGGGAATGTCCTCCATCTGTCAGTTGGTCAATGGTTCGTCCGTCTGTATGAGCAATAACTCAAATACCAGGGAAACGGTCTGTAAGATGTCAAAGTTGTAAATGATTGAACAAAAGCATTTTCCAAATACCTGCTAATTAACATGACTGCTGCTATGATACTTGAATAGTGTTAAGCAAATCAATATAGACTCCGCAATTAATCGCATTTTGACAACAACTTTGAATTCCAATCATTCAAAATTCTTCACTTTAATTGTCCAAATGAAACGAAACTTCGCCCTTGTTCTAATTAATTCAATAAGGGGTTGAATTAGAGCAGGTCAAATCTTTGAATTTCACGAATATATAGTGGTTCTTTGTTTCAGTCAGTAAAGTGTGTCATAATATGATGTGTACCATAGGATGTCTTGTTGCACGATTCCACGAGGAAATATATTTACCATACAAGATAGTTTATATTTTCATACATTTGGTTTTTTCCAGGTGTAGCTGTGTGGACGTCGCTAGTCGTCTTCCTATTAATCTTAGTAGAGCTTATTCCAAGAAGTGCAACAAAGACACCAATTTTAGGTACCTTATACTATCACAACAATGTACAATTATGTAATCGTATACATATCATTTTGAACAAGTTTTAATTTGACACTTTCGTTGTTAGTATAATCGTATGCTAGTAGTATTTATAATTTTTAAAAACGGACCCCTGTACCTTTCATTGTATTTTATGAGGAACATTAATGACTTGCGACTAAATCTTAAGTTACGACGGTTTCAAAAAACGGACCCATGTATCGTTCATAGTATTTTATGAGGAACATTAATGACTTGCGACTAAATCTTAAGTTACGATGGTTCCAAAAACGGACCCATGTATCGTTCATAGTATTTTATGAGGAACATTAATGACTTGCGACAAAATCGTAAGTTACGATGGTTCCAAAAACATGTATCGTTCATTGTATTTTATGAGGAACATTAATGACTTGCGACTAAATCTTAAGTTACGACGGTTTCAAAAAACGGACCCATGTATCGTTCATAGTATTTTATGAGGAACATTAATGACTTGCGACTAAATCTTAAGTTACGATGGTTCCAAAAACGGACCCATGTATCGTTCATAGTATTTTATGAGGAACATTAATGACTTGCGACAAAATCGTAAGTTACGATGGTTCCAAAAACATGTATCGTTCATTGTATTTTATGAGGAACATTAATGACTTGCGTTCAATGTATGTAGTGTGGCTGGAACACTTAGCAGTTTTAAATTGAAGGACCATGACTTAGCTTGAAAATAAAATTGTTACCACGTAGTGTTTGCTCTCATCCTTCCATTGCATGTCTATTTTTAGACATCTTAATAATCATCAATAGCTTTTCTCTTTTTCGGAAAATAAAAGTTAACATTTTAAACAATCTATCCTTTCAAATCCTTCAATTAAAAAATCAAAAACATTTTTAGGATAACAGAAACGCTTGACGACTTCTGTCCCGGCTACTATGACTGTTTTAGATTTATACAGGGCGTATGTTTGAAGAATTGACCGTTTTGTAGGTGTTTAATAGTTGGATTTAGAGAATACTAAATAATATCACTGCTTCATTTATTTTTCTTTTAATCTTAGAAAAGCGAATGGTTTAAAAATATAAAGGTACAACAGAGAGTAGAGGCAAGGCAGAGTAATTTTCTTTCTTTTTAAAGTGATGTTGTAATTTTACTTTTTTCAGTTTTGATCACATTCCTGGCTTACTCTTCAAAGTACATTCCAAGAGTACTGACTCTATATCATGATGATTATTTGTTAAGTTATTGACTGCAGAAAGCTTTAAATGTTCAAAAAGTCCAATATTTCATAAGCTACTGTACATCAGTTTTTTTTTTATCTACATAAGCATTGTCAGGAAAATACTGCCATTTTTTAAGATAACTCTCAACAATATACACGGTGTACATTCTCTACTCTTTGTTGTCGCCTTTAACTTTCTTAGATTTGATTGTCTGTTACAATTGACTCTTTTCCATATAAATGGAAAAATAGATGGCATCATGGGTATCGGTAGCGCTAAATAACATGGCAACTTAATAGCAAGAGTCGCTTAATTAATTTCTTGATTTAGCATGTAATTCCATTTGGATCAACTTAAAACACCATTGGAATGTAACTATATGATATTAATGACATGTGGGTTCATATTAAAATTGTGATCTTTATAAGAGTAAATGAAATTTTAAAGGTTTTTCAACATTGTGTCAATGGGGATTTAGCCCGACCAGAAAGAAGAGAACTTGAAATTTGAATAAAGGTAAATGACAATTGCAAATCAAAGTTGTTTTGATAGAGAATTACACACAGAATTCAAATATGCCATCAAATGGAAGAGAATGTTAGTATTTAGTGGTTAAAATGTAGATCTCCTAAAATCTCATTATAAACGAGACTTTTACGAGATTTTAAAGCTATATGGAAAAGCCTCTATTGTGCATGTTTGCATAAACAAAAAATGAGAATGTGATAAGTGACAATAGAGTTGTTAAACTTGGACCCTAATGGCTTTCCCTGAAAGATATCAGCATTATTGTCTCTTATAATATGAATCCTATTTCTGATGAAATGCATGGGTAAATATAATTTTGTATTATAGGAGTATTCTTCATCCTAACCCTTGTACTGGTAACACTTTCACTGGCACTTTCTGTTATAACGACGAGAATACACTTTGGAGGACATGGCAAACCAGTGCCTCATATATTACACTGGGTAAGACCATATCACTTCCCATACCTGTGCACGCGCATCTGTGCACGCGCATGTCTATTCTTTGCTTTCACTGCGCATGCGGATCTTTGTTCCAGGACTTGTTTGGCTGTTTGTAGCATGCCGCTTGCTAAGAGGGTAACGATGCAGGTGGTATCATTCGCTTTTAACAGTTATTATTGCATGCCATAAGGTTGTGGTTAATTATTTTCTAGGTATGTACTTCACGATAACTCTAGTGTTAGTTACACTTTCATTGGCACTCTCTGTCATAACAACCCGAATCCATTTTGGAGGTCATGGAAAAGATGTTCCCCCATTCCTTAAATGGGTAAGGCTTATTACGGTATATTGCCATCTTTGTCCAATCAGAGGAAACTTTTTGTCAACAGATTGCAAAGCAGGCTTAAAATTATCACGCGTCTCTTTATTAACACAGCCATTTTCTTTATTTCATTGTTTTTATACGAGAATATTTTACAATCTTAAAAATAGCTAGTTTTAATCATGTTGTATAAAAGTCTGTCAACTTGGTGTTTAGATATTGACTGGCTATGGTATCTCCACAAGGGACGAGGTTTAGTACAACATTCCCGCCTTTTCTCCTGAAACAATCATGTAAATGTACAATATATACAGATTAACATGTACGAGGGGTGATCAATAAGTAATGGACGCTTTTTTACACAGATACTTTTTATGGACCAATACCTTTGATTTTCCTACCAGTGATGCATCATTCAATTATCTATCAATTCTGAAGATTTGAAGACAAAATATATAATACATGTTGATATATCCTTATTTCCGTGAAGGAGGTACAGGTACCCCGGGACCGACATTTACGTCACATATTCAGTTTTTAGCCAGTTTGGCAAATTTCAGTTAGAATTAAACTTTTTTTATATGCAACAAGGGTTGTGTTGTTTGAAATATTTTCTGACTGGTAACACGTAAACAGTAGGTATTGTGATGTCAGAGTGTTGTATGGTCGGGGTTTGTAGGTCAATTTGAGAGGGCGTTTTGGAAGAAGGGTTTGGTGAGAGAAATAAACACCCTACTCCATATGGACAATGCACCTGCCCACAGATCTCAAAAACAATATCCCTGGACCTCAAAATTGAGCCCTTGGTCAATGCACCATATTGTCCAGATCTGCCCACACATGACTTATTTATTCCTATACTGCTTATTTCTATAGAGAAGGGACGCAAGTTAATTGACATTGATGAAATAAAACAACCCGTGCAACTGCATCTTGCTACCATGTCAGAGAATGGATTCAGCCTTGTCTCACAATCTTGAGTTTAGAGGATGAAGGATTGTGTACCTATAGCATTTGATGAAACCTATGTAGAGGGTCATGTAGAATGAATGTGGCATGAATACCACATAGTGATGATAAAATATTCAAAATCACCTATGGCATAACAAAATGGGGTAATTCATGACCATAATGGTTTGTTTTGTTCAGCCTGCATTCAACTGCGTTGCATGTTAAACAAGCTAAACTAGCTTCAGAATGTTTGACGTCATGTCGGTCCCGGGGTACCTATACCTCCTTCACGGAAATAAAGATATATCAAAATGTATTACATGTTTTGTTTTCAAATCTTCAGAGTTGAGAGATAATTGAATGATGTATCACTGGTAAGAAAATCAAAGGTATTGGTCTATAAAAAGCATTCGTGTAAAAAAGCGTCCATTACTTATTGATCACCCCTCGTATATAGAAGTAAAAATTCCCCTCCCTCTCTTTTCTATCCGTCATAGCAAAATTGCATGATATTTCAAATAGATTTGGTAACCTCCATCAACTCTGTTTTGTTTAGTCTTTACAAAACTCCCTCTGATTGTACATAGATGTGAATAATTAAGTTACAGGTGTTGTAAATAATTGGCAATCTCGTTTATACAGCTGTAATAACTGCATGTTAAGCGATCTACTGCTTATATATTGTTCTGGAGATGGAGGTTCTATTTGTTCGGAGGAGATATAACAAATGATATACCATTGGAAAGTTGACTTTATTTGCAATATATATATTGTTATATGCTGCAAACAATTCCATTTTGTTAAGTTAACAAAATATTTTTACAATGGGTATTTCTACCTTGATCATATACCTGTTAGAACTGCGATGCCTTGAAAACGGAGATTACAGTCGCCGTTATTTACAATGGCGGGTGTATGATCTTTGGTTTAATTGATTAAATTACGCTTTGTTTTAATTTGAATGGCTACTTCATCATTAAATGATATAATTCTAAATGAAATGCACATTTTGGAGAGACAGTTGTTATAAGAATCACCACGCCAAAGACAATGTTATCAAAAAGTAATACGGGGAAAACGTTACATTTTCTGTTTCAAGTACAACTTAACATTGTATAAAAAAATATGTACGTTTGACACAACGCTTTACATATACTTCAATATAGAATTAATTATAGATAAATGGTTACGTAAGTTTGTCTTCATTTCAAAATGGCCGCTTTAAATGTTTATGCATGACATATCTTTAAATGAAATTCTCGATCAGAGTTTGCTTTGCGTATTTCTTCCTAAGCTCGCAAGCTGTTCTGGGAACATTAAGGCATTCTGACAAAGGTGCAAATTAAAAATCCCAAACAATTGGCTTCGGCTAATTACTCTTAAATCTTCAGAATCTGAATCTTCAAATTAAAGGCGCTCAACAGCTGTGTTAAGGGTATCTCATATTTAAGATTTCAAATAATTTTTTTGTGGTCGATGTGCGCCAGGTTCCCTTTTTGGTTTGTTTTTTTAATCACATATACGCACGCACTTGTCATTTTGAAACTACAGGGTGTCCCAAAAATAGTACCGAGACAAAATGAATAACTCTTAACATTTTATTACACACAATTTAATCACAAAAATCTGAAAGTGTCATTTGGAAACTCTGTTTAGTTTTAGTCGAAGTTGAGTTCCAAAACCTATTTAACTTTGTTTGGTGCCCCCCCCCCCCCAAAAAAAAGATTGTACTGAGACATCATGAAATAACTCCATGAGTGATGAAGGAATATTCTTGAAATTAACTCATCTGATAGACAATTTATTTATCATAAATCCAATGTCTAAAGGTGAGGTTACTCTATTTATTGAAGCTTCTTGAATGGTGGGGGAAAGGGGGTATTAGACATTGTTTCCATTACAACTTTTTGTCCTTTCCCTTTGGCACTTGTGCTTACTGCTTATATATATATAGCTATAAAGAGAGAAGTTTGTTTTCGTCTCATAGCCCATTTATTCATGCTAGGATTTGCATTCAGCTCTGATTGAGGTCATTGAGGGCATGACATCTGAAATGTCAAATTTCTCAGTAATAATTTCTTATTAGGAAAAACGAGTAGATTCTCTAAATCCTGAAGGGGAATCTTCACTCATTTGGGTAAAATTGTTTGCGAACGTTCTGTATCTTTAGATGGTGCTGCAATCTATTCTTTATGCGCCTTATTAAAATCACCCAGGTTCGAGAATGAAAAATTGTTTCGAAAGATGTGATGCAACTTAATATATGGAGAAGCAACTGGAATGATGAAAATGAAGTCAAAATATTGTTTCACGTACGCAAAAACCAAACCAGAAAAGCGAACTTGGCGCAGATTGCCTCAATAATTGTTCAACTGAACTTTTCAAAGACGTCAATTGAATTCCAAAATACTCCAAATACAAATACATTTAATTTATTTTCAGTTTACGTTCACAGTTCTGGCGAGGGCCTTGTGCATGACATGCAGTAACAATAAGAAGAAACACAAACACGGAGGAATATACGAGCCTCAACGAGAGTCCTTACTGAACACGGGATTCGAATTTTATGACTTAATAAGAAGAGCGAAAATCTGTTCGACTAACATTAAGCTTACTCCAACCAATAAACACACGAGCACACCCGGACCAACGCCAATCAACCGCGTTGATAATATCGAGAGTCTGAGAATATTGAAAGACATACGGATGTATTTAGAAATATTTTTCGCCCGTGATATGGAAGACAAATCGCAGGCATCAATTAAGGATGAGTGGAGACGGACTGCTATGGTTTTTGACAGATTATGGTTGTTTGTGTATATAACAACCATTATGATGTGCGTCATGATAATAAGTCTCACCTATTTCAGTTGAAGTTTCATCTTTATTTTTATACCATGTGTTATAAAATATAAGACTTCATGTGTCAGAGACGCACAAAGTGGCACACCTAGCCTCAAAGAGATAGTCGACCTGACCGAGAGGCATGTCTATCGAAGGACAATGGTCATATTATAAAATGTTTAATCAACTACAGCATCATATTATATCACCGACAACACGCCAAAAGTATCAACACCATGGTAACATTTAGTGTACATGTATATGGTATATGAAACAAAATCTACCTTCGAAGTACTAATCCATGACATTGATGTATTGAAAATGTACAATTTTAACAACAGACGAAAAATGTTTACTGTCTCATTTTCCAGCCAAGTAATTACAATGTGTTTCATATGGTTTTGTAGAATGAAGTCATTGTGAATTACCTAGTGGGGAATATCAGTGACCCGTCTCTTCTTATGCAAACTCATCCTTGGGCCTTTTCATTAGCTCATATGGGTTGCTATAATTACAGTCATCTGTTTTGGGTCATTTTGCGCATTTCGGTTATAACCCCGGTCATAACTCAAGATTATTCTTGCTTGCTTGAAATTGGTACAGTTAACAATGCTGCCTATTTATGAAAGACAACATAAAATGATATAAGATAATAATTATAGATATAATAACTATTAAATTACTAATTACAATTATGTGTTAAACATATACATTTGGCTACAATCCAGTCATTCGATCGTCAGAAACATACAATAGCCTTTACAAGCCTATGTAAAGTGAAATCACTTACGTTGGATACGTAAATTCAGTTTGAAATTAGTCTAGGTGTTAGATGTCTCATAATCACTTTTCTAAATAGCATGAGGGGAGAGCTGCTCTGGGTACTGTACTCCCTGTAATGGTTTTTGGAAGAAAATTTGAATTTGGGCGCTGTATTACTACCCACGAGGTGACTTTAAAAAGGTAGCTGCTCGAGGCACTGTACTACCTGGATGTTCACGTATGAATATCACTTACCGTCGAACAATTAGATAAGGATATCGTTCGTGGGCAACCTTCCATCGGTAATATTATTAACGGGATAAGATAGTGCGCATGGACACCTATCTTGGATCGCAGTTGTCCGACCCGAATGCAACACATATATGTGTGATACCTGAATGTTTGACGTTAGAAAGATCAATGAAAGAAATCAGATAGATTAATTCATTGATCCATGTCTTGAAGACCTAACTGACACGTTTGAGTCAATTTCTGGCACATTTCTAAGTGATTTTCTAGAGCCGACATGTAATGCGTGTGATTACCAAAACGTTATTGTATTAAGAAAGCAATAAATAGAAATTCGACATTTTGGAGCAGAACAGCTTTGAGAATTTATATTATATTAAGTTTCACAAATCTCCATTACAAAAAAGGTACAATATATGACCTTGCGTGATTTGAGTTTTTCGAGATGGATGTTACAATCCGTCTTTTAACCAGTATGAATGTATATAGCATACAATGTACATATGAACGAAAAAAGAAAGAATATTGTGTTCATTGAAGCTGCTAGCCTGCACTTTTTATGATTTCTAAGTTAACTCCCATCTACAGTTTTATTTACACTGCTATACGTGATTATGGATTCAATGAACAGGGCAAAAGGTATTGGCTGTTAAAGGAAACGGGGAAATTGAGGTCTACACTGAGACGCCCGAACTGAATTTAACTCATGTCAATTAAGGACACATTGGCTCGTATCAAAAACAAACTTTTTCATTTGGACAGGGACAATTTAGTGATGAAAGAAATTTCACGTGGATCCTTCAAAAAGCTTTATTTGGTTTCTGTTCTAGTTCAGTAATTTTCGATTTCAAAACCGCATATCGCACGGTAGGCATCCCGATCCGCGTAATTTTAACCAGTTCGAATATGTTGCCATCGTGATTTTAGGCGAAGTGATAAAATGGGTTGTAAGGTTAGTAATTAAGACTATGATATCTGGCATAGGGGTATAAACAAACATATAACTATGCAAGAAAACTACAAGGCTTTGAGGGATGCAAAATAGGCCGAACTTTAGACTTTTTCATAATTATATCCACTAAATACAATTAAATACATACCGATTCGTGTTCTACAGATACACAATATTAAGTACTTTACACCACTGATATCACACTTTGTTTAATCTTATAAAGTTACAGCGCCTTGCAATAAATGTCACAAGTTTTATTTTAACAGTTTTATGTTAAATATGGATTACTTCCTACTACAATGCCTTCAACATCCGCATCCCTTTATATATTATAAACATTCACAAACACGTAAGAAATACTTGAACATATACTACACTAAATTGATATGGAATTGATATTGAAGATAGCAAGCCAAACTGGGACATTCATTTGACAATGACGAAATCATCCTGACAAAAAGACGCAATTGACGGCCCCGATGCACGAGAAATCAAAGCTCCAAGAACACAAAGGGAAATCAAAGCTCCAAGAACACAAAAGGAAATCAAAGCTCCGAGAACACAAAAGGAAGACATTTCAAATTCTGTTCTAATAGAAATTGGCAAAGAATGTACGTATTGAGAGTACACTCTTGGATAATAATCAAAAATACACTTTTATCTATAAATAATCTTTATAAATTTAATAACTTTAAATTTCAATATTATCAAAAATCGATTACATATTTGAAAAGTACAGTAAAATCCTGATACAACTGATACAAAACATTTAACTATATTCTCTTTAATAATAGTTTTGAGCTCGTTCAAAAACATCCACCCGAATCTACTTAAGTGAAGAGATTTTAATCTTTATTAGATACAAATGTAGCCTACTGAACAATGGTCGGTTTAGATTGAATTGATTTTGTGAATGTTTCAATGATCGTATATTTAAGACTAGATGTTGATTATTGTATTGCAGCCTCAGATTTATGAAAATCTCAAATTGAGGCATATCTTTTAGTCCAATGTTTTTAGTAACTCCTAGCTAGAGTTTAATAGACCTATATAATATATTTGAAGTCGAGGAAGCCCGACTCAGACACGAAATCATGAATTTCATTAACGACACCTGAAAATAAAAGCCGTTCATGTCATTTCAACCCGCAGTCAACTTGACTCAGTAAAACTCAAAAACAGCACGTCGTATACCTCAACCTTTATTTATCTATTGACAAATTCATTCCTAATATGATATTAAATTGTATATAATAAAGTTGGTGTACATGATAAAAAAGATTTTACAATCCTTTGTCAATTCATGATTTTCATTCTTAGACCTACCTTATATTTAAAAGACACCTTAATAACATAGTTAAACACGGAGTTAAACTTGTGAAAGTTAAAGAGAGAATTCGAATCAGATATAGCGAGCAGGCTTAACAAAAAATTGTTTCAATTTTATAATATTTTTGGTTCATGTCATTCCTTGTCATGTCTATTTTCTAAAAATCACAAAAGTGCATACTTTATTCCAGGAAAACTAAAGATTTTTACTATAATGTATTATTTTTCTATAAGAATGGTTACCCATTCTTATTATTTGGGAGAATTTAAATATTTTTTACTATATTTGCACTTTGAATCCTTAATAACTTCACCAATTTATAACATATTGTGAATCTTTTGGGATATATTGTATTTGATATTGTAAGGAATTGATTGGTAGGTCAATTATACATGTTGCTTGTATTTTATTTTGTCATCCCCTATAGATCAGATTCTGGCTTTAATCTCCAAAATGACATCATGGGATTGGCAGGATAACACACTAAATGCAAGGCTTGCGAAATAGGCACGTAAAAAACGTCGATGTCAAAAGTTAGTGTTTGGAATTTTGAGACAAATACTTTATAAATGGCTCAAGTTTATCAATCAACGAATTGTGATCGTTGAGTAGATTATTTCAAATTAAAATAAAACTAGGTAGACGTATTAAACACGCAATCATGTCTGGTTCCAATGTTTTTGTTTGAAGTTTTCATTTAATCTATATAATCCTTGTGAAAGTACGCTTTTGTTTTATTTTGAAAACACGAATGTCAATCAATCTATTGATGTATAAACCTGTCGAATTCTTTTTTCAAATATTCAAACACATATTTTTAAATAGGATATAGAAATTAACCCAAAATATCTGAGATGAAAACTAAGTAATTCAGCCATAAATAAAATGTGTCTTATCTGCAAAATGTGAGAACTAGAAGAATTGATCAGTTTAAAATCATGAATTTAAGTAAAGGCCTATGATTCAATGTTAGATGTTGAAATGAAATACTATTCTTTATATGGAAAAGATCTTAATAACAGAGAAAAAGATAAAAATAACAATTTGAAAATGAAAATTGGTACACACTATTCCAATGAGGGACTGGCCAAGCCCGGTGGCCAGGTGTATGCTAAACATTTTTAATGTGTAAAAAAGTCCAGCGTCCCAGGCTACCTTCTTACATATACCCGATTGCAATCAAACATGGAAAATCAGCAAGGGGTTGTTATCATAGATTGAGCCTCTTATGATTTAATCGTATTTCACAGGTTTGTTTGGCTTTGATGTTACATACCTTTAAGTTGAACTTCTTGATCACTTTGAATTCTGAACATTGTGTATATCCATTAGTAAAACGTTATATAATCATCTTGCAAAGTGCCAACATTATATTTTCTAAACTATTTAGTATTTGATTATAAAAGATGTGTTAAATCAAATATTATTGACACTTAGATGATTTTTTCCTGATTTCAACTGTTTGTTTGAATTATAGAAAATAATGGGGTTGAGCTTGACTTTTGTGGGTTCAGCTGATTTTGGGCAGAGATGACATGTCACCATAAAAAAGAAGCATGTACACATCACATGTATTTGGATGTATTTAGTGTCTATAGAAAATGCAATCTATTCCCATGAGCATGTGCTAAACAGTATCGCCATCCGAAATTGCTATGAAACATAATCTCAATTTCCGTAGGACAAGGTCACCATTTTTATAAAAAGGCATGTTTTATTCCGTATTAATGTAAACAAAACGACTAACACGAAATGAAATAAACACTACCGTGTAATACAGTAAAATATAAGCCTTATAATCTCGTACTAATACCCTTGGGACAGGCCCCGTAAGGTGGTAATAATACGTTTAAACTAAGCTCCGAATTCATTCAAAGTGTGTAGACGGTACATTTTCAGTTTTTATTTACACGTACGAAGTGGTTATTGTATATGGATCGGGATCCCTACCGTGATATAAGCTACACTTAAATTAAATTAGTTAAAGAAGCATGCAGTTGTGCTTTGCAAGTTTGGTTTAATAGCCAGGGTCGTGAAGACAGATAAGTTATTTGCCATAAGTGGAAGGTCATTGTGGAGAAAAGACGCTGACTGCACATCCAATAGGTAGGACAATATCTATTTATTTTTCTTGTAAAATATGAGCATAATATAAATTACACTCTAGAATATTTGATTATTTATTTGGAATGTAGTCTAAATGTTTAAATGTTATATTGATCACTTAGTATAAAGCTGTAATTTAAGACTTAGAAATTGTATTTTGCCAAAGGGCTTCAGTTTTTAATTCCAAGAGAGAGTCTTTGATAATTTGACCAAATCACTTGAAAATGCTCAAACTGGTGGTAAAACTGCATAACTTTGAATGATATTTTGACCAAGGAGGGGTGTGGTCACTAGATCCCTTGACCCCCGGCCATTTATAACTTTCAACATCTCATCTTAAACATTCTGAGCAAAAATGTGTAGGAATAATATAAAAATAAGTTAATTTCCTCATATTTTACCCCAAAAGGATAAAGTGAAAAAAGTATTTTATCTCGTTATGAGATGGAATACAGAGTTGGATAGCTGGATAGGTATCTCATGTTCCATTTGGTTAATTCTTCTTATTGTATATATCGCTACTTTATGATGTTCCGGATAATCAAACACTTAACTACTAGTCTTCTCTATCCTGTCATGTCTGGTCAAAAATGCAGTATGGCCCAGATTTGAATTGGGAATCCATTTACATTTTGAATGGTAATCTAATTATATTTCTCTGTGCCTATATAGGGCGTTCAAGAAAACTATTAATATCCTAACAATTTTGCTAAACCATACAGACGCTGTAACAAAGATGCCAGCGGTACCAGGAGCACCTTCTTGACTTCCCCTCCCCCAACTTCTCAAAGGAAAAACTGTGAAAAGTAACAAATCAAAGCTAATTAATGAAACTTACGTTGTGGAAATAATTGGCTCTGTCAGTCTGTAAAAGTCGAAAACGCAGCTTTAATTCATGCCACGATGGCGAGACCTAAGACTTATTCTCTCAGTAATCAGATTCTTGATAAAATAGGCACACGTACTGTACGCGCAATATGCAACACATGGTACTATTTGATGTTTTAATGCTCAATTTGCGAACGTTCCGGGTATTACGTTCGCCCTTGGATCATGGAAGACAGAGAGTGAGAATGTGGACAATGAAATAATCAAGGTTCGACCCCCACTGATGAGAAACCCATATTTTGCCCTCCCACCATCCGGGTATGTAGATAGCATTGACATTTTGTTTAGTTTGCACAAATTCATTGCAAGCGAGAGCTATCTAGCCATAGGGCCGGTGCTTTTATCTTAAATCAGGTTATCGTGCAGACATACGATAGGCTATAATAAGGGTGTCCGAATATATTTGGCGTTGAATCAAGTCATTTTTATATAATCATTATACAGGTTCATTATTTAGTTTTCAACTACACACAGTTTGTCCTTATGAACGTGTCTGGTTAACACGAACGACGACTGAACGTTTCCTTCTGAACATGCTTTTCAATCAATGAAACCGAAATGATTTTGTTCTTAATCTTTTTTGGTAAAATATTTGTAAGTTGTGCAAGAATACGTAAATACAATGTGAAAATAAAACATTACTAGCCGCAATATGTAGAATCGCTGTTTTCCGTTTTTGATGAAAAGAAAGGGGCTAAACGGTTCGTTTTCTCTTTAACTGGTTGCGACTTTTGTTAATCTAAATCTTAAATACACCTCTTGAATGGTATGGTTCGTTATAAACATTTATAAACGAAAATGCAATAATGTATTCAAAATACTGCTATCAATTCACCATTGCTAATATCACGTCTCACCATCAACAACATACAGTCACCAAATATACGGGTATACACTTTAGCTGTTTGAAGCAAAAATTGTTATGTATATTTAATAAAATTTTTCTAAGGAATATGATGAACATGTGAATATAACCAACATTTTCCATCCGGTCAATCTGGTTGATGGAATTACGTAGAACAATTCGAACACTGCTCAATTAACATAATTAGAAAGTTAAAAGTCTTGCCAAGAGCATGCACATGAAATTAAACATAAAATACTTTATTCTATTCCTTAGATAAACCTTTTAAAACCTATATCACCATTTTTGCTTCAAAGATGACAACGTACAGCTAGCAGATTGTACAACAGTGTATTTTGTCACTGTACGTCGTCGATGGTAAGTTGTGAATATGTTGTTTACGAATAGTGGCATTCAAATTACAAACAGCAGTTCAATATAGTTCAAAACAAGTTCAACTTTTCAAGCTAGCATTATTGCATTCTGATATTATAAATCCATCCTATCAATCTTGTTTGAAACGTTCAAATTAGGAAACAGATAGACGATCGGGGTACCTCTGTAGACAGGTAGATGGTGCAGCCAATTTCAAACAGCCATCCTTTAATTAGCGTGTTTTTTCCATTATGTACAAGATAATTTCTTTAAATTAGCATCCACAACCACATGTATCACATGTTCGATTGACTCAAATTGGTAATTAAGAACACACCAAGTGTGACTCGCTTGTATATTGTAACTATCCAAATTATTTTCTCAGTAAGCCAGCAATTTTGAAAAATGGTGACCATTTACTTAACATGTCATTGCCATGCCCTCTCTAACTCTGTCCTTCTCGAGAATGCAATACAACAAAGAGAGATGCTATCAGAATACTTATGTAACATTTAACGGGAATTAAACGTTAATAAAATAATGTTCACCGCTTCAGTCCATAATAGTATTACTAAACATAAAATTTGTGTAGATGACACAACTTCTAAGTTTATTTTATCTTCCTTTTAATTGGTATAAGATACATTTTGCATAATTGTTATTTCATCTCGAGCACACTCATCTGCGTCATTCTTAACGAAGCTAAAAGCTACTATCTTCAAAATCACATCTTTCTGATTATAACATTGTCTTAAGAGCTTGTGTGATATTCTTAAAAGCTAATAGCTATCCTATTCAAAATCACATCTTCATGATGATTTTGTTGTCCTTAAAGAAGCTTGTATGATTTTCTTTTAAAAAGCTAAAAGCTATTATATTATTTAAAAGTCATACATCAGTATATATACAGTTCTCAGAGTTCTTAGAATAAGGGCGGATCTCAATTTGAACAGGTTGATCTGATTGGACAGAGATTTTTGGGGACAGTTTAATTTATGGGGCACTACCCTTGCCTCTCCTGTAAACACGTGTCTGCATTGGCAAACAAGGGAATGTGTACAGTGATCACTTTAATTGCTGCAGTGGGGGGGGGGGTGAATATAATCTATTCCTGTGGTCAGAAATAAATGTTTCTCCAGGAACTGTCGATACACATCAGATCAAAGTTAGTTACAACATCTAATTACATTTACATGATTAATAAACAATGCATATTCAAGCATTTAAAAATACATATTTAGTTGCAATAAACTACACCCATCATAAAATATTCTTTGTCTGTGGGTGGGATGATTTCACCAAGGAGAGAATTCTCACAGATGTACATGCGCACCTTGGGACAATAGCAGTATATTTGTCTTCCAATAAACAAAGGCTTCATAATTAAATATTTCAGAGTGGCATCCGAACTGATAAAATTGATAGTGAACAAAATATGACTTGTCAGCCTCGTTTGATTTGTGGCAATTAATAAATTCGAGTGAAAGAGTAAATCTGAACAACATGCTACTGAGCGTGTGAATTTAATATTCAGCTCTGTTTTACAAACATTAGAATCTTTATGACAAAGGGCTATAATGGTCAGAGCATTGAATTCAGATCTACACGCAATGATTTATGAACTGGGAATTTATGAAACCAACATTTGTATTTGACTCCACTAAAATAGTGAACATTTAATTATGACCCAGTCCAAACATTTTGGATTTCCCTAAAATATAAATATAAAACAGAAATAGTGCATTTCTGTTACACTTACATGTTGAGATGTGACACTTAACGATTTTTGTTTAGCGATGTTTTGTTAATTTATATGTTAAATACCCCGGGTAAAACACATAAATGCATGAAACAATTGTCATTTTTAGCAGTTCGGCTAGTTTGGTAGGCATTATAAAAGATGATTGACAGTTCTTACGCCTAGAGTGTGTTCATTGAAGTTTGCTGAATTTTGACTCTACAGGCACCTAGGCTACGCTTGAAAATTAATTGTTCTGGCGAATTTATTATTAATTTCAACAAACTATCCATTATGCCTATGTCACATTTGACCCGATTATAATCGCCTAGTGCCCGGCCGATTGCAGAATTTTGATTTCAACTTGCTTCAAATTGAACTTTTTTAATCATGTACAAGCTCTCAGGCTCTCTCTCTTCACGTTTGACCTCAAATTTGAGATTTGACCTTCACTTTTGAACAAAATACTCAATCGGCCAGGCACAGGCCGATGAATCGGAACAAATGTGACCTAGGCAGGTCGTGGATCTTTTCTTCAACATCTGTTCTGTAAAGTTGTGTACCAAAATATATGATATTCTTTTATCATTGTATAAGTATTAGATCAATCATTATTGAAACAGTCAACCAAGAAAAATAATTAATTCCTCATTTATGGCTTCAATATACAATGTACTAGCTTGCACGTTGTACTGATTCAATGGTCTTGTTTATTCTCAAAAATGTCACAATGAAGCACAACCGTTGAACTGATTCAATGGGCTTGTTTATTCTCAAATATGTCACAATGAGGCACAACCGTTGAATTGATTCAATGGGCTTGTTTATTCTCAAAATAGGTAACAATGAGCTACAACCGCACACCTACCACTGCGGTCCAAACAGGGATAAGAACACAGAGGAGTTTCCAAGATCTCGTCAATTCCAGTGATTGGTATGTCATGCTTAATTTTAGCGACTAATTCTTTAAACATTGGCTTGCAGCTACAGTGTAGACTCATCGCTAGTAGTTCACTTAGCAAGATCCTCTGAGCTTCTGTCACCCCTGCTGTCTGACAGCTTTGGCGAGTAACACCTTTGGCGAGTAACAGCTTTGGCGTGTAACATCTTTGGATATCTCTGCTTGTAATTGCGTAAGAGCTTCGGCGTGCAGTGTGACCCTAGGTGTCTGTAAAACAATGGCTTCCACGACTAAAATCAGTAATATTGACAAAGACTTTATATTAGGAGACTTCAAAAAACTGTGGTGAGTAATGCCTAGCTCACGCAAGCCCTGGTTTATCGGTCGGCGCCCGTACGATTCAGTATTCTGTTTAGAAACGAAATTTAATTCTGAACAAAATACTCGATCGAACGGGCGCCGACCGATGAATCTGGGCTAGGCAGTAGTGCTTTATTTTGAATAGCTTTCCTGATAGATATTTTACTAGCTAACTATAATGTTATATCGAGTGTTCCCAAATATTAGGCACTTTTTGACAAGTATTATCTCAGCAGCTGATCAACCAAATTCACTGAAAGTTTGTACAAAGCAGCCCAAGAGTATTGTATACAAAGTAAAAAATATTAAAAAATCAAGTAAATGTAATGTGAGTACAAAGAAATTCAAGATAGCATCTCATAATATCCAATACAGGAGCAACGCAATGAGAACTTCATAGCGTTTGTACCAAAAACAGAGAAGTGATTTGACAAGTTATTTCTCAGCAATAGATAAGCCAAATTCTTTAAAAACTTTACCCGATGCACTTTAGGGAATTCCTGCTAGTGCTATGAATATGTAAGAGATTGGTCACATATTATGTGTGTATTTTAGAATTAAAGTCAGGATGTCAAAATAACCAACGTCAATGGAAAAGTCACTTATTAATCCATTTCCAAGCAAATATACTTTTCTGATTTATTCTTACAATATCACCTCCAATGAATTTTGAGAATTAATTGTATTTTGGCTATTTTCAGCCAACCAGAACAGAGTATTTACATAATGAACAATGTGTGAAATATCAATAACACATACAAGGTCACCAGTTAAACAGTTGTCATGGTGATGAATGGACTTCTCACATTGGATTAGATAACTTGCCAACTTGACCCTTGCGAAAATGTCATTGAAAATGTATTCTTTTAGTGATTTTGTTCCTTTTAGATGATTTTGGAGAAAATTTTGGAATTTGTGAAAATAATTTAAGCCAATTCAATGCATTTTAGCTGCTTCATTCAACTCGGGCGTTGTTTCCTAAACTTTGCATTCCCGCTGCGCTGTCATGTTAAGATTTGGAAACAACACATTTTTAGTATGATTCAGCAAACATTGCAATGAGTCCAGGGCTTAAATCCTTAAAGGCCCCATATAAAGTTTAAACCACTTTGGCTTATATTGTAGTCTTACCCAATGTTATCAAAGTGTGATATGTGAAACTTTTTTTTTAAATTTCAAAAAGTGGTTTTTGATAGACTCTTTGTTCCCAAATTTGTGAATTTATTTTAAACCAACTTTTAGAGGTCACTCATATCTTCTAATTAGCCATAATTCATACCAATGCATAGCATTCATCCTCCCATGTTTTTTTGTCGAAAAAATCAAGAAAATCGGTTCATAAATAAGCGAGAAATGAACTTATCAGTGCATGAAAATGGTTCTGAGAAAAATGCATTTCAAAATTTTAGTTCTCATAGAAACCAATGGTACAATGATATCTAAAACATAATTTATTCTTCCTTTTAACCTGGTTAGACAATCAAGATTGGTGTTTTATGAAAGTCTAACATATTTAGAAAAGATTGACATCGAAAAAAAAAATTCAATTTTTTTCAAAAAGTTTTTGGTACCTTAGTGACATCACTAATGTTTCAAAATATTTTTGATATGTTAAAACATTGAAGTGGCCCATTAAATATGGCATTTTATTATTGAAATTGTGTGTCCTTTGTTCAACCTTTGCATTGGTGTTAAAAAGATAATCTTTTTTGAAATGCATTAAGAAATATTTGATGATTAAGAAATTTCAACTTTTTTTGAAAAATGGCGGGAAATTTGAATATTTGAGAAATGAAATGCTCACAACTTTTTTTCAAAATTTTTTTTTGTTCAAAAATATCTAAAAATACTTTTTAAGTCCTGACAAATAGTAAATGAATGATAAAAAAAGATTTTCAACTTTAGACGGGGACTTTAAATATGTACCGTGTATGTGTTCCTGTTTGTAATAGCCATAGCCAATTAAACGAGTTCAACGTCATGTCTTACACATAGTAGCACCCATATTTCCATTTGTAGCGCCGAGCAGCTGAGTCGAGTTACCAAGCCAACAGACATTGAAGATGTACTCTTCAATCTTCTCAAGAGTGGAGATATGGTCAGCATCCAGAAATTCTGGGCTGTAAGTAAAATCCTTTAGCCGTTTTCTTAATTGTTTTCTAATTATCAGTATAGCTTTGCCAGACTCATTTGGTTTGAGATGAATTGGAACATTTGTTTATTTTACCTAAAACATGTATTACTCCTCTAAAATAAACCCAAATTTTAGTGAGCACACTCAGCATAGTCCAGTCAATCGTTTATCTGTTCTTACTCATGTACCAATGTTGTTGTATGTGATCTCACAATGACCAGATCATTTAAATTTACTGGCCTAGTAAAATGGGGTATGTAATTGTATGTTTATGACTGATATATTTCATTAAAGACCAGTCAATGTATTGACTGTGATGATATAAAAATGATGATATTAAAATGAGAATCGTAGAAGGAAACAACGAATCATTCCCATGTTTTTGAAATGTGACAAAAGTCTGATTTTAATTTGACAGGCGCTAGAAATGACTGGATTAAGGGAGACTGACCCAAGGCTAAAAGAAACAAAGGCTAATTTAGATGATGTACGGGAGAAACATCTCTACGACACAGATGAGAGCAATGATGAAAAAGTTGATAGAGAAACATTTAAGAAGTACAGTACAGTTTTAAAATTATCTTTTGGGATTTGTGCCAGACATATGTGAAATGATAAGGAAAGAGGCCAAACGTTTTCAATATCAGGTGTACAGCTCATGATATCATTTATTGAAAAAAGTGTAACATCTTCAATTGACCTCCCTTGGATCCTATAGTCAGAAACCCATGCCTCTCTATCGTTTCAAAAGATTTACCCAAGGTATCGGTCTCTGTTAGTTTATTGCATCCATACTTTTTTGGAAGGTAACATTTTGAATTTCAATTTTCTGCCGGATGCCTTTGCAAACCCTCATCGGATGCTCTGTATTGTAGCATTCCGTTACCATGGTTACGCATCTATAGACATCTTACCTTGGAATCTTAAATCATTTGTAGCTTTGTCATTATTTTGTCTATTGAAACGAAATTGGTATCAAATTAAACCTAAAAAAATTCCCATATAATTACAATATTGAATTATGCATATTAGCTCATTTGCAATTGTGACATTATAAATCTGTTTTTGGTTCAGAATTTTCAAGTCTAGCAATGTATCTTTAAGAACTGAAGCCGTGCGTTAGAATTTCTTCAATGTTATGACGTTTATTCTATGAGTAGAAGGTATAAGCAACATAAAAGTGAAAACAGATTCAAAATTGGATTAAAACTAACAAAGTTATTATACGCTTTCAAGGCAGCTACCATGAACGTTATCATTTAACCAATTAACTTTAAACATCTTACCTTAGAATTGAAATGTTTGGTAGTTTTGTCATTATTTGGTCTATAGAGAAGATCTTGGTATCGAATTGATCCTAATTGAATAACCGGTATGGTAAAGATATTCAATTATGCAAATTAGTTAATTTGCATAAATTATGATGTCATCAAACTATTTTTGGTTCAGAAGTATAGTAACATATTTATTAGATCCAAGATTGTATGGCGTAGTTTCTGCATAGTTCTGTCATTTATCTATGAGTGGAAGAGGTATGAGCAACATAAAAATGATTCAAAATTGAATTAGCATTAGCAAAGTAATTCAGCTTTTGAGGCAGCTACTATGAACGTTACTATTTGACAATCATAAATAAAACACTAAAATAACAAAAATGAAACAACGCTGCTTCAAGGTTATTGAGTGAAAAATATATATTTTCCAAGTGACTGAATTAGTTTGTGTATAGAAATGATACGGGTATTTGTAATTTTGACTATCATTGGCAGGGGTCAAAACAGTTTTTTGATTTTGTAACATGATTTATTGTTTGTGAGAAAGTTATGGATTAATCAGTTAGTGAATGGGTGAATGGAATGGTGAAATTTGTAATATGTAATATGTAATCTATACATTTTTAATTGATTTGCTTCATAGGCGTCAATCTATTTAAAAAGGCGAAACACCATGACTGGTTAAACATCAATATTTGTGTTGCGATTCAACAGTGAACAGCTCCATGAATTTTTAAACTGATTTGCTTCAAAGGCGTCAGTCTATAGCATGAATGGTGCAAACATTAATATTTGTGCTGCAATTCAGCAGTAAACATCTACATAACCTGTTTATACAAATTGATGACGTCATATCACAAAATGTATGTCTGCTGTTTTCATGTCACCACCAAGAGCGCGGTGACATATTATTATGGTTTCCATTTTTGAGACGGCGTTTGACATCTGGTGCCTGGCCTTAGCATCTGTTAAAAATGGTACATGGTGACATTTTGCATGCTTATGCCTTGTTTAAATTATTTACAAAATGTTATAAATTAAAAATATCAAAAGAAGATATTTTTAGAAACTTCATTTAAAATAACAGCAAGAACATTCATTTTGTGATGATAACGTCATCTGTTTGCATTTATTACAGGTCATGCCATATTTAAGCGTCTAAACTATAAAAAGTGTAAATTAATATAGCTTAGATTCAACCTCTGTCAATCATACTACGTGATTAACTCCTTTGTTTTGTACCAAAATCTCCTGTTGCTATACTTGAAAATTCTGAATCAAAAATTGATTGATGAGGCCGCAATATATGCAAATTATCTAATTTGCATACATGAATATCTTTACTGTATGGAAAATTTAATTAGGTTTAATTTGACACCAATATAATCTCTATAGACCAAATAAAGTTACAAATGATTTAAGATTCCAAGGTGAGATGTCTATAGATGCGTAACCATGGTAACGGAATGCTACAATTCAGAGCAACCAATGAGAGTTTGCAAGGGCATCCGGCAGAAAATTGAACCTAAAAGTGTTACCTTTCAAAAAAGTATAGATGCAATAAATTAACAGAGACAGATACGTTGGGCAAATCTTTTGAAACGATAGAGAGGCATGGGTCTCTGACTACTACACCGTCTATAACATTTCAAAAAAGACACGCGGTACGTTATCCATTGGTGAAGTTATTTAAAATTCAAAGAGCACAATTTGTGAAAACTGAAATGTCCAAATTCTCAAAATAGAGGAATGAGCACCACGTTATCATTGAAATCTTGATTTACATTTTTGAATATTCAAAATTCAGTCAAGGTGATATCCTATTTGAAATCGACATGTAAAATTATATCGTGAAATGTGGTTTCAAAAACAGTTTATCATCTTTGAAAATCAAATTTTATTTGAAAATGTGATTTCTTGGTCGGGCAGATCAATGATATAAAATCACAATAAGAGAAATATCGTTCCTTTTATTGTTGTGACTTATATTTTACTTTCATTTGTATATCCAAATAGGTAATAAGAAAATTGACCAATAGATGAATATTCAAGTTTAAGGGAACTTTCTAATATCTACCATGTTATCAGACTCGATTTAACAACCTGATGATGAAAATATGGTCATTTTGTTGCTTGCTAGAGCTCATACTTCCTTAAAATACAACCGTCATTAATTATTTGCACATTGATTGTACTTAAAGTGAAAAATCCTAAATATTAATATGTAAGAGAGAAAAACATATACAGGGTGGTCCAAAAAAAAGTGAACCCCTGCAACTGGCCATATTTCCCTTATTACTTGCAGGAATTCTTTTTTATTTTCACATGTTGTAGAGGAAGGTCTTAAATTTATGTTGGTACCATACATTTTTCTTAGTCTTGAAATTTGCAGAAATTATAAGCCCTTACCAAACATTACTGAAAATGGACAAAATGTGATTTTCAATATCCACGATTCTTCAACCCTTCAACACCCTTCCCCTGAGAATCTTTTAAGCTGCAGTCTTAAAGACGCCGGGTTGGCCTAGTGGTTAAGGCATTGGTCTGAAAAGCAGGAAGTCTGGCTTCAAGCTGAAAAGTAGAGGTCTTGGGTTCAAACCCAGGTCACAGCACTTCTTGTGATTTGTCTTTGACCTATGACTGCTGACCTATACCGGCGATTACTAGAGTGCTGCTAACTCGATAAAAGGCTGGCGCTGGCTAGAATTGTCTATGGTTCTAGCCAGGATAAAGATACCAGTTCTTCAACTCGACAATGGGAAGAACTGCTCTACCTAAGTGACTAATATGTCATGATATGACATCTAAAGAGTCGATAAAAGATATATATAAAGAACTAATATTTTCTGACTTTGTTCAATTTCAAATCCTGCATATTATGGCTGAAAACTAGCATCCTGCATTTGTTAGTTGCAAAGTTATTGTGATCCAAACAAATGTGCTAGCTTCAACAGATGAAAACTTTTTCATCCAGTGAAATCATGAACGTACCCCTATATAATCTTGAAATGTTCTAATGATATATGGCTCAAACATTGAATATTGGATTTTCTTTTGATTTTTTAAAGATATTTGATAAAGGGGTTTTCAGATTCCTGATCACAGGGGGCAACTCCCTTCCATAAGAGGCCCCCTCTAACTGTTGGTGTAGGTAACATACTCCTGAACTGTTGAACAGTTAAAAATGCTTCAAAATGATCAATGAAAGTGTGAAATGTGTTTCCTGCTTTAATAGTGTCCCTTTTGTCATATGGTAGGGTTTTAAACTTGTATCTCTAACTGAAAGTTGTTTAAGATCATCCAATGTGTTTCAACAATTTCCGTGAATCATTGTACAATGTTTAATTTCCAGGCATGTTTGTTAAACGCTTGTAATTTCTTCAAAATTTAAGACTGAGAATAAATTATGGCATCAACCAAAATTTTAGACCTTTCTCTACAACATGTGATAATATGAGCCAATTCATGTATGTATTAAGAAAAACGTAGCCTGTTGCAGGGTTCACTTTTTTTTGGACCACCCTGTATTATTTATTTGTTTAGGTGTACTCATGACAATATTGTGTTGATTGGAATGGCCTTCAAGAATGAAATGGTCATCCCGGAGTTCTGGGATTTTACGGGTCACATAGACACGCTATACTACTCGTGTCAAAAAAACACTCAAGGAACTGTGAGTACTGTTTGTTTGCTTGTTCGCATGCTGTTTGTTGTGACGCTCTGCATTGCTTGTTCGAACATTTTAAATTATAAGTATTCCCCACAAAAAAGGTTATATCAAAAAATCGTGACGTTACTTTTCAATGAAAACTTTAAGTTTGGAATGCATTTAAAGTTATTAATAAGTAATTCATATTCATGATTTTTTCTTTTATTTCATGCAGCCAGCACAGTACATTCCACAGCTGGCTAGAGCGGATCCAAATCTGTGGGGAATCTCAGTGTGCACAGTGGATGGACAGAGGCAAGTTATTTACCAACTGTAAACTGTAAATATGTTTGGGAAATACTAAAATCACTTTATATTGAATAAAAAAAGTAAACAACAATATAGAATTATACCAGACGGAATATACAGATGTAATGCACGAAAACGAATTTGAATTGGAAATTGTGATTCCTTAGTTCTTGATTCACTTATACAGCATTTCACAAATTCTGTCTTAATCTCTCAAGAATTAGACATTTGTATCTTTAATTAACTGTATTTCATAGTTTATGTTTTTGTACTCATGTGAATTTCTTCTTATATTCAATTGTAGTTTAATTTTAATTTTTTTCTCATATTTTACGATGTGTCGAAAGTTGAAAATTTTTCTTTTCAATCGGCCAAGTTATTTCTAAAACAAAACAAAAAACAATTTTGGACTGTAGCTATAACTTATTAGAAGTTATCCCAAAAATGGTGTATCCTTAGAAACATGTTGTATTCCATGCTGTCCATACGATAGCATAGTTATAACCTCATTGTATCCCTGTATTAATGCATTATCTTCAGTAAAGTATAATTGTCTATGTGATAGTATTTTATTTCAGACATTCAATCGGTGATACAACGAAACCATTTAGTATCCAGTCTTGTAGTAAACCTCTCACATACGCACTTGCTATGAGTGAGATAGGGGTAGACGAAACTCACAAATATGTCGGCCAGGAGCCAAGCGGCCGTAGCTTCAATGAACTGACATTAGATTGTCGCAGTAAGTTGCTTTCAAGGACTGGCGTCTATCGAAAAATATTGATTATAGCAAATGAATGAATAAATTGGGAATTTGCCAGCCTAGAACTCTACATAATATTTTATACTATATAATTTTATAATTTTATGTATCTCGTAACAAAAAACTATAGTCATTTTAATGTATTAACTAACAGTTCCCGGCAATCGCTCCACCACCTGTTGAATTTGTGATTTGATGTTTTTTCTTGAACCAACATTGCCGTATTGTGTTTTAGATAAACCACACAATCCTCTTATAAATGCAGGCGCTATAATTACAGCTGGACTATTAAAAAGAAAACATCCGATATCAGAAAGATTCGAATATGTAAGTTCAGTTGAAAACATAAATTAAAAGGTGAAACACGGTCAGCTATTTTGACGAAATCGAGGTTAAAAAATATTTTTATTCCTCACATTTTTTGTTTTTTGAATATTGTAAGGAAAAAAGAAAAGAAGATATGCTATAATGTATTTTCTTTGACACATTGACACATTGAACCTAATAAAGGTGTATACAATTAAAGGTCCGATGAAAACCATTTTGGCAAATACAGGTATCGTAGTGTTGCACAATGTACTATTCTAGTAATCAGAATGTGATATGTCAAATTTCTGCTCAACTTTTCAGAGTCTAGTTTTTAGAGATTTCAACAACAAGGTGTTTGCTGATTTTCTTGCTTTTCAAAAATGATCTTTAACCTTTTAAGTCATAAAACACATTATTTGGATGATTAGAAAATATTTTCATTTCAAACTGCCTCTGATTGGAGTCTTTAAGATTTGAAAACACGTGTTTGATTTGATTGTAGGCTCAGGAAAGTTTCAAACGTTTAGCAGGTGGTGAAAATATTGGTTTTAGCAACTCAACTTATTTATCAGAAAGATCAACAGCAGACAGGAACTTTGCTTTGGGATATTTTATGAAAGAACATAAATGTTTTCCTGAAGGCGAAGACATGGTAGAAACCCTTGAGTTTTACTTCATGGTGAGTCGCACTCGGTACGCACAAGCAATCCTCACTCCTAACCCATTATGCACTATTCTTTTTCATCTAGACACAACTAATGTACAGTCTTCTTGCGGGCGGGGAGTACACTGGATTCAGCAATTCGACCTACCTTAGTGAGAGGGCGACAGCTGACAGGAACTTTGCCCTAGGCTATTACATGAAGGAACATGGTTGTTTTCCTGAAGGTTCAGATCTGGTGGAAACTTTAGAATTTTATTTCATGGTATGTCAGGCCAGTCCAAAATCTAAAGAAAGGCCAATAGAGAGATTTCTCAACTCACTTATAGCATATGGGAATACAATGTATTCTTATAAATCGTCGTCTACACGCTACAAGAATATCACACTTATAGGGACTTATAGAGCTACGCATTAAATGATGACGTAACCACCCCCAGAGCTTTTGCGATGACTGACATATTACGTATCTTGCGTACCACCTTCGTTTGCGCAAATTCTCACCGGTAAGTTTTCGAATATAACGCGTAATCGTGATGTTTTAATCGATGTAAGCATATTCCTTACATATTTCTTTATCTCGATGTGAAAGACCAAGCTATGCAATTGGTAAATACGCCAGGAATCAACATAATATTATTCGAAGCGTTATTAGAAAATTTTGAATCCGCCATTTTTGTTTATCGATTTGGACCAATCAGAGGTGGACGTCATCTCAATACAGGTTTACATTATAAGCGTATATCATCTTTGAACTCTTGGGGTTAATCCCCTCTTGTATGCTATACAGGAATGATACATATACTATAAGTGTGTTGCGAAATCTCTCTGTAACTAATTTTCTTACTAAATAACCCTATTATTTCAATTCATAATTAACATGATAACATGCTTATGAATACGCTTCTGCTTGGTGACAGTTCATTAAATAACATTTCCAAAGGTTATATATAAGATGTTTACAGATTCTAATCGTTAAATTAAGAAATCATTAACATGTTTAATGCTAATCATACTTAAGCCTAAGTCACATTGCCTCCGATTTATTGGCCGTCGCCCGATCGATGAATCGGAGCAAATGTGTTTTAAAACAATTGATAGGGGGACTACAATTCCTGGTAGTCTTAATATACACAAATGGATACTAGGGTGGTCCAAAATATGGCGAAAAACCAACTTTGTTTCGGATCATCTTCCTCATTTGACTTACTGTTGTCCATGACCTAAAACACCTGCACGCCAAATATTGAGACCCAAATCCCATGGGAAATTTACCCACGCTTCGACTGAAAATTCAGTTATTTCATGATTTTTTGCTATTTTCGATAAATTGACATCTCCTTTTTCCTGGTATAATATGTTTCTATTTTTTCATAGTAAACATTTTTGGAGGACTCTTTATTACTTCATAATACTAGGAACCCATACACCAAATTTTGAGACCCAAATCCCATGGGAAATTTACACACGCTTCGAATGAAAATTTGTGTTTTTAATGATTTTTCGCGATTTTCGATAAATTGCTGTCTCCTGATAGTATTGGCGTTATATGCTTATATCTATATTTTTTAGACATTCAGGAGAGACCTTTTCTGTCCTTCTTAATTCTTACAACCCTTATATCAAAAAACCAAGACTTTAATTCTATTCAAAGGTGACAACAAACACAATAGTTTTTGGTAAAATATTTGAATTTACATATGCAGATTCATATACTGTGGTAGTGGCCAAGTACAGTATATCATGTTTTGCATGTGATTTCCAGTTTGTAACAATCTTCTTTGTGCGACCTTGCATCATTTGCTTTGGTTATGTCATTTCAGAGCTAATGCTTGAAACATTTGTTATACAGCCATTAGCACTAAACGTTCAATAGAAATGGGAAAGCTGAATAGAACATCAAATGCCTCCAAGATTTTGGAGAAGTTTGTTGGACCAAGCAGAGAGACCATACCACATTTGCATTTACCTATCAAAAAAATAGTACTCCAAAGATACAGAGGAATAAGATCTTGTAGTGAAAGCTCAGGCAAACGAGACACTGTATCAGACTATGTAAAACAATGTTGGGATGAAATGAAGTTACTCTGGGACGCTGCACGTATCCCAACTACTGCTGAAAGAAATGAAATCATTAAAAACACAAATTTTCAGTCGAAGCGTGTGTAAATTTCCCATGGGATTTGGGTCTCAAAATTTGGTGTATGGGTTCCTAGTATTATGAAGTAATAAAGAGTCCTCCAAAAATGCTTACTATGAAAAAATAGAAACATATTATACCAGGAAAAGGGAGATGTCAATTTATCGAAAATAGCAAAAAATCATGAAATAACTGAATTTTCAGTCGAAGCGTGGGTAAATTTCCCATGGGATTTGGGTCTCAATATTTGGTGTGCAGGTGTTTTAGGTCATGGACAACAGTAAGTCAAATGAGGAAGATGATCCGAAACAAAGTTGGTTTTTCGCCATATTTTGGACCACCCTAATGGATACCCAAGCTCTCTATTAACTATTTTATCATTCCAAATTCCTTGGAAACCCCAAATTCGTTAAAATGGCAACACATGGCAGAGAGTGGAAAATACATGAAGCAATATTCAAAAAGTAAAGTACCCTTTTTATCATATCTGAATAATGGATTTAATACAAAATTAAAGAAATAAATGCATATATTATTAAGATGTCAAAACGATTGACCTTTCACCCCAGTTCGTCTCTCTACTCATCGTTGCCTTTAATGTTTGCAAGTTTTTTTATAACACTGGATGGAACATTTGGACTAATAATATTGGTATTGTTATAAAATTCAATTACCTCTTCAGAAGAGTGTTGTTTTTTTCAGAAAAAGTAAGCTACCAAAGGTCAAATCGAGAGCGAACGTGATATAGGGGTGAACATTTTTGCCATTTAGTGATAAATTGTTCATATTCTTATCAAAATGATTTTGGCGCCAAAAATGCTATATTTCATAAAAGAATCATCTATCATCATTAAACAGATTAAAATCAATGCAAAGCTTTTCTTGAACTAAAATGTTAGAGTTAGCGGGTATTGCGAAAACCCATTGGAATCAATCAATTTCAATTTCAACTTTTTTTGTCTTATAAACATTCATATTAAACGATATGAAATAGAAATCGGTGGTTTAGTAAGAAAATAGTTCGTGGCTTGACTTGGTATTGTTACAACATAATTTTTGAAAATGATTTTGCCAAGCAGCACATAACAAAGGAATATGAAACGAATGAGTGTAATCTAAAAGTTGAGGGTAGTGCAGAATTTAAAAAAATATCTAAAATCTGGATAAGGTAATCATCATAACACGATTACCACAGTTTGCACAAATATTCAGTTACAGTCAAACCGTTTTTTCGTGAAGAGAACGCGATTCGCGAATATATGTCTATGGTTTTACCTTTAAAGGTACGTTCACACCAACGGCGAATGCCACGCTTTAAATCGGCGAGCAAAGCGCCGTCATTTTTGTCATTTTTCTTCATACCAACGGCGCTTTGATGGCGCTTTAAAGCGGCTTGTAAAGCGGCACCAAAGCGTAACAAAGCTTGATTAAAGCGTTGGGGTCGTAATAGGTCGTAGAAAAGCTCAGAGTAAAGCGGGATATTCGGCAAGAGCGCCAAAAAATGTTAAACTTTTTAAAAATTCTGGGCGCTCTGTTACGAATCGATTAAGCGCCGAGAGCGTATCAAAGCTTAACAAACCGTAACAAAGCTCAGAAAAGCTTGATCCAAAGCGTAGGAAAGCTTAACATAGCTCTGATAGGTTCCTCACGCTGTGACCAGGCTTTGTTACGCTTGAAATCATGCTTTGATAAGCATTATTACGCTTTGATGCGATTATGACGCTTTGAATCAAGCTCTGATACGATTGTCAAGCTATGTTGTGCATTGTTACGCTCTGTTAAGCTCTATCACGCATTGGAAAATGTCGAGATCGCCGATTCCATGCCGCTTTTGATCCAATGACTATATAAAGATGCAGTAGATCCATAAAACCATTGCATCTTTGACTCGAGAACACGACGGCAGAACAACAAGATCCAGAAATTCCAGATGGAACAGAGCATGACCTATCTGAATAAGACATGACGTTTGACGCACGGCGTGAAAGAGCGTGAGAGAGCATGAGGAAGCTTGTCAAGCGTAACAAAGCCTAACAAAGCGTTTCAATTCCTGATGTAAGCGTCTCAATTTGTTGGAAAGCTTGAGAGTCCTTCATGAAAGCGTAACAAAGAGTGTCAGATATTGATGAAAGCGTCTGACCTCGTGTCAGATCTTCATGCCAGATCGTAACAAATCCTGAGGCATCTTAACGAAGCGTTTAAAGTGATAACAGACCGTGAAGAGACTGGGGTCCCCGCTTTAAACCAAGCTCTGTTAAGCTTTCCTACGTTTTGGGTCAAGCTTTGCTGAGCTTTGTTACGGTTTTTTAAGCTTTGATACGCTCTCGGCGCTTTAAGCAATTCGTAACAGAACGCCCAAAATTTTTAAACAGTTTAACATTTTTTGGCGCTCTTGCCGAATATCCCGCTTTACTCCGAACTTTTCTACGACTTATTACGACCCCGACGCTTTAATCAAGCTTTGTTACGCTTTAGTGCCGCTTTACAAGCCGCTTTAAAGCGCCATCAAAGCGCCGTTGGAGCGAACGCTTAAACAGTTTAAATTTTTTAGCGCTCTTGCCGAATATCCCGCTTTACTCCCGAGCTTTTCTACGACCTATTACGACCCCGACGCTTTAATTAAGCTTTGTTACGCTTTGGTGCCGCTTTACAAGCCGCTTTAAAGCGCCATCAAAGCGCCGTTGGTGTGAACGTACCTTTAGAGATTCTCATGTACAAAAGATGAATGTTGGATCCTAAGCTATGTTCACACCAACAGCAAATGCCACGCTTTAAATCGGCGAGCAAAGCGCCGTCATTTTTGTTTACTTTCCCAATAATATTACGATCTCCTAAGTAATGTTACGCTCTGATAAGCTCTGATACGCTCTGATTTCCCGACTTGTTACGGTTCCTCACGCTTTGATCCCGCTTCGACCAGGCTTTGAATACGCTTGAAATTACGCTTTGATAAGCTTTATTACGCTTTGATGCGATTATGACGCTTCAAATCAGGCTCTGATACGATTGCCAAGCTCTGTTGTGCATTGTTACGCTCTGTTAAGCTCTATCACGCATTGAAAAATGTCGAGATCGCCGATTTCATGCCGCTTTTGATCCAATGACTATATAAAGATGTAGTAGATCCATAAAACCATTGCATCTTTGACTCGAAAACACGATGGCAGAACAACAAGATCCAGATATTCCAGATGGACCAGAATATGACCTATCTGAAGAAGACATGATCTTTGTCGCCCAGCGTGAAAGAGCGTGAGAAAGCGTGAGGAAGCTTGTCAAGTGTAACAAAGCCTAACAAAGCGTTCAATCCTTGATTAAAGCGTCTCAATTTGTTGGAAATCTTCAGAGTCCTTCATTGTGTCAGATCTTCATGCCAGATCGGAGCAAATCTTGAGACATCTTAACGAAGCGTGTCAAGTGGTAACAGAACGTGAAGAGACTGGGGTCCCCGCTTTGAACCAAGCTCTGTTAAGCTTTCCTTCGCATTGGGTCAAGCTTTGCTGAGCTATACACTCTCGGCGCTTTAATCAATTCGTAACAGAGCGCCCAAATTTTTTAAACAGTTTACAATTTTTTGGCGCTCTTGTCGAATATCTCGCTTTACTCCAAGCTTTTCTACGACCTATTACGACCCCGACGCTTTAATCAAGCTTTGTGCCGATTTGGTGCCGCTTTACAAGCCGCTTTAAAGCGCCATCAAAGCGCCGTTGGTGTGAACGTAGCTTTAGGGAAATCAATGTGCTCAATTATTATCAAACTGATCAAGCATGATTACTAAACATTTTCGTTCACTTTTTTATGATTTTCATTTTTATTGGCATTAACTTCATAACTCCCCCCTTGATTATTTTGTCTTTTGAGAGATCTGTTTGTAAGACGCCTCTTCATTACAGCTGTGTTCAATCGAGATAACAGCGGAGTCTGGAGCTGTTATAGCGGCCACTTTAGCCAACGGGGGGATTTGTCCCATTACAGGAGAAAAGGTCCTCTCAGGAGACGCTGTCAGGAACACACTTTCGCTTATGTATTCATGTGGAATGTATGATTATTCTGGTCAATTCGCCTTCCACGTAAGTATAATCACGACACTATTAAATCTAAGTTTATAATATACACGTAGGCCTGCCTACCTTTGTAGTATCGAAACCAATCTGCCAATTAAAGTCTTTCCCATGCATGTTCTTTTAGAAAATATACCAGCCTAGATATCTCCTAATTAAATCAAATGAGATCTTTCAACTTTACGGAGTATATCTTCCCTATGTGAATAATTTTATGCACAACCCATTTCAGCTTATACAAATACAAGAAAAGGAATGACGATTCAAAGAAGTTATATAGCTATACAGTATGTGGTTCGTTCTCTTACAGGTCGGCTTACCAGCAAAATCGGGAGTAGCTGGGGCAGTCCTATTGGTTGTTCCCAACCTAATGGGCATTTGTACCTGGTCTCCTCCCCTGGACAAGCACGGCAACAGCAACAGAGGGATCCAGTTTTGTGAGGTGAGTAATATAGTCGCTCATTTGCGGGTAACCTTCATGCTAGGAGTAAAACGGAGCCAGTGTATCATACTCTGAAATGTACATTTTCTTTTTAACATTTATATGGCACGATATATAGTGACATGATTATTTGACAATGTTCATATGTTTTTAGCATCTACTGAAGATGTATTAGGTCTTTTGATTTATTTTACGAAAAATGTTCTTGCCCGCAATGCATGACGGAACAGAAGGCAAAAGTTCGAACTACCCATTAGTTGTCAGCAATGTGTTGTCTTTGATAGATACTGGATCGACTGAAAGATGTCGTACAATCTTTCTGTTGACCTATATTCCCTTGTTTTCAGTCCCGTTATTGGCATATTTTTTCTGTCCTATGCAGGAACTGATTGACAAGTTTAGCTTCCACAACTATGACAACCTGAAGCACACTACCAAGAAGATGGACCCCCGAGTGAGGAAAGGAGACGTCTCGGCCAATTCCATTGTTGCCTTGCTTTTTGCTGCCTCTAATGGAGACCTATCTGCCATGAGGAGGTAGATGAATGTTAATTACTAACCTTCTTCTAAGGCCACTGTATCGTGGCCTTCGTCCAAAGATAAATCCCTGCATGTATAACGGGTCATGTCGTAATCATAAATTTGAAATCAAATGTCCGCCATTTTTCCGCATCACAATTTGGATTGCGAGTTTTGGTCTTATTACCTCACCCAAAATTCCAAAACACACATGAATTGATCAATGTATTAGTTCACATCTTCTGGATCGCTAACGTAGAATTTACAGCCAGTTACTATTGTCAGACATTAACGACATTTCGTTCAGTTTTCGAATATCGCTATTTTTCTTGGAGCCATTTTGTTTTGATTTTAGACGAAATCATACAATATCTCATCAAGGAGCTGAGCCGGTCCCATTTTAATTAATGATTTGTTTATCTGGCGATTTTTTGGAATATTCAATAAATTTATGACACACCGGCCAGCTTTTTTCAAAAGGAGTTCACAGTATTCCAGATGAAATTACCTCTAGCCGAGAAATTGGCTAGAGACTCGAGTTATTAATTACCATCAGACCAATGCAGGTTAACCGCAATTAGCTTTTGATTTGTCCTTTTTTCATACGGAATGGTCACTGATGGGTTTTATTCCTGCTTTTGATTCATGTAAATGTGTTTTAGATTTGCACTTTCTGGAATGGACCTTACTGAAGGAGATTACGATGGTCGTACGGCGTTGCATCTTGCGGCAGCAGAGGGGAGGCTAAATGTTGTCAAGTTTCTTCTAGAAAAATGTAAAGTCCCAGTTGACCCAAAAGACAGGTACGGTGCTTTATTTGCCTAGATATTTTTCACTAATGTAATTTAAAAGAGTGACTTGCCTTTTATAATTTTTATCTAACGTTTTGGTTTCTATCTTACGTTCTTTGAAAATAACTTCACCAAAATCAAAAGTATCCCGGATCATCTCCTGAGAATGATACTGTACCTCTCAATATCCTTTCTTAAAGGAGGATTGAAATTAGCACAACAGATTTTGGACAGTCATTTGTTGGATTTTGGCCATTTTCTGAGGATTTAAACAATTACATATGTTAGGCCAATGCATTGCCTATAGGAAAATCACTTCTAGAGATGGTAAAATAATTTCGACTTTGAGACAGGGTAGATGCAAACAACCCACCCACATGTATTTTCTGAAATGTTTTTCTGATTTTTGACCCCTTCCATTCCTGCTTTTTTAATTTTTCTTGCATCAATATGTTGCGTTTTGACACATAGTTAACCACTTAAAAGGAATAAGTGATCCCTCTAGGGGTTTTAAAGATACCCATTATGGGTGACCAAACTGATTTTTCCCTATGGGAAAATAACATGGGAAATATTGTTTTCCACTTTATCTAAATGGACATATGCACATGTTTAAATCCCCAGAAAATGGCCAAAATCAAACATATGACTGTCCAAAATCTGTTGCACTAATTTCCCTTATCCTTTAACACACTTTGGCTTGAAGATTATTTGGAATAATATTATGAAAGGAAAACACGCTATCGTTATATAAATATTTGCCATACTTGGACTGGAGAAGGCTCCATATTTATACATAGGTGGGGCTTTACTCCATCGGACGACGCTAAGAAATTTCAACAAAGTGAAGTCGAGGAGTACTTCTGGAAATACAAACCTGGGCAGAATGAACGTTCTGAAAACAAGACATCTCTGAAAGATCTTGTTCAATCTGTGGTCCTGTCAGAATAAAGTGTGATACGTTGTGCGTGTTTTGGATTAATATGATGTACATGTATGTATCACCATCGATTCTCCTTAACCTTAAATAAAAACAATTATTATTAATATACTGGACAATAAAAAGGTCATATAGTTTCACACTTCGCCTCGTGTACTTCCAGATGGGACTTTACGCCGATGGATGACGCCAAGCGCTTTGGACATAAAGAAATTACGAATTACCTCAGGCAATTTATCGCAGGGGACATCGACATAGGGTCTCTGTCACTGGCAGAATCGGGGATAGAAGCCGATGATGAATCAAATTCTATAGAGTAACTGGACGTTTATGTCAGTTCAGGAAATATAATCAAATTAAATGCAAGTTGGGCCAAAAAGACAGGAAAAGTTCATGAACAGACATAATCATTCGGTTGTATAGCAGGATAAAGCTCACCCTCAAGGCCCGATGAGAACATTATAGAGAATGAGAGAGCAAATATGTCATGTTTTTATATGTAACACACAAGTACTGTATTTTAAATACTAAATGTCATATTAGACACTGACTTAGAGTGAGTGCGCTGCGTGCACCACGGGCACAATAAAAATACGTTTTGCACGCTGGTGTTAGGGAAATTTTTCTAACAAAATCATTATCTTTGATTTGGGTGAAGGAGAACATAATGGCACAATATTATATTCTAGAGCTACATATTTTTGTATTGCAATTCTAACAATAAATCTGATATATAACTGTATTTTGGATACATTTGTTTGTTTGCGAACTTCGTAAATTGTAAACACGAGCGCCAACGAGAGTGGGGCAGAAAGTATAAAACATACAGTAAAAAGAAACAAGTCATAAACCTCGACTATACTGTCTCGTATCATCATGTGCAAAGTTGGATCATTCCCCACAGTTGAGACATCTCTATCTCAATTTATGGAGGGATAAACAAGTTACAACACAAGGCAAGTGAAATATGAGCATATTGATGTTTTATCGTTTCAGTAAGATCTGGTCTAGTTTCTAGTTACTGTGAAGTTAGAACTATAAAATTCACGGTCAAGTTCACTGTCTAGGATGTTGTTACAGACTTTACATATAACAATATCTAGAAACTAGATCAGATCTTTCTGAAACGATGAAAATATCAGTTTGCTCGTATTGTACCTACCCTGCGCGTTCACCTGTCACGCTTAATTTGGTACACACCCTATAACAAAAGGACACGCTCCATTCACCTTCAAAATCAAACTAATTGAAAGACAATTAACAAATTATATAATATTAACAAGGCGAAATGGATATATAACATTAAATAAAAAAAATGCCATATATTTTTTATACGAGTGAAAATGAATAAATATTTTACTTTTCAACATTATTTATAATGTAAATGTATCCTCCAAAACAGATGTATTGGAGAATTCATGATTATTAGACCTTTTTTCTGGAAAAAAACATATTAAATGAAGCCACAAACTTTGTCCTACAGTGAGGGCATCGGGTAAGAACATTTACATTTTTATTTTTACAATTCAATATTATATCCATGGAAACGTGTTTATTGTTTGTTTGACACACACAAAGGTGATAAATAAAATATTTTATTTGAAATTATTCAGGCTTATTGAACGATTAACAAAATATATTGATTTTTTATTCCTTTGAGAATTGCTCAGGTTACGAAATGCCAATATAATACCAATGATGCCGCTTACGAAATTATAAAATATATTCGTGTTCCCTAGAAAATATTGCCATTTGTATGAATATTTTAATTTTCGAATTTTGTCTTTTTTGAAATATCAATTACCGTAAATTGGCCCATGTTTCATGTTAGTTCTAGAGCACAAGACTGGTGTCTTTTTACTTTAAGTTCTGCACACGCTTCCCACCTAGTTTCGGAGTTTCTACATTTTTGCTCTGTTGTGTTGTGATGTTTGTTTCTTTTTTTGTGGGTTTCGCTTTGACTTCATCTGATCTTCTAATCTGACTTATCTTAGGCTCAATATTATCTTGTTTACTGTCTCTCGTTTCACTTGATGTTTCTATTTCTTCAGTTTCTTCAATCTCATCTGTCGCAATTGTCACAGTTTCTTCTTTAGGCTGTTTGTTCTCTGGGCATTCCCGAGCGAAGTGCCCTTCTTTTAAACTTTTTCGACAAGCATTATCGTTGCCACGTTTGTGATTATTTGGACACTCACGACAAAAATGATCCAAGGCCTTGCACCGAGTGCAGTTGATAGGCTTGCTGTTGATATAGATGGTGACATCAAGATCAACAATGTCATCCTCATCAAACGGGTCCGAAGTAGAATAGGTGTTGTAACGTGGAAAGATGACTCTCGCTCAGGGGGCTTATACACTTCCCTGGTATAGCTACCTATTTGCACAAGTTTTGTAATCTGGCCTATCGCGAGTAGTGTGCGTTTTACCTTAGGGTCTTTGCAGTAAACAATAGCTATGCTACGCCCTTTTACTTGCACCATTTGAACGCCTTTAATATCCTCATTACTGACACTGTCAGATCATAATTCATCATATATAATCTTTGTTATGTCCATTTCCTTTGCAAATACTCTATCTAATTCTATTTTTACCCAGAGTGATGTGTTATTGTAGCCTTCAGCCATTGTGTTCACTCTTAACTTTAGTATTTATATATGTTGTATTCAAATATTAATGTTCTTGAGATGGTCCCTCAAGAAAGTTTATCATAACGTTCTCCACTATTTTCAATATATTGTTGGTTCAGATAAAGTTCAGTTCAATATTATGTCATTCAGTCTTGAACCATGAATTATATAGGACAGTTATTGTATCAGCTCTATTCAAGTCAAGTTTTACATCAGGTCATTATTATGTAATTCATTGATCCAGTATCAAGATAATGTCAAGATCTAGGCCAGTTGTTTTTATGTGCAATTGCTTCTGTTTATTTGTGATTTTTGCTGCTCAATTTTTTAAGCAAGATCTTGAATTCTACTCCCTGCTAGTTTCAGAGTTGGTTCCTTATACTATGACAATGACAGGATATCAATGAAATCCAAAATGTGATATTTAGTTAATGTTTCTAAACTGTTTTGACCATAGGCGTTCATCTATTCTGGATACAACTGAAGAGTTGTATTTAAGTGGGGTCAAATGTGAAGATCATTTTGAATTGACGCTCGGTATAAATATTATATAATACTTTTGTTCTTTCATATCGGTAGCACGTTGGCCTCGTGGTTAACGTGCCTAGCTTCCACGCTCTAGGTTAGTCGACCGAGACCCGTTCATGTCGAACTTTTTGATTTGCTTGTTGTCAAGATATAATAAATAGAGCAAAATCCAGAAAAAGTAGATCAAAAATACTCCAATTGGGTATAAATTGTCACTAGGATTCCGAAATGAGACGAATGTTAACTCGTGAAATCTCGGAAGATAAAGTAGGTCAGAAAATCCGGATTAATCCGAACAAGGTTCGGGGATTTTCGTCATAAGAAGTAGATCAAAAAATACTCCAATGGAGTATAAAATTGTCACCAGGATTCCAAAATACGACGAATCGAATCGGCAAACTTCGGTACAATAATGAAGTTCATAAAAACCGAAATGATTCGAACAACGTTCGGATAAAATCGTGAAACAGGTGTCCCCATCATCTTTCCCGACATGGTTCCAAAAGCCTTATATGGATCTATCACGTGACATTCAAAATGACGTTCCTGTATGGTTCTATGGGCCTAATATGGATCTTTCGAACACGTGACCTAATACCTAATCAAAATCAAAATTTTACCTTGACCATTGGATGGGATTTCATAGAAAATATCCAAGAAAACATATCCTCGTGATCCTTAAATAATACGTTTAATCTAAGCTCCGAATTCATTCAAAGCGTGACGGTACATTTTCAGTTTTTATTTACACGAAGAGGTCATTGTACATGGACGGGATCCCTACTGTGATATAAGCTACACATGAATTAAATTAGTTAAAGAAGCATGCAGTTGTACGTTGCAAGTTTGGTTTAACAGCCAAGGTCGTGAAGATAGATAAGTTATTTGCCGTAAGTGGAAGGTCATTGTGGAGAAAAGACGCTGACTGCACATCCAATAGGTAGAACAATATATAATTATTTTTCTTGTAAAATATGATCATAATATAAACTACACTTTAGCATATTTGATTATTTTTTTGGAATGTAGTCTAAATGTTTAAATGTAATTACACGTCGCACGAACAGGGGACAAATAGCGTAAAATTATGGCGTCAAAATACCAAAACAAAACAACGAGGAGTATAGGGCGCAATCAGCCTTATAACGTCAAAACCGACAAGCGTTACATTTTAGTTTAGTCAGCCTAAAAATAAGATGGTTTATTCTTATCCAATCTTGGTAAAATTCAAAGAGCAACAAGATCTCGAAGACAATATTTCTAAAATGTTTTTGATTTTTGAAAAACGGTGAGGAAATCCACCCGGGACGTTAGTAAAAATTGATATGTATGGGATTGTGGTAAAAAATCGATGCGTTACATTTTTCCAAGTCCCTAAAAGCAACTCTTATTTTCATATTATTTGAAAAATAAAGAAATCGGTTATTGTTTTGTTAATTCCGTCATGACAATATTGTGCAATTAATTTGTTTTGAAATCAGACCTAAATTAGAAGGTTAAATAAAGGTAAACTTATTGCCTGTCTTCCTCGCCTTCAAAACCTTACACAATTTTACACAACGTTCATATAAGACAATTTGAACTGTAGCCGTTGTGCAATTGTGACGTCATAAATGCACATGTTCTATTGAATAAAATGTGAAATTTTAATAAAATTCTGATCAGTATTTCAAAAGTTATCCCGATTTCAACGAACCGTGAAATGTTACGTCTTACAGCGTATTTTACGATGTCTGGGTAAATTTAACTCTAGAAATATGGTAGATCCCATCGAACTTCACTGAAATGAGAATAAAAGTACTTTAAAATGATATATAAAGCACATAGTTAGCTTTTTAAATAAGGCAGATATTACGCTTAAAGCTGAGATTAGCCCGTATTTCTTGAATTGTCCCCAGGTCCGTGCACGTCATAAATATAGATTATTTAGTATAAAGCTTATTAATGAAACTTACACTCCCCTCCATAAGTTTGGCAACCTTTTTTCCCCATTGAACTACGTGTTAAAGCCTCTTTACGTTTGAATTTCTATTTACTTAACCGGCGATGAAATAACTTATAATATCGATGGAAACGTAACTTGACTTTATTTCCAATACCTCCAAATTTTCTCAATTTTTTTTCCTGAATTACAATAGGTCGAAAATTGATGATAAATTTGATGAATTTTTGAAAATCGTCATTCCCATGTAATCCAATGGGAAATGGAGGGTTCGGGGCAAATCAAAAATCAGGATATATTTTCAGTAAAAGATTCAGCAAAAAATATTTTTATATAGAAAATTGAATTCTCTAACTTTTTTGATCACTAAGTGTTTAGTTTATTTGATGAATATTAAAGTTACAGCGCTTCAAAGTCATTTTTGAAAATATTTTTTCGCCTCCTGTGTTATTTCAATGGGAGAGGTTTTTTGAAAAACAATTTTCACTTTAAAACCCTATAACGTTGTTGAACCTGAAGAAACATATCAATTTTTTGTTAAATAAAGTTAGCAAATTCAATTGCCTACCTAACTCGTATTTTTTGCAAGGACTCGGATGGATGGATATTCTGCCAAATGACTTGCGGCAAACCTACCATTTCCCATTGGTTAACATGGGAATGTCGATTTTCAAAAATTCATCAAATCTATCATCAATTTTCGACCTGTTGTAATTGAGGAAAAAATTGAGAAAATTTGGAGGTATTGGAATTAAGGTCAAATTACGTTCCCATCAATAGTTTAAGTATTTTCATTGAAGGTTAAGTAAATAAAAATTCAAAGGTAAAGAGGCCTTAACACGTAGTTCAATGGGGGAAAAAAGGTTGCCAAACTTATGGAGGGGAGTGTACGTTGTGGAAATAATTGCCGCTCTCAGTCTGTAAAAGTTGCAAACGCAGCTTTAATTCATGCCACGGTGGCGAGACCGAAGACTGATTCTCTCAGTAATCAGATTCTTAATAAAATAGGCACACTGTACGCGCAATATGCAACACACGGTACTATTTGATGTTTTAATGCTCGATCATGGCGGACAGAGAGTGAGAATGTGGACAATGAAATAATCAAATCTCGACTCCCACTGATGAGAAACCCATATTTTGCCCTCCAATCATCCGGGTATGTAGATAGCATTGACATTTTGTTTAGTTTGCATAAATTCATTGCAAGCGTAGAGCTATCTAGCCATAGGGTCGGCTATAATAAGAGTGTTCGAATATATTTGGCTTTGAATCAAGTCATTTTTATATACTCGTTATACAGGTTCTTTATTAAGTTTTCAACCACACACATTTTGTCCTTATGAACGTGTCAGGTTGAACGACGACTGAACGTTTAATTTCCTCCTGAACATGCGTTTCAATCAATGAAACCGAAATGATTTTGTTCTTAATCTGTTTTGGTAAAATATATGTATGTTTTGCAAGAATACGTAAATACAATGTGAAAATAAATCATTACTCGCCGCAAAATGCAGATGCATTGCTGTTTTTCCGTTTTTGATGAAAAGAAAGGGACTAAACGGTCGCGACTAATATATTGGTCGCGACTTTTGTTATTCTAAATCTTAAATACACCTCCTAAATGGTATGGTTCGTTATAAACATTTATAAACGAAAAGGCGATACTGTACCTAATGAGATCAACTTTTCAAAGTTGCATTTTTGCATTTTGCTACGCTTGAAAATATGTGGCGAGTTTATTATTCATTTCAACAAATATATTTCTATCCATTGCAGTATTTCGATTTCAACTTGCTTTAAATTGAAGTTTTTAATCATGTACAAGCTCTCGGGAGTTCACGTCTGACCTCAAATTTGAGATTTGACATTCAATTTGCTCAAAATACTCGACCGGCCAGGCACAGGCCGATGAATCGAAGTAAATGTGACCTAGGCATTAGGTCGTGGATATTTTCTTAAATATGCAATAAGGTTTAATTGTTCTGTAAACAAAGTTATGTACCAAAATATGATATGATATTATTTTATCATTGTATAAGTATTAGATCAATTATTATTGAGACAGTCAACCAAGAAAAACAAATAAAGTTGGACTAAAACCAATTTAAGAATCCCTTATTATCTTGTTTTTAGCACAAATAGCATCCCTATTGTTATTTGACTACAAAGCTTGTGATATTTCCCCACACAACACGATTTATTAACAGGTAAGACTGTCAACCCTTGAAATGTTGTTATTTCTGCGCACTTTTTTGAGGTCACCTGACCACGACGTATCGTGTGTGTTATTATGGCGCAAAATTCGAAAAATTGTTGCAAACTACTACGAAGGCTGAGCCAAAGTAAAAATATACATTAATTCCACTTTCGTACGCATTCCAATAGCCACATAAATATTTTTAATTGGTTGAACTTCACAAAAAGAAATTCTTGGGGAAAGAGCACTGCAATATTAATCATTATATCATATTATATATTATTAATAATATTTATGCCTCAAATTTGTACCTTAAATACGTACGAATGATAGATGCGATTTTCGCGGCCAAAAAGAATTTGATATTCTTTGTATTTCTATTTCCTTTGTAATAACGGCTCACAGCAAATCACTTGTATCCTGTCTTGTGTAATGAAAATGTATATTGAGAACCCCAACACTGGCAATGTTTGCTGTTATATAACTTACACTCAATATTGCAAGTGATATTAGACCCTTCGCAAAATCGATGAGAGAAGCCTCAATCATGCAATAATTGGCTCAACATAAGAGCGAATACCTCGTTTTGGAAAGCCAGAGTTTCATCTTTATTTACAAAATCGTATTTCGCGGCGAATTGTTTTAACCACACACGTCATGTCACGTGACGTGAAATTTCTGCTCTGATAATGAAATCAGTTTTGCTACAAAAACATTCACGTGCTGACTTTATATCCCCGATATCATGATAAAATGAACTTTTGGAATTGCTGATGGTTCACCATCGTAAAGTGTGGCCTTCATACGGTAAGATAGCATAAAAATATCTAAAAAGTGTAAAATGGTTTGAGTACAACTTTGATTCCTCATTTAATGGCATTCGATTTACATATACTAACTTGTACGTTGAACTGATTCAATGGGCTTGTTCACTTACCAAAATGTAACAATGAGCCCTAACCGTTAAACTGATTCAATGGGCTTGTTCACTTACCAAAATGTAACAATGAGCCCTAACCGTTAAACTGATTCAATGGGCTTGTTCACTTACCAAAATGTAACAATGAGCCCTAACCGTTAAACTGATTCAATGGGCTTGTTTTATATATTTAGTCTCAAAAATGTAACAATGAGGCACAACCGTTAAACTGATTCAACGGGCTTGTTTATTCTCAAAATAGGTTTATGGGCGATTGGGCGCCGTAACCACGAGTTTGCGAGTTCGAGACGCGTGTGCTCCTTGTGTTTATTCATTTATGATCACTGTCTGAGCTTTCAGTTGCAGAGGTATTAACCCGCTCTGGTTTAAGCAGTGTGTGTGTGGGTAGAAAATGTCCGTTGTGCTTCCTCTAGTGTGTTCGAGTGTTAACATCAGCTGCCTCTAGTCAGATCGACTGACAAAACAACCTTTTTGGGGTTGTCGAGTTGGCCGAGAGGGGTAGAGCGCTGGTGTAAAAGGGAAGGAGGTCCTATCAAATTATGGTCTTACTCTCCATTGATTTACATTGTGACCTAAATACAACTCCTTCCCTCTTTATCTTACACGCAACCAGGGCCAGATAGGGCCCTTAAGAAAGGGGACCATAATCCCTAGGGGACCATCATTTCTTTCACACCGGCACGTTCGAGCTAGGCGATTGGGCGCCGTAACCACGAGGTTGCAAGTTCGAGACGCATGTCCTCCTTGTGTTTATTCATTTACAATGAGTCACAGTCATTGAACTGATTCAATGGGCTTGTTTATTCTCATAATAGGTAACAATGAGACACAACCATTGAACTGATTCTCTGGGCTTGTTTATTCTCAGAATTGTAACAATGAGGCACAACCGCTGAATCTATTCAATGGGCTTGTTTATTCACAAAATAGGTTACAATGAGCCCAAACCGTTGAACTGATTCTATGGGCTTTTTAATCTCAAAATAGGTAACAATGAGCGACAATCGCACACCTACCACTGCGATCCAAACAGGTATCAGAACACAGAGGAGTTTCCAAGATATCGTAAATTCCAGTGATTGGTATGTCATGCTTAATTTTAGCGACTAATTATCTAAACATTGGCTTGCAGCTACAGTGTAGACTCATCGCTAGTAGTTTACTTAGCAAGATCCTCTGAGCTTCTGTCATTCCTGCTGTCTGACAGCTTTGGCGAGTAGCAGCTTTGGCGTGTAACACCTTTGGCGAGTAGCAGCTTTGGCGTGTAATACCTTTGGCGGGTAACATCTTTTGAGATCTCTGCTTGTAATTGCCTAAGGGCTTCGGCGTGCAGTGTGACCCCAGGTGTTTATAACACAATGGCTTCCGAGAATAAAATCAGTAATATTGACAAAGACTTTATATTAGGAGACTTCAAAAAACTGTGGTGAGTAATGCCTACCTCACGTTAGCCCCGATTTATCGGCCGGCGCCCGTACGATTCAGTATTCTGTTTTGAAACGAAATTTAATTCTGAACAAAATACTCAATCGTACGGGCGCCGGCCGATGAATCTGAGCTAGGCAGTAGTGGTTTATTTTTGAATAGCTTTCCTGATAATTATTTTTACTAGCTAGCTCTAATGCTATATCGGGTGTCCAAAAAATGAGGCACTTTTTTACAAGTATTATCTCAGCAACTGATCAACCAAATTCACTGATAGTTTGTAGAAAGCAGCCCAAGAGTATTGTTAGCAAAGTACAAAAATATTAAAAAAATCAAGTAAATGTAATGTGAGAACTAAGGAATTCAAGATAGCATGTCTTAATAATTATCCCATACAGAAGCTACGCAATGAGAACTTCATAGCGTTTTGTACCAAAAACTGAGAAGCAACTTGACAGAGTCAGCAATAGATAAGCCAAATTCTTTAAAAACTTTACCCGAGGCACTTTAGGGAATTCTTGCTAGTGCTATGAATATGTAAGAGATCCCATCGAACGCAGTGAAGGCCAGGCGTGTGAAAATGATAACTGGTACAAGCACTGAAGAGGTCCGGTATGGGCATTTTAACGTGCGTTTTGAATATCTTAGTACTCACAGAATGTTTATTTGACCAAAATATGTACAACAATTCTGGGAATTTTGTTTATCAGTTGCCGAAAAAATACTTATCATAAAATGGCTCATTTTTGAGACACCCAATATATCATAAAATTGTCTGATAATTTAAAATGATCTCTAACTTGCATATCACCAAGAATTAACTTCGGTAAAATAGTTCTTTTCTTTATATACCATAGCTTAAATATGTTAAAATTGTTAATGAATTCATTTATTTTAACACTGCCAATTACACAGAAAGTGTTGCAGATAAAAGGCTATAAATAATGGAATACGATTGCTACAATTCTTGAAGACACAATGACACATAAGTTTTATTCACACTTTGAAGAAGGACTATATAACCACGGTCTTGGGCTGATTGGCATGCGGCCATGCGAGTGTGGGCGCCACATAAATCAAATGTTGTCATCATCATTCAAGGAAACCCTCTTAAACTAGTTCAACTAGTAGTTTTTTTACAGATGCTAGTGCAGACGAGTGCCAAGATCTGATTAGGTTAAGGGTATGCTGAGTAAATTACTCGGCGGTCATTTTGATTTTTTCCAAAAAAGCTTCCAGGAAAACTTGATAAGGTGTGGGTATGCCGAATGTACTACAGAGCGGCCATTTTGCATTTTTCGAAAAATCGGCCGCTTTGAATTTTCCTAGTTGCTTCAATTATTTTTAAATAATTGACATTCGAAAAGTACTAGTTATTAATGTCTGAAATATTTTTAAGTGAAAAGGATAATCTGTATTTCACACGTAGCTAGACAAGGTGTGTCCGATTCCAGCCAACCAGAACAGAGTATTCGCATAATGAACAATGTGTGAAATATCAATAACACATGCAAGGTCACCAGTTAAACACATGTCATGGTGATGATTGGATTTGATAACTTGCCAACTTGACCCTTGCAAAAAATGTCATTGAAAATGTGTTCTTTTAGCTATTTTGTTCCTTTTAGATAATTTTGGAGAACATATTTTGCAATGTGTGAAAAGAATTTAAGCCAAAACTCATGCATTTTAGCTGTTTCATTCAACTCGTGCGTTGTTTCCTAAACTATGTATTCCCGCTGCGCGGTCATGTTAAGAAGTGTAAACAACACCTTCTTGGTATGATTCAGCAAACAATACACTGAGTCCAGGGCTTAAGTCCATAATATGTACAGTGTATGTATTCCTGTTTGTAATTGCCATAGCCAATTAAACAAATTAAACGTCATGTCTTGCATATAGCAGCACCCATATTTCCATTTGTAGCGCCGAGCAGCTGAGTCGAGTTACCAAGCCCACAGACATTGAAGATGCACTGTTTAATCTTCTCAAGAATGGAGATATGGTCAGCATTCAGAAATTCTGGGCTGTAAGTAGAATCTTTTAGCCGTTTTCTTAATTGTTTTCAAATTATCAGTATAGTTTTGTCAGACTCATTTGGTTTGAGATGGATTGGAACATTTGATTATTCTCCGCAAAAAAAGGTATTACTCGTTTAAAATACACTCAAATTTTAGTGAGCACACTCGACACAGTCCAGTCAATCGTTTATGTGTTCCTAGGATAAATAACTTCTTTTCTTCATCCTAGATCTGTTCTTACTCATGTATCAATGTTGTTATATGTGATCTCACAATGACCAGATTATTTGAATTTACTTGCCTGGCCTAGTACAATGGGGTATGTAATTGTACGTATGACTGATATATTTCATTAAAGACCAGCCGATGTCTTGACTGTGATGATATAAAAACGATGATATTAAAATGAGAATCGTAAACGTAAACAACGAATCATTCCCATGTTTTTGGAAATGTAAAAAAGTCTGATTTTAATTTGACAGGCGCTAGAAATGACTGGATTGAGGGAGACTGACCCCAGGCTAAAAGAAACAAAGGCTAATTTAGATGATGTACGGGAGCAACATCTCTACGACACAGATGAGAGCAATGATGAAAAAGTTGATAGAGAAACATTTAAAAAGTACAGTTCAGTTTTAAAATTACATTTTGGGATATGTGCCAGCCAAATTTGAAATGATAAGGAAAGAGGCCAAATGTTTTCAAGATCAGGTGTACAGCTCATGATATCAGTTATTGAAAAAAGTGTAACATTTTCAGTTGACCTCCCTTGGCTCCTTCTAGTCAGAAACCCATGCCTCTCTATCGTTCCAAAAAATTTACCCAACGTATCAGTCTCTGTTAATTTATGGCATCCATACTTTTTTGAAAGGTAACGTTTTGAGGTTCAATTTTCTGCCGGATGCCTTTGCAAACTCTCATCGAATGCTCTGTATTGTAGCATTCCGGTACCATGGTTTCGCATCTATAGACATCTTACATTGGAATCTTAAATTATTTGTAGCTTTGTCATTATTTTGTCTATAGAAATTATATTGGTATTAAATTAAACCTAAATAAATTTAGCATATAGTTACAATATTGAATTATACAAATTAGCTCATTTGCAAATTTTGACATCATAAATCTATTTTTGGTTCAGGATTTTCAAGAATAGCAATGTATCTTTAAGAACTGAAGCCATGCGGTAGAATTTCTTTAATGTTATGACTTTTATTCTATTAGCAGAAGGTATAAGCAACATAAAAGTGAAAACATATTCAAAATTGGATTAAAACTAACAAAGTTATTATAAGCTTTCTAGGCAGCTACCATGAACGTTATCATTTAACAATTATCTTTAAACATCTTACCTTAGAATTGAAATGTTTGGTAGTTTTGTCATTATTTGGTCTATAGAGAAGATCTTGGTATTGAATTGATCCTAATTGAATAACCGGTATGGTAACGATATTCACTGATGCAAATTAGTTAATTTGCATAAATTATGATGTCATAGACATCAAACTATTTTTGGTTCAGAACCTCCAAGTATAGCAACATATTTATTAGATCCAAGGTTGTATGGCATAGTTTCTGCAAAGTCTGTCATTTATCTATGAGTGGAAGAGGTATGAACAACATAAAATTGATTCAAAATTGAATTAGCATGAGCAAAGTAATTCAGCTTTTGAGGTAGCTACTATGAACGTTACTATTTGACAATCATAAATACAACACTAAAATAACAAAAATGAACCAAAGTTGCTTCAAGGTTATTGAGTGAAAAATATATTTTTTAATGTCACTAAATTAGTTGGTGTATAGAAATGATACATTTATTTGTAATTTTGACTATCATTGGCAGGGGTCAAAACATTTTTTGATTTTTGTAACATGATTTATTGTTTGTGAATGGGTGAATGGAACGGTAAACTTTGTTATGTAATCTATAAATTTTTTTAATTGATTTGCTTCATAGGCGTCAATCTATTTAAAAAGGCAAAACATCATGACTGGTTAAACATCAATATTTGTGGTGTGATTCGACAGTGAACATCTACATGAATTTTTAAACTGATTTGCTCCAAAGGCGTCAATCTATTTAAAAAGACGAAACATCATGAATGGTGGAAACATTAATACTTGTGCTGCAATTCAGCAGTTAACATCTACATGACCTGTTTATACAAACTGATGACGTTATCTTAAAAAAATGTATGTCGTTACTGTTTTTAATGTCACCACCAAGGACTCTGTGAAATATTATTATGGTCTCCATTTTTGAGACGGCGTTTAACACCTGGTGTCTGGTCTTGGGCATCTGTAAAAATGGTACATGGTGACATTCTGCATGGTTATGCCTTGTTTAAATTATTTACGAAATGTTATGAAAAATATCAAAATAATATATCTTTAAAAACTTCATTAAAACAGCAAATAAAATTATATTTTGAAATGAGGTTTCAAAACAGTTTATCATCTTTAAAAATCAAATTTTATTTGAAAATGTGATTTCTAGGTCGGGGAGATCAATGTTATAAAATCACAATAAGAGAAATATAGTTCCTTTTATTGTTGTGACTTTTATTTTACTTTCATTTGTATATCAAAATAGGTAATATAAAAATTGACCAATAGATGAATATTCAAGTTCAAAGGAACTTTCTAATATCTACCACGTTCCCGAATTAACAACCTGATGATGAAAATATGGTCATTGTGCTGCTAGAGCTGATACTTCCTTAAACTACCGTTATTAATTATTTGCACATTGATTGTACTTAAAGCGAGAAATCCTAAATATTAATCTGTAATAGAGTAAAACATATACTATTTATTTCTTTAGGTGTACTCATGACAATATTGTGTTGATTGGTATGGCTTTCAAGAATGAAATGATCATCCCGGAGTTCTGGGATTTTACGGGTCACATAGACACGCTATACTACTCGTGTCAGAAAAACACCCAAGGAACTGTGAGTACTGTTGTTTGCTTATTCGCATGTTGTTTGTTTGTTGAGACGCTCTGCATTACTTGTTCAAACATTTTAAATTATAAGTATCCCCACAAAAAAAGGTTATATAAAAAATCGTGACGTTACTTTTCAATGAAAACTTTAAGATTGGAATGCATTTAAAGTTATTTAAGTAATTCATATTCATGATTTTTTCTTTGATTTCATGTAGCCAGCACAGTACATTCCACAGCTGGCTAGAGTGGATCCAAATCTATGGGGAGTCTCAGTGTGCACAGTGGATGGACAGAGGCAAGTTATTTACCAACTATAAACTGTTAATACGTTTGGCAAATACTAAAGTTACTTTATATTGAATAAAAAAAGTAAACAACAATATAGAATTATACACGACGGAATATACAGATGTAATGCACGAAAAAGGAATTTGAATTGGAAATTGTGATTCCTAACACCTCAGTCACATTTCCCACTGCCGCCGTGCGGTCTATCATTTCTGCGGCCATTAGCTTTTCTACGCTCGCTGTAGAATTTCTGTACTTTTGCAGTCACATTTCCCAAGGTGAATTTTACATTTCTGTTGATAAATAATACTTGTTTTCATTTTATTTACATCAGGACAATTTATAAATGTTATTCATAGTGCTAGGATGTAATATCAAATGAAAAGTGATCTCGAAACATTGACAAATAAGGATTCAATCTTGTTCAGCCAGTTGATTTCTACGGGGACCTCAGAAATGAACAAATATTATAACTCCGAGTTATAATTTCTACGGCGACCATGCGGCCTGTAAAAAACTGGATACGCCGTACGGAGGCCGCAAGGCGAGCATAGTTTTCCTATGCTCGCCGCAGAAATACACTGATTTAATTGATCTGCGGTCGACGTACGGCCGCCGTACGACAAATGTGACTGGGGTGTTAGTTATAATTCAATTATTTTTTATAATTCAATTATTTATTTCATAATTCTTATATAATATACACTATAAAAACAAGCCGCTAGACACCCTAGTGGGTATATGTTGCGGTTTAACAGAAATCATTAAAATGACAACTAGACTACATATAAAAGAAAACACTTATATTATGTTACATGTAGGTATATAAAAATGGTATTAACAATTAATCTAAGGATGTACAATGTAAAAATGTTACAAAAATCGGGTACCAGTATAAAATCAACAGTATAGTATGATATTGGTATTATACATTATCGATAGATGAGTAGTTTTTTATATGAAGATTTGAAAATATTTAGAGTGGAGCATTTTTTAATATCATGTGGTAGAGCATTCCAAAGATTAGGACCCAGATAGCGAAGGGAAAGTTTAGAGCATTTAGGGATATGAAAATAATGCAATTGTCTTGTGTAATGATGATGAATATTAATGTTGATATCAAACAAGTCTTGAAATAGATTTTTTGGAAGACTGGGGTGCTTATTAAAGATTTTGTACATGAACTGACCAGTACAATATCTGTTGATATCAAAAATATTTAATATTCTAAGATCTTTAAATAGGGGAGCGGAGTGAGAAAGTCTATCCTTATTTAAAGCTAGCCTTAAGAATTGTTTCTGCAGTTTATGTAGACGATCATAAAATGATTTAAATGTGTTACCCCAGATTATGTTGCAATAATTTAATTGAGAGTGTATCAATGAGTAGTAAATTGTTTTGAAACTGTCTATTTGAAGTAGATGTTTAATGTGATAAAGAGAACCAATGACGCGAGAAATCTTTGTTTCAACAGATTTTATGTGCTCTTTAAATTTCAAGTTTTTATCAATAATAATTCCAAGAAAGTCAATTTTTCCCGGAAATTTATGTTCTCATTGCGTATTTTAAGATTCAGATTTGTTTGATTTTTTGGGGGGTCCAAATAGAATAGCATTGGTTTTGCCAATATTAAGTGAAAGTTTGTTTGCTTTTATCCAGCCATCTATTGAATTCAAGTTTGCATTAGTTCTAGTCATAAGTTCATTTAAATCATAATCACTATCAAGAAGATTGGTGTCATCAGCAAACATAATAAATTTTAAATTAGGGGCAACAAAAGGCAGATCATTTATGTAAAGAATAAATAATAGTGGTCCAAGTACCGAGCCCTGCGGAACACCACAATTTAGAGATGATTGTTTAGATTCATAATTGTTAATGGTGACATATTGTTTGCGGTCTTTTAAATAACTTTCAAACCAGGACTTAGCTATTCCTCTGATGCCATAATATTCAAGTTTTTGTATCAAAATGTCATGATTAATTGTGTCAAAGGCCTTGGAAAAATCCAATGTTATGCCAATGCTCGTTTTCCCCAAATCAGTTGATTTTCGAATTTGTTCAATGAAATATAAAATGGCCATGTAGGTAGAGTTGAATTTCTGAAATCCAAATTGATAAGTAAAAATAATTTCAAAACGTTCTAAAAAACCAGTGAGTTTGGCATGCATGAGCTTTTCTAACAATTTAGAAAATACAGATAAAACTGAAATTGGTCTATAGTTCGAAGGATTTGTAGTGACACCTTTTTTAAATACAGGTGTTACTTTGGCCAATTTGAGGGCGTCTGGGAAAATACCAGATTTAAAAGATAAGTTAAATATATACAAGAGTGGATCAATTAAAAACTGTCTTGCAGACTTAATAAGTGATGGTAGAATCCCATCAGGTCCAGGCGAGGAAGATTTTAGAAGACACATTTCTAATTCAAGCTCAGTTTTTGAGGTCTTTTTGAGATAAATAGATGATTGAACTTTTTGAGCTCTTGCTACGTATTCATTAAAGCATTTTTTGGATTTTGGAATCTCCTTGGCTAGAGTTTTACCAATATTGGTAAAAAAATTATTAAATCCATTGGAAATGATTTCATGATCTGTTGTTTCCTTTCCATTTATAGTGAATTTAGATGGCAATGCAGCTTTTTTGTTTTTTCCAAGTAGTTCATTAATGATAGACCAAGACTTTTTAATGTTACCACTTACTTCGGCAAACTTATTTTGATAATGTGTACGTTTTGAGTATTTAATTATGTGCTTAAGTTTATGGTTGAAGGACTTGTAAGCTTTTCCTGTTTTGCAACAGGGATTTTTCAAATATTTGGTATATAGCTTATTTTTAGTTTTGGCAGAAGTTAAGATGCCAGAAGTCAACCAGGGTCTATTAGGATCATGATTAACTTTGATAAATTTGGATTTGAGTGGAAATGAAGAATCGTATTGCTCCATTAACAAGTTAATGAAGATATTAAATGCTATGTTTACATCTTGACTTTTATAGCAACGGGTCCAGTCGACATTTGAGAGTTTCTCAAGAAATAATTGCTTATTAGAGTCATTGAAATTACGATAACTGCTCAATGTTTTTTTAGGTTTGGTAGTATCATAATGTGAAATGGAATAGATTGGAAAGTGATCAGAAATGTCCTCCATGATGATACCACATCCATCAATATTAGGGACATTAGTAAAAATATTATCTATAAGAGTTGCAGTCTTGTCAGTAATTCTTGTCGGCCTATATATTAGTGGGACATGGTTGAATGAATAAAACTGGTTCAGAAAATCATGTGTGGGTTCATGAGATTCAACCTTAAGTAAATCAATGTTGAAGTCACCCATGATGTAAGATAATTTACCCTCATCTGCTATTTTATTCATATAATCACCCAAGTCACTATTAAAATGTGACACATCAACACCAAGTGGCTTATATATGACAGTAATAATGATATTTTTTGAGTTTTGACTGATTAATTCAATAGCTACTGATTCACACTCTAGATTATCAACCCTAAGGTCATTGCGTGTAATATACTGCAAGGAGTTGTGAACATTTATACAGACACCACCCCCTCTTTTATCTATTCTAGAATTAAATTCTGATGAGTAGTTAGGTAAGTTAGTTCTTGATTCATTTCACAAATGCTGTCTTTATCTCTAAAGATTAGGTATATGTACAATTACTTAAGGTGCTATGGAAGTTAACAGGAAATGACAAAACAGGAAATGACATTTTTTGCATTTTTAGACATTTTTTGAACAAAGATAACAGAGTTCTGTTTTGACCTCCAGTCAAACAATTTTGGACTGAAGTTGTAACTTAAGAAGTTATTCTAAAATGGTGTATCCTAAGAAACATGCTGTATTCCCTGCTGTCCAGACGATAGCATAGTTATAACCTCATTTTATCCCTGTATTAATGCATTATTTTCATAAAGTATAATTGTCAATGTAATGGTACTTTATTTCAGACATTCAATCGGTGATACAACGAAACCATTCAGTATCCAGTCTTGCAGTAAACCTCTCACATACGCACTTGCTATGAGTGAGATAGGAGTAGACGAAACTCACAAATATGTCGGCCAGGAGCCAAGCGGCCGTAGCTTCAATGAATTGACATTAGATAGTCGCAGTAAGTTGCTTTCAAGGACTGGCGTCTATCGAAAAATATTGATTATAGCAAATGAATGAATAAATTGGGAATTTTCCAACCTTGAACACTACATGATATTTTATACTATATAATTTTATGTATTTCGTAACTCAAAAACTATAGTCATTTTAAAGTATTAATTGAGTTCCCAGCAATCGCTCCACCACTTTTTGAATTTGTGATTTGATGTTTTTTCTTGAACCAACATTGCCGTATTGTGTTTTAGATAAACCACACAATCCTCTTATAAATGCAGGCGCTATAATTACAGCTGGACTATTAAAAAGAAAACATCCGATATCAGAAAGATTCGAATATGTAAGTTCAGTTTAGAACATACATCGAAGAAATCGAGGTTAAAAAATATTTTTATACCTCACATTTTTTTTTAATATTGTAAGGAAAAAAGAAAAGAAGATATTCTATAATGTATTTTCTTTTGACACTGACACATGAAACCAAATAAAGATGTATACAATTAAAGGCCCGATGAAAACCATTTTGGCTAATATCGTAGTGTTGCACAATGTACTAGTAATCAAAATGTGATATGTCAAATGCCTGCTCAACTTTTCAGAGTCTAGTTTTAGAATTTTTGACTACAAAGTGTTTGCTGATTTTCCTGCTTTTCATAAATGATCTTTAACCTTTTAAGTCATAACACATATTATTTGGATAAATAAAAAATATTTTCATTTCAAACTGCCTCTGATTGGAGTCTTTAAAATATGAAAACACGTGTTTGATTTGATTGCAGGCTCAGGAAAGTTTCAAACGTTTAGCAGGTGGTGAAAATATTGGTTTTAGCAACTCAACTTATTTATCAGAAAGAGCAACGGCAGACAGGAACTTTGCTCTGGGATATTACATGCAAGAACATAAATGTTTTCCTGAAGGCGAAGACATGGTAGAAACCCTTGAGTTTTACTTCATGGTGAGTCGCACTCGGTACGCACAAGCAATCCCCACTCCTAACTCATTGTGCACTTTTCTTTTTTCATCTAAACACAATCAATGTACAGCCTTCTTGCGGGCGGGGGTACACTGGATTCAGCAATTCGACCTACCTTAGTGAGAGGGCGACAGCTGACAGGAACTTTGCCCTACATGTAGGCTATTACATGAAGGAACATGGTTGTTTTCCTGAAGGTTTGGATCTGGTGGAAACTTTAGAACTTTATTTCATGGTATGTCAGGCCCAAACTCGTAAAGAAGGGCCACTAGAGAGATTTCTCAACTCACTTATAATATACGGGAATCCAATGTATTCTTATAAATCGTCATCTATACCCATACGGACGTATGGAGCTACGCACGCATTAAATGATGACGTAATCAAACGCTTCACAAGATACATGTATATGCAAGAGGGCGAAACCCCCAGAGCTCTTGCGATGACTGACATACTTAGGTCAGTCAAAAAGTTCTGTTTATTTATCTCTAACTTTGTCATTTTGAGGTATTATTTCTTGATATTTGGTACATCTATAGAACATACATTTGTGCTAATATTGACTAAACATTGTATCTCAACCATCATTGGTTACTGAATAATGGTTGCTATGGTAACAGAAGGGCGATGTACTCGGTTCAACCCAATTTTATTGATTTTCATACACTGTTATATTACATGAAATATACTTTAAACTGTCTCAATATTTAAAAACTCCTTTTTATCTAAGTCCCGGATGTCATATCTAAGTTTAATTGAGTTATTTAGCCTTCAAAATAGTCGCCTCCTGCAGCAATGACCTTTCTGTGCCTTTCTACCCAGTCTCTGAAGACACCTTTAACCACCAGCCGACAATTCATTTAAACGTTTGCGCACGGCTGCCCGCAGAGCCTCATCGGAATCAAACCGGATCCCCCGAAGACCCCTCATTAGATTGCTGAAGAGGTAAAAGTCACATGGAGATGTGTATGGGGAGTATGGTGCTTGTGGAATCCTGCTCCATTGGAGGTCTTCTAAGGCAGTCTTGGCAACATTACTTGTAAGGGGATGAGCATTGTCCATATTCGTCAAGAAACTGCCTCAAGACATCAATTCTTTATTGCTTCTGTTCCTGAGTGGGGAATCTAGGAACCCATTTTGAGGCTACATAACACTTTTTCAATACTTTAGCGATGATTGTATGGCAAGAGTCATGAGAAATATTCAGAATGGAACTAATCTCATCCAGTGAAATGTGCCTATCTTGCTCAATCAACTCTTGTATTTTCTCAGCATTGTCCTCATTCACAGAACTCTTGGGCCAGCCAGTCCGTGCTGAATCAGACAGTTTATCCCTTTTCCAGACAAGAAGTCATTGTACCATCTACGGACAGTATTATGTCTTGGAGCATCCTGTCCAAAATCACCTTTAACAAGTGGATATGTCTCTTGTAGTGTTTTCCTGTTTTCTACCATATACTGTATCAAGTTTCTTTGCTTCCACTTTAACAACTTGCTAGGAGAATCAATATTTGACATGATTTTTTCTCAAAATCCCCTTTTCACTTTTTCATCTTTTCATCCAAAAAATCATCTATGTCAGCTGAAAATTGTCACAATTGAATATTTCCTTGACTGTGATGTCTTCAAGACAATAGAATTGGCATCAAAAACTGTCAATTTGCAAAATCTGATATTTTAACATGAAAATCTGTTCAATTAATTGATGCCAAATGAAATTAATGTGACATTAAAAATATGACGTTTTTTAGCTGAACCGTGTACCCCGCAATTCTGTTACCATAGCAACCATAATTCAATAACCAATCATAGTTGAGATACAATATTTAGCCAATAGTTGCACAAATATATGTTCTATAGATGTACCAAATATCAAGAAGTAAATCCTCAAAATGACATAGTTAGAGATAAATAAACAGAACTTTTTGACTGACCGAAGTATTACGTCTCTTGCGTACCACCTTCGTTTGTGCAAATTCTCACCAGTTAATTTTCGAATATAACGCGTTGTCGTAATGTTTTAATCGATGTAAGCATATTCCTTACATATTTCTTTATCTTGATGTGAAAAACCAAGCTGTGCCAGGAATCAACGTTATCATTATCCGAAGCGTTGCTAGAAAATTTTGAATCCGCCATTTTTGTTTATCGATTTGGACCAATCAGAGGTGTCATCTCAATACAGGTTTACATTATAAGCGTATGTCATATTTGAACTCTGGAGTTAATCCCTCTTGTTATATGCTATACGGGAATAATACATATACTATAACTGAGTTGCGAAATCTCTCTGTAATAATTTTCTTACTAAATAATCCTATTATTTCAATTCATAATTGACATGATAACAAAGTTTTGAATACTCTTCTGTTTGGTGACAGTTCATTAATAACATTTCCAAAGGTTATATATTAGATATTTACAGATTCTAATTGTTAAATGAAGAAATCATGTTTAACATGTTTAATGCTAATTAAATAATGTTACTTAAGCCCAAGTCACATTGCCTCTGATTCATCGGCCGGCGCCCGGTCGATGAATCAGAGCAAATGTGGTTTAAAACAATTGATAGTGGGACTTCAATTCCTGGTTGTCTTAATATACATAGATGGGTGTCTTTATATTATCATGTTCCCTCAAACGCTTAACCCAACCTCTCTATTAACTATTTAATCATTCCAAAAAATACTTCAAGCAATATTCAAAAAGAAGTTACCTTTTTTATCATATCTGAATGATGGATTTAATATAAAATTAAAGAAATAAATGCATTATTATTAAGATGTCAAAACGATTGACCTTTTAGAAAATAGCCTGGACATGAAATCTGAGCTAATTTCTAGAGCGGTAATTACTTTCAACCCAATTCGTCTCTCTAACTCACCATTGCCTTTAATGTTTTCAACCTTTTTTATAACACTGAATCGCAAGGGAATGGAACATTTGTACTAATAATATTAGTATTGTTGTAAAATTCAATTAACTCTGCAGAAAAGTGTTGTTTTTCAGAAGAAGTAGGGTACCAAAGGTCAAATCGAGGTGAACGTGATATAGGGGTGAACATTTTTGACATTTTGTGAAAAATTGTTCATTTTCTTATCGAAATTATTTTTGGCGCCAAAAATGCTATATTTCCTAAAAGAATCATCTATTATCTTTTAAGCAGATTAAAATCAATGTAAAAGCTTTTCTTGAACTAAAATGTCGAGTTAGCGAGTATTGCGAAAACCCATTGAAATCAATGGAACGCATAATTGAATGATCAACAATTTCAATTTCAACTTGTTTCGTATTTGAAGATATAAAATAGAAATCGGTGGTTTAGTAAGAAAATAGTTAGAGGCTTGACTTGGTATTGTTACAACATACTTTTTGACAATGATTTTGCCTAGCAGCCACATAACAACGGAATATAAATCGAATTAGTGTAATCGAAAAGTTGAGGGTAGTGCAGAATTAGAAAAAATCTTAAATTTGGATAAGGTAATCATCATAACACGATTTTCACAGTTTGCACAAATATTTAGTTCCAGTCAAACCGTTTTTTTTTCGTGAAGAGAACGCGATTCGCGAATATTTGTCCATGATTTTACCTTAATATATTTCCACGCACTAAAGCTGCCTGTTAAATCTTAGGGAAATCAAGATGCTTAATGATTATTATCAAGCTGATCAAGCATGATTACTAAACATTTTATTTTACTTTTTTATGATTTTCATTTTTATTGGCATCAATTTCAAAACTTCCCCCTTACTTGATTATTTTGAGAGATCTGTTTGTAAGACGCCTCTTCATTACAGCTGTGTTCAATCGAGATAACAGCGGAGTCTGGAGCTGTTATAGCGGCCACTTTAGCCAACGGGGGGATTTGTCCCATTACAGGAGAAAAAGTCCTCTCAGGAGACGCTGTCAGGAACACACTTTCGCTTATGTATTCATGTGGAATGTATGACTATTCTGGTCAATTTGCCTTCCACGTAAGTATAATCACGACACTATTAGATTTAAGTTTATAATATACATATAGGCCTACCTTTGTAGAATCGCAACCAATCTGCCAATAAAGTCTTTCCCATGCATATTCTTTTAGAAAATATACTATACAGTATAGGGTAGCCTATAGACACATGTATCTCTTAATTAAGTCAACTAAGATCTTTCAACTTCGCAGAGTATATCTTCCCTATGTGAACAACTTTATGCACAAACCTTAAATACATTTCAGCCTATAATAATACAAGAAACAGAATGACGATTCAAAGAAGTAATTATATGTAGCTATACAGTATGTGGTTCGTTCTCTTACAGGTCGGCTTACCAGCAAAATCGGGAGTAGCTGGGGCAGTCCTATTGGTTATTCCTAACCTAATGGGCATTTGTACCTGGTCTCCTCCCCTGGACAAGCACGGCAACAGCAACAGAGGGATCCAGTTTTGTGAGGTGAGTAATATAGTCGTTCATTTGCTGGTAACCTTCATGCTAGGAGTAAAACGGAGCCAGTGCATCATACTCTAAAACGTACATTCCTTTAATTTTATATGGCACGATACAGTGACATGATTATATTTTCATATGTTTTCAGCATCTACTGAAGATGTATTAGGTCTTTTGATTTATTTTACGAAAAATAATGTCAATGTTCTTGTCCGGAATGCATGACGGAACAGAACACAAAAGTTTGAACTACCCATTAGTTGTCAGCAATGTGTTGTCTTTGATAGATACTGGATCGACTTAAAGATGGCGGTAGTGTTCGGTGTTCTGTTTGGTGTATGTTTTCTCTTTATAGACAAGCGACTAGAACAGAGTAGTACAATCTTTCTGTTGACCTATATTCCCTGTAGTGAAATTGTTTTCAGTCCCGTTATTGGCATATTTTTTGTCCTATGCAGGAACTGATTGACAAGTTTAGCTTCCATAACTATGACAACCTGAAGCACACTACCAAGAAGATGGACCCCCGAGTGAGGAAAGGAGATGTCTCGGCCAATTCCATTGTTGCCTTGCTTTTTGCTGCCTCAAATGGAGACCTATCTGCCGTGAGGAGGTAGATAAATGTTAATTACCATCAGAACAATGCAGGTTAACCGCATTAGCTTTTGATTTGTCCTATTTTCATACGGAATGGTCATTGTTGGGTTTTATTCCTGTCTTTTAATGGATGTAAATGTGTTTTAGATTTGCACTTTCTGGAATGGACCTTACTGAAGGAGACTATGATGGTCGTACGGCGTTGCATCTTGCGGCAGCAGAGGGGAGGCTAAATGTTGTCCAGTTTCTTCTAGAAAAATGTAAAGTCCCAGTTGACCCAAAAGACAGGTATGGTGCTTTATTTGCCTATATTTTTCATTAATGTTAGTTAGTAGGTGAGTTGTCTTTTATAATTTTTATCTAACGTTTTGGTTTGAATCTAACGTTCTTTGAAAATAACTTCACTAAAATCAAAAGTAGCCCGGATCATCTCCTGAGAATGATACTGCACCTCTCAATATCCTTTCTTAAATTTAACACACTTTGGCTTGAAGATTATTTGGAATAATATTATGAAATGAAAACACGCGATCGTTATATAAATAGTTGCCATACTTGGACTGGAGAAGGCTCCATATTTATACATAGGTGGGGCTTTACTCCATCGGACGACGCTAAGAAATTTCAACAAAGTGAAGTCGAGGAGTACTTCTGGAAATACAAACCCGGGCAGAATGAACGTTCTGAAAACAAGACATCTCTAAAAGATCTTGTTCAATCTGTGGTCCTGTCAGAATAAAGTGTGATACGTTGTGCGTGTTTTGGATTAATATGGTGTACATGTATGTATCACCATCGATTCTTCTTAACCTTAAATAAAAACAATCATTGTTAATATACTGGACAACAAAAAGATCATATAGTTTCACACTTCGCCTCGTGTACTTCCAGATGGGACTTTACGCCGATGGATGACGCCAAGCGCTTTGGACATAAAGAAATTACGAATTACCTCAGGCAATTTATCGCAGGGGACATCGGCATAGGGTCTCTGTCACTGGCAGAATCGGGGATAGAAGCCGATGATGAATCGAATTCTATAGAGTAACTGGACGTTTATGTCAGCTCAGGAAATATAATCAAATTAAAAAAACAAGCTGGGCCAAAAAGACAAGAAAAGTTCATAAACAGACATAATCATTCGGTTGTATGGTAGGATAAAGCTCACCCTCAGGACCTGATGAGTACATTATAGAGAATGAGTAATGGGAGCAAATATGTCGTGTTTTTATATGTAACACTCAAGTGCTGTATTTTAAATACTAAATATCATATTAGACACTGACTTAGAGTGAGTGCGCTGCGTGCACCACGGGCACAATAAAAATACGTTTCACAAGCTGGTTTTAGGGAAATATTTCTAACAAAATCATTTTCTTTGATTTGGGTGAAGGAGAAAATAATGTCAATATATTACATGTATATTCTAGAGCTACATATTTTTGTACTGCAATTCTAACAATAAATCTTATGTATAATTGTATTTTGGATACATTTGTTTGTTTGCGAAATGGATATATTACATTAAAATGTCTTAAATTTGTATATAAAAGAGTGAAAATACAGATGTATTGGAGATACAGTGAGGGCATCGCGGGCAACTGTGCATGTAAAATTGTATGAACATTCTTGTCAATTTATTGTATGAACGTATTTTGCCAAGTTATCACTTTTAACTTTCCTATTTATAATTGCGTTGATTTGGCCAGTATCTTTCCCATCCACATGAAACCATGATATTACAAATGCTCCTTGCAAGCTTCATACAGGACACAATTAGAGTTTTTTTTCTCTTTCATGTGTTTTGTGTCGCAGTTTGCAAATATGCATTCTGAATATGATACTAGCTTAAAATGGGTAAACTGTGAGTTCTATGGGCCATTGATGTTAATTGCTTGCATACTTTTTGATATTATTTTATGTGTTAGTGATCATCCTGCAAAAGTGGGGATAGGCTAATGCCTGTTAGTTTAGAGTCTTGGAGGACAGCAGTAGGACTTTTTAATAATGTGGTAATCTCATTAAACATCAAACAAAAGTCCTGTTCCAGAGATAACGTTTATGAATACCTTCTGTTATTAACCCTCTTACTAATCTGTGGAGGGTTATGGATTTTACCTTTCACTAACATTCGTATACTTTTGAAGTCTTTAGCATTTGCCATTGTACTCTTATGCGAAATCACATATATTTGCCTGTTAACATGGTTGCTTCTCAGTATTATAAGGAACCTAGTAAAGTTGCATCGCAACGTCACACTGATATTTGTGAAAATTGTTGTATTTTTAGTGACTCTAACTTGCATTCCAGGTATGTCATTAATTTTTCACAACCCAGGCCATATTGGCAGGTTGTTACTTTTGCTATGTGGGGATATAGAAAGAAACCCAGGTCCAGTTGATGATTTGAAAATACTATTCACAAGCATAAATAGTGTGAAGGCAGATTCTCTGACAAGGTTAGCTTTTTTAAAAGATTTTGCATTAAATGGTGACTTTCATCTAATAGCACTTTGTGAATCAGGCAATGTCACTGATGAAGATTTGAACTCAAAAGATTTTTTCATAAGAGGATATGGTAAACCTAAGTATACTTCAAATGAGGGAAGAGGTCTATTGTTATGGTCACATGATAGCATCGAGGCTAAAGTATGTGAAACTTTTATGTCTCAAGATTTAGCAAATTGTTGGGTAGAGGTTAAGGCTCAACATAAAGTTTTTATGTATGGTTTCTTCTACCGCTCACCATCAATGTCAGCAGATGCAACTAGACTTTACTTAGATTCTTTAAAGTTAAACATTTCTCAAGTGCTTTTGCTACCAACAGATGATGTAATCTTAAATGGAGACTTCAATGCCAGAAATAAAATTTGGTATAACAACGATATTGACAACTTAGCTGGCTCGGAATTAAATAATATTTTACTTGACCTAGGACTACATCAGTTGGTAAATGAACCTACACGGATTACAAATGTTTCTAAATCATGCATTGACCTTTTAATAACCGACTCTGATCATCTTCTATCTGTTAGTGTTGACCCGCCAATTGGAAACTCAGATCACTGTACGATTGTCAGCAAAAAAAATCCAAGAGAACCCTCAATTAAGAAAACCTTATGGCATTTTAAAACAGAATACTCTGATTTTCTGATCCAAAAAATTTCAGAAACTAATTGGGATTTTATTTTGACCAACAATGTCAATAATGCCACATGTATCTCATAAGACTATTTCAAACAGGTATGATGATCAACCTTGGTTTTCCAATAACATCAAAAATGAGATTTACAAAAGAAACAAACTTCACCATAACTATAAATCCACTAACATTTTGACCTAAAATTCAAAGTAAGAAAGTGAACAAATTGATTTCGGAAGCAAAATCTGAACATGAATTAAAAATTCGGGAAAAAAATTGAGAACATTTCCAAAAATTCGGTTGACTACTGGTCTTTAATTCGCGACTTACTTGGAAAAAATCAAGTTACATCAATTCCGGTTTTATTTGACCCTAATTCCAACTTATCAGCAGCCACGAGCTCTGATAAAGCAAACGTTTTAATGAAATACTTTGTAAGCAAGAACATTGTTACTATTCCAGAGAAGTACTCTCCAATATTTAGACCCAGAACTCATCATATTTTTCAGGAAATCGTAACCACTCCTGATGAAGTATTTAAAATTTTAAAAGATCTTGACATTTCTAAAGCACATGGGCCTGACAATATATCTAACAAAATGTTAAAAGTCTGTGCTAAATCTCTAGCAATACCAACTGCTGAGCTTTTTAATAAAATATTTTTCCTGATATGTGGAAAGAAGGATTTATAACCCCCCTTTACAAAAAGGGTGACAAAGGCTTGATTACAAATTATAGACCTGTAACCCTCTTAAGCAGCCTTTCAAAAGCAATTGAAACAATTATACATAAAAACTTTTTATCATTTCTTTTAGAAAATAACTTGATTTATAAACTTCAGAGTGGCTTTTTACCGAAACACAGTACAGTTAACCAATTAATCAATATTGTTCATGATATCCATGCTCAAATTGACAATAGCCAAAACGTTCGCTCTGTTTCCCTTGACCTGACGTCAGCTTTTGACCTAGTTCCGCACAAACTTTTGCTACTTAAACTTAAAGGTTACGGTTGTCAGGAAAACTTTATTAAACTGATGACTTCATATTTATCCAACAGAAGAGTAAAAGTTAAAGTGAATAATAGCTATTCGAATTGGTCCAATGAAAATGCAAATGACAATACAAACAACCCAAATAATTTACATAACAATTTAGTCATAAATGCTAGAGTTCCCCAAGGATCGGTATTAGGACCCCTGCTTTTTCTATTATATGTGAATGATCTTCCTGATAATTTGCATTCAAAAACCTTTATTTTTGCAGATGACACTTCAGTCTATAACTCCTATGAGAAAAGTGAGAATTTTATTAATATCCATGTACACCAACCCATTAAAAATGACTTAGATAATCTTGCCTTATGGGCATATACCTGGAAAATGACTTTTAAAGCACAAAAAAGCGCCGATTTGATTTTCACGGGAACTAGAAACTTAGTTATTGAACCTCCCCCTTTACATCTAGGAAATGAAATGATACCAACATGCAATAGTCATAAGCACTTGGGGCTAATTCTGGGTCAACATTTGAACTTTAATGACCATATTGATCAACTTGTCACGAGAGTAACTTCGCTAATGAGACCAAGGGAAAGATCAATACCCAGTCATTTCAGCGGGAAGTGGCGTTTCGTTCAGTGGATGAGCTGCGCGCGCACGCATAAATGTGATTATCCAATATAATTAGGGGAGGGCTATTTGAAATAGTTTTTGGTCTCAGGCGCGACCCAGGGCTGTTGTCTTAAGGACATTTCGTTGAAAATGAGCCATTCGGCTGATAATTGGTAAGAGTTTGCGATCTTATAATGTATAACTGTTACTCAGACACATATTTTGACACGATTCTGTTGAAAATAAGCTTTGAACCGAGAGATATTCACGATTGATATGCACATTTTTGATTGTGCCATTGCTTTTCCATTGCACAATCCATGTATTGATAGAAGTAACATTAATAATGCAGATTGTTTACCTTCAATACATGGCAGACACTACATATCGGTCTATTAAATACCAGTTTGTGCCTTAAATAGTTTTATATTTCCATCCACGGCCTGGAGCCTGGGTGTGTTTGTCTCTCAAGTTATGTGTATGCTTGTGCATGGACTTCTAATCACTAGCAGAATTTAACGTGATGCAAACTCGACATTATAACTCATGCTGTAACATTTTGACTTCGCTGGAAAACAATAGGAATTATTTTTCTCGCCAATCAATCATACGGTCACAATCAAAATTTCAGAATGATCAATCAGGCAATGGTCCAAGTCAAGTTATAACATTATATGATATTCAGCAAGAAGTCCGGTAGAAATACAGAATATTTAAACATCAAAGCTGAAAGTTAAAAGCTAATCTGTCAATTTTCTGTCTGCAAAAGAGCGTTTACATTTGACACAATAACAGACTGAGGCTTTGAAATCTAGGATTTCCCAGGAAAATATGACGTCATACTAATTAGCATAAGGATTTCCCTATTGGTTTGGGTCGAGCCTTGTTCGAAAACACAATCCATAAATACATGCTAATTTCTAAGGAGATAGGAAGTGTATAACGTGTTTATCGATTTTGTTTAAAGATTTAATCAATTATCAAATTGTTTAAGTGGATAAAGTGGTCACACTTGGTTCAATTCATAGCGAAATCGACGGATGGAAACTGACCGAATTCCCGATATCCTACCCCGTATTAATGTAGGCTATAAGCACAGTGACCTACAGAGGGCGCTATCACAAACAAGTACTGCACGAACCGATAAATTCCCGGGTATTGTAACGCCCTTGATGAGACCTTTAAAGAAGCTTAGCAAACTTCTTAAAAGTAAACACTTGGAAACAATTTACAATGCTTTCATTATGCCACATTTTGATTACTGTGATACAATTTACAGTAAAGCTTCAAATGTTAAACTTCAGTGTTTAGATAGATTGCACTACAGAGCAGCTTGTTTGGTTTCTGGTGTTATACATGGGTCAAACACTGCTTCTGTTCTAAGTTCCTTAAACTGGAAATCCCTATCAACTAGAAGAGATGAGCATTTTAAAATGTTTATGTTTAAATGTAGGTACAACTCTTACCCACAGCTTTCATTTGTGAATTACTTAAAAGTTATGAAAATACTCAGACTAGGCAACTGAGAGATACAAGATATTACTTAATTCCTACAAAAGCTAGCAATTCATTCCGGAGGTCAACTATTTTGAATGGAATTAGAATATGGAATAATTTACAGCTTGACATGAGAAGAGGTCAACCGATATCAAGCTTCAAAAGATTAGTAAGAGATTACAAGAGCCCTGTCTCCATGCTACCCACTATCAAAATGGTGAATGTGCTTTTAACAAACTCAGAGTGGGTCTTCTTTTAAAATCGCAACATATGCTCATAATTTCACCATTGTTAGTGATCCCTTTTGTAAATGTGGATTACCACAAACACCTTCTCATTTTATCTTAAAATGTCCTCTGCTTGTAAACGAGCGTGAAACTTTGCAGGACTGCGAACTTCAGATCTTCATCTTTTGGTTCAGAGTTTGAACACAGTTGACAAAATTTAGTTTCTTTTGTATGGTGATGAAAATTTAGATAATTCATTAAATGAAAAATTAATAGAACTAATGAGTCATTTTGTGAATCAAAGTTTGAGCCAAATTGATCGGTTTGGCTAATTTTTGCATGCATGTGTTCACTCATCCCTGGAAGGAAACGTGTTTATTGTTTGTTAGACACACACAAATGTGATAAATAATATCTTGTTTGAAATTAAACCAGCCTTATTTAGCGATTAACAAAATATATTAATTTTTTATTCCTTTAAAAATGCTCAGATTTCGAAATGCCAATTTAGTTCCAATGATGCCGCTTACGATTTTAATTTTCGAATCTTTTTTGAAATATCAATTATCGTAAAATGGCCCATATATACAGTTGCAACATGTTTCATGTTAGTTCTGTTGCACACCTGTCTTTTTACTAGTATAATATTATATAAAATAATATTATATAACTATATATTATACCTTATATTTCTTCTAATGTTCTTTATTTCACTCTTACGAGCAAATTGTTTTCCTGCGTCTTGGTTTATACCGCCACCTTTTCATCGAGGCTACTTGAACATATTGGCCCACATTTTTGAAATACGGATACAAAATCAAGCAAAATACCAATATAAGATAAGATCGAGAGCGGATTCAATGTTAAATGTCATTTCATATACACTACTGTATGTCCCTAATCATACATATTGGATCAAGTAGAGGTCAATACAATCAAGCATAGAGTAGGACCAAAATTTGATAGGACCATCTACCCTTTTACACCTGGCCACCAATTGCTTGTTTATTTCAGTTATCTACTAATGGGTTGTTCTTCAGCTATATCAATCAGCACATCTTCTGCATTTGATCAAGTTGGAATTTTACTCGCATTATCCAATAATAGCTTCTCCACCAATATCTCTAACAACTCTGACTTGACAGTTTAACACTAATATCACGATGATTGGCAACTTCTACTCGTTTTACTCCTTGCTGAATCTGTCGTAAAATTCACTTATCCACATCGGGGCATCATGAGCTGCTATGAAAGCAGTGAAGGACCGATCTTGAAGGATGCATTGGGGCCGGTTATAACGTGTCCCTGATATGCGATAGTAGTGCTTGCTTTATTTCCTTGTTTACTGAGCACTTATTTCAAAGATATTATTTCACACATTATACCGGTGTAAAAGGGTAGATGGTCCTATCAAATTTCTTTCACACCGGGCCTACATCGCTTTCTCCGCCAATGTTTTTAGCATGACATATAAAAATACTTGAAAAAATAGTATGTCTGCACCCTAAATCAATATAATGGCTGAAAATTGTGAAATGTTAACTTTGTCTTTTGCTGTTTTTAGTTGAATAAAAAGATACAATTTTAATGCAAAATATGAAGTGATTTTGGACATATTCAGAATAGTTAATGAAGTTAATGAATTAGTTAATATATTTCCAAACTTATAACTTTTCTATTATTTCAGCTCAAATAATATTAAAATATGTGGGTGTCACAAATATACTAGGGAATAAGCACACCAAGTTTCGTTAAGATTGAGCTGTGGGAAAGTTGTAGAATGAGAAAATATGAGGGAACTGCAGCCTTTTGTGTGGGGTACTACTAGTTCAGGGTGTCAAAGTCCCATCCCCCCTCTACAGCCAAAACCAAGATATATGGTACCAAGTGTGATATATCATTGGAAAGGTCTTAGAAAGTTACGTAGCATATATCCGACACATGTCAATCAATCTCACAAATTTTTACATTGTATCAATTGAGGTGACCATAGGCCCAGAAACATGGCAATTTGGCGTATTTTGCAGGATTTTAAGAATCGTGTATAAGAAAAGTCAAAGGACCTGAAGATAACTACATATGTAAATGGCAATGAATTTAACCAATCTCTGGGTCGGGTTAGATGTGTAGAAAATAGAGGTGCAAGGAAAGTGGTGAAAACCTTTTTGTAACGAGTGGAATGTGAAAAAGGTTAACTTTTTGACGTATTTCCGAGGTCATATCCTTTTAATTTTGACGCAAAATAGCTGCTTTAATGAGGGTATGCTAAATATAAAGGACATCATGAAAATATAGGTGAATTTCATCCAAAATACTTGAGAGTTGATGACTTAACATAACTTTGGATGACCTTTTCAATGGTATATCACACTAGGTACCATCTATTCAGGTTTTAGCTGTAGCAGTGGGGACTGGACTTATTTGACACCCTGTATATGCAATTTTGTTGAGGCAATTGCCCCATGCCTGAATGCACACATGAACGTCAATTCCTTTGCTCTGACACTTAGCGTCAAATATCAATATATATTTAAAAAAACAATGAAAACATTTGCGATAAAACCTTGGAAATCGAAAATTGAACAATTAACACTATTGTGAAAATCATTACGGTTTTATTATCTTCTCAATTAACGTGTTAAACCTTTCATTGTAAATAGACAAATGCGATTATAATTACATGTTATTAAGTGTAACCCCTTAATTACCAACTGTGAACTACGATAAAATAGTATTATTTACAATGCCTACATGATGAGGATTAACGGGAATATAACAAAGGAACGAAGTCACAATTTTGTTAAACAAAACGGTAATACCTTCAAAAACGTGAAAATAAAAGGATATTTCCGTTTTTCTATATTCATCCCAAACAGCGCCTGGTTTCTTAGAGCATTTAGAAGAAAGCTGCGATTTAAAGTATGTACAAAATAAAACAATATCTGAGTCTTTACACAAAGAACGCATGTAGAGAAGTTATGCGTTATGCATTCGGAGAACTTATCAAATTACTTGTGATGTGAAACATCATTATATGATTTTGGAAATCTTTTTAAACTCAACACATGGTCTTTACACTCCCTCCATAAGTTTGGTAATCGGAAGTACCTTTTTCTAGATCGCGGAAAACCTGTTTATATTTGACGAATCAAAAATCATGAAATTTGGACCATTGCTATAAATTAAGATTCCAATATAAACAGGTTTAACACGCTATCCTAATGACCGCTTCGAGTCGTCAAACAGATGGAGGGGAGTCTATGTCTCAATATTTTCTTTCAGTTTTTGCTGGCTGGGTGCATCGTCTTATTTTTGCTATACGGTGTTATATTTGCATCGATCATTGAGAACATAGAAGACCAACACCAATTCAGCGAACGACCAATTAGTCCATTCTGTACGATCTACCCAGTAAAAAAACAAAATATTCCTCCAAAACCAAAGATCATCAAAATTCTGGTATGGACACATATGCCTAACAAGCATTTATCTAATGAATATATGCTAGGATGTCCACAGAAAAATTGCAGATTTGTTGCCGAGAGCGATGCACTGTTATCAAAACTAGGTGCAAAATTCATATCTCCTGTAGATAAATTTAAATTAAATTTGAAGCTGTTGCAGCGAGCCAATGCTGTTGTATTTCATGCTCTTTCCAGAGAATTTAAAATAGGAGCTATACCTCCCATTAGACCTTACTGGCAGAAATGGCTGTTCACTACTGTGGAAGCTCCAAGATACGACTTTCACAAACATGCCAAATATGCAAAATGGAACCATTTGATCAATTTGACAGTAACAGTTAGATCAGATGCAAGCAAACAGTTACGTTATGGCTATTACAAAATGTTAGAAAATGAGAAAATATTTAAACTACCATCCTATTCTAACAGGACTCTACCAATTGCGTGGGTTGCTAGCCATTGTACCACTGAGTCACGCAGAGAACAGTTTGTACGTAAATTAAAAGAACACATCCCCGTAGATTCATACGGACGGTGTGGAACAATTACATGTCCAGAGAACTGTTTCGACCATATAGGTAAGCCTACACTCCCCTTCATAAATTTGGCAACCGAAAGTATCCACTGCATACCATATCAAACCATTTCAGTGTGTGAATCATAATTTTGTTCCTTGGTTACAATAGTTCGGAATATGACAAATTCGATGAATTATCAGGCTTTGATACATGATCAAAATGGGACATCCGGTTACCAAATTTATGAATGGGAGTGTACCAATTGGTAATGGAGTCAATATATACTTACTTATAATTTTCCACCAGTGCCTATCATTGGCACTGTGTACCTAAATTATGTACGCACCGGAACAGTATGACTGACAAGGGAGATCATACACAAGCATTGGTTGAGTTGATGATTATTTAAAGTCCCCGTCTAAGGTTTGAAAATATTTTTTTATCATTCATTTACTAATTGTCAGGACTTAAAAAGTGAATTTAGAGATTTTTGAACAAACAAAAAATTTTTGAAAAAAAAGTTGTGAACATTTCATTTCTCAAATATTCAAATTTCCCGCCATTTTAAAAAAAAAGTTGAAATTTCTTAATCATCAAATATTTCTTAATGCATTTCAAAAAAGATTATCTTTTTAACACCAATGCAAAGATTGAACAAAGGACACACTATTTCAGTAATAAAATGCCATATTTAATGGGCCACTTCAATGTTTTAGCATATCAAAAATATTTTGAAACATTAGTGATGTCACTAAGGTAGCAAAAACTTTTTGAAAAAAATTGAAATTTTTTTTTCGATGTCGATCTTTTCTAAATATGCTAGACTTTCATAAAAAACCAATGTTGATTGTCTAACCAGGTTAAAAGGAAGAATAAATTATGTTTTAGATATCATTTTACCATTGGTTTCTATGAGAACTAAAATTTTGAAATGCATCTTTCTCAGAACCATTTTCATGCACTGATAAGTTCATTTCTCGCTTGTTTTCAACCGATTTTCTTAATTTTTTCGGCAATAACATGGGAGGATGAATGCTATGCATTGGTATGAATTGTGGCTAATTAAAAGATATGAGTGACTTCTAAAAGTTGGTTTTAAATAAATTCACAAATTTTGGAACAAAAAGTCTATCAAAAACCACTTTTTGAAATTAAAAAAAAAAGTTTCACATATCACACTTTGATAACATTGGGTAAGACTACAATATAAGCGAAAGTGGTTTAAACTTTACATGGGGCCTTTAAAGAAAACATTTTAGGCTTCGATCAATTGCACATTTTCTAAAACGCCAATCACTGGATTAGTTTTTCCCCTTCACTTATATTTTCTCGTATGTATCAACAGTAAAACACTTCACGAATCTATTTCACGGGGTGCCTAATATAATTTTAAAATTTGATTTCAGAAAACAATTACAAATTTTATCTGGCGTTAGAGAACAGTGACTGTCCTGATTACATCACCGAGAAAAGCTGGAAGAATTCCTTCTCTCGCAATCTTATCCCTATCGTAAGGGGAAGCCTCAACGGCTATGCCAGATACCTCCCACCTGGATCGTTTATACACACTGATAGTTTTCCCTCGATTAAGCATCTCGCTGACTACTTATGGAAAGTTTTCAACAATCAAACCTTATATGAGTCGTACTTTAAATGGAAAGACCGCTATGAGGTGGTTACTAGGAATATTTATAGTGATGCGTGCACAATATGTACGTTGCTTCATGACACTTGGGATGTAAAACAATCATGGGAAATAGATGGTTGGTGGTCGCCACATCAATGCAAAAACAATCATACTGATTTTCTAAGCTAGCATTCGCGAATTCAATTGACAACTGTCGACTGACGACTTGACTGCGATTTGATTGTTATTTTGTATAGTACACGTACGTACTGCTGTTCATATTCTTATTTAAATTTGACTGTGGAATGGCGGTCAAGTTGTCAGCCGACAGTTGCACTATCGCAAACTATTTCGATACGTTTTTGTTTTTCCATGATTTCACAAGATATAAGCAGAATCACCACAACCCTTTTTGCACAAACGTGTTTCAGAGTCTTAGGTTTTAGAAAATCCAAGCTTTTGCGAATGTATTTCCTTGTAAGATTGCAAAATCATCAATATACTTCCTCACTAAAGTAACGTTTAATGAATGGGCTAAAAAGTGCAGCATTCCTGAAAACTATGAAAATTATGTTAATTTAACGGGATTTCAGCATGATAATTCTCTAGTGAAATTATAAATTATGTTTACACGCTCAGTTGATAAAGTTAGCAACACAAAGAACAACACCAACACACTGAACGAAAATAAAGGTGTAACAATGATACGCGTACGTAATTATATGTTACTTTATGGGTTCATCATTTATTTATTGAATACTGTAAAATAAATGTTCATAGGTAGGTAAAAACAAATATTCTATATTTCTTTGAAATGCGTAGCCATCGTAGAGAATGTCTAGCAATGATACAATAAAACAAATATTTCATTCTATGTTCGGGCAATACTTGTTGCACTTTCAATAATTTTTGCAGCATGTATTTCCCTCGCCCTACGGACTGCATATTGCCTTTCATAGAATGGAATATTTGCTTATTTTTTATTCACGCTTGGGATATGGACCAATCAGAGAGTGATGAATATGACAGTGATATATTAAATGGAGGTTATTTAATGGGAGGGATCGAATATTGGTTTTATTCCCATGGAAAATATGATATTGGCCAAGGAAAATAGGATATCGTTAACAATATCGTTATCAATAACCGTTTTAATAGTTTAATGAAAATCACCCATTTGCTTGTTATGAAGAGCAAAGGTCAAGGTCATCAAACTATGTCATATACTGATAGTGACTGCCTGGGAGTCCATATCTGGATTTTTTTTATATTTAATGATGCGCCGATGACATTATTTCTCAATAAAATAATATGTGGATGGCAATACCAAAGGAAAATATCGAGTACGATCAATAACGATACGTCAGAACTGGACTCATGCAAAGAAAAACAGAAACAGCAACTCAACATCTCATCGAGTTTTCCAATCAATCGGATCGAATAATTATATTTTCAAAAAGAGTTGCAACGACTTTTTCACCCTTATCGAGTAAAAGTACTCTCGTCTCATAAATCTCGATCGATATTCTCCATTCTATTCATCACTGGTGCGTAAATTTTGTTATGTTGAGTCACGTTTGTCTAGTATAAATCTCTGCTGATTTGAAATGGTATTAAATCCCTTTTCACCAGGGAAATTAATCTTTTAACAAAAGTGCGTGCATCTGTCTCAAAATCTAATCAAATTTAATTCTAGATTTATAAATATGACCATTTTGCAATCTTTTTGAATATTACGTTCCAAATCTGCGCGCGTACTTTTTCATCAATCAATGAGTAATTATTGGAATCTATGCACTTTTTGTCTTTCATTCAACAAAAGACAACCCCCCCCCCCAGTTGATTGATTGATGGATTCCTAGATAAATCAACTACAATTATTTCACGTTTTGATTCACAGAACATAAATTCAATGTCATTAAAAATTAAATACGCAAGGTCTGCGTGCTTCTTCATGTACTTGATGTGGCAAGTGACAATCAATGAGAAATTATTGGAATCTACATGTACTATTATCTAACAAAAAATGTACTATAAATTTGTCTCAAAAATAACCGATGTATGAGTTAATCGATTATGGGCTTCCTAGAGATCAGAACATAATTGATTATTCCCAGCCAATAAGAAATATAACGTAATACAAAAGCGATCGCAAACAAAAGTCGTAGTAAAAAATAGCAACCGAACACGATTGAAGAGGCTGCAGATTGAGAGTGATTACACGTGATCTATTCTTAGCCAATAAGATAGTGAGAAATATTGCCCTATGAGAATAAAAATGTCCCAACTCACATTTTTGTGAAACTGAGAAATCAATTTGTGAAAGTTTAGGCATCTGTAACTTCAATACTATCTATCTGTCATTTGTGAATTTTTTACTTTATTTTTATCAAAAATTTTGTATGCACTAAAGAATTCATGAATCTTAAGATTTTCTAAGCCAATATTTTAGCAAATTAAAAATGGAGATAGGACAATTCAATTTCGAGTTTTTCGTAACATCGAAAGATTAAAGCTGAGCTATGTCCATTTTGCTATGTATTTTCAATGGACACAAATTTCTCTATTTGTTTTTTTAGAAAATAAATGCAAATCTCAGTTTAAAATTGTAATACGAGGGGTGATCAATAAGTAATGGACGCTTTTTTACACAGAAACATTTTATAGACCAATCCCTTTGATTTTCCTACCAGTGATACAGCATTCAATTATCTATCGATTTCGAAGATTTGAAGACAAAATATATAATAGATGTTGATATATACTTATTTCTGTGAAGGAGGTACAGGTACCCCGGGACCGACATTTAGGTCACATATTCAGTTATTAGCCAGTTTGGCAAATTAGATTTTAAGTTAGATTTTAACTTTTTTTAAATGCAGCAAGTGTTGTGTTGATTGAAATATTTTGCTGACTGGAAACACGTAAACAGTAAGTATTGTGATGTCAGAGTGTTGTATGGTCAGGGTTTGCAGGTCAATTTTAGAAAGCATTTTGGAAAAAGGGGTTAGTGAGAGAAGGGAACACCCTACTCCATATGAACAATGCACCTGCCCATAGATCTCAAAATGTTCAGAAAACAATATCCCTGGACCTCAAAATTGAGCCCTTGGCCAATGCACCATATTGTCAAGATCTGCCCACACGTGACTTATTTATTTCTATACTTCTATAGAGAAAGGACGCAGATTTATTGACATTGATGAAATAAAACAACCCGTGCAACTGCATCTTGCTACCATGTCAGAGAATGGATTCAGCCTTGTCTCACAATCTTGAGTTAACCACATAGTGATGATAAAATATTCAAAATCCAACTATGGATTAACAAAATGAGGTAATAAATGACCATAATGGTTTGTTTTGTTCAGCCTGCATTCAACTGCGTTGCATGTTAAACAAGCTAAAATAGCTTCAGAAGGTTTGACGTCATGTCGGTCCCGGGGTACCTATACCTCCTTCACGGAAATAAAGACATATCAAAATATATTACATGATTTGTTTTCAAATCTTCAGGATAATTGAATGATGTAACTGGTAAGAAAATCGAAGGGATTGGTCTATAAAAAGCATCTGTGTAAAAAATGTCCATTACTTATTGATCACCCCTCGTACAAGCAAAATAATTCTTAGTCACATGGTGTTATTCAAACAATTTGATTGGTTAAAGTGTTACATAGAACAAAGTTAAATTGTATTTTTGAACTTTTCATTAAGGTAGGACAATTTGACACTGAAAAGCAGGCTATTGAGAGGAGATAAAGGTAAGGGAATATCACAGCAAGAGAGAGGATGATTTAATTAGTTGAAATCTGTGAAAATCTCAATTTTTTCAAAAATGGCACTTGGGACATTATTATTCTCATATATACGACGATATTTAGAAATGTTCGATGATATATCATATTTTTTTTATGATACATACGAGTATACTGTGCACACATTAAGATATGTAAGCACTAGTAAATATGCATCTGACGCAGAAAACATTAATACAAATGTCACAGTTTTTCAATACTTTTATAAGTTATTAATATTCATTTGAATTTCAAAACCATTTCCTTATTCCTAGCAATTATTGTAAATCGTAACTACATATTTTAGCTCAAGACGCCGAACGAGAAAATAAAATGAAGATCGTATTCATCGCTTTGATGCAATGCCTCTTCATAACAAGGATTCAATCTGGACCTTCGAGCACATTGTTTTCATCAAAAACAACAATCTACGAGACTATAATTAATGGCAAAATGTTACAAAATAGTGAGATCACTACGGTGTTTGTTGAGAATGTGATGCAGTGTCTCAGAGAGTGTAATAAAAGGAATACATGTGTCTCGGTGAATTTTGAAATAATTGACTCAAGTGCTGGCGGCAAACGATGTGTGTTGAACAAAAATATCATTGGAGAAGGATTCGCCTTATTAGATGACACCAACTATCAATACGTACAGATGTCCAAACAACACCTTGTAAATTCTAAAGTAAGATGTTTTCTAATATATTTTTATTCTGTATGCCAAAAAAAGATTGATCTGTGTTTTCCGATGATTATAAATATGTTCGGTGTGAATAAAATCTCGAGATATCCCCATTAAATATACAATGATGAAAATGACAATACAAGTTGTGAATACAATATGATATTATAAGTTATTGAATGATTTGAAGTGCAATACAGGATATATTCTGCTCAAGAAATTCTATATTGGAACTAGACGAAGTTGAGTGCCAATACAGGACTAGATACATATACTAAAAAATAAAATACATGAAATAACATTTGGCAACTAAGTGATTCTCTAGTTTCATAATATGCACGCGTTTGAGAATATGGTGTTTAAACGAATCCGCGATTTATATTTTAATAGTCCCTCGCTTTTGTAAGTCCACGACAAAGAAATGGGCAAAATGGTCTCAAGACCATGGTCTCACATCTTTTAAATTAAGTCAAAACGATAAAACCTTTTTAATGCTTTTTTCAGGCGACGTGCTCCAAAGATGTCCACAGAAGAAAACTATTTTGTGACGCAAAACGTAATTCCAGTTTTTCATTCTCGTTTCTCCTTTCGTTTAATTCAACTAATTTTGATCTGACTCATTTATTAATCCATGTTGTAGCGTGCCCTAAGTAAATATTCCACTTCAAGTTTTGAAATTAATACAATGATTTTGAGACTATTTTCCATTCTCTATCTTTGCAAAGATTTGTACTTTCTTTGCCTTTTTATGATTTAAGTATAATCATTGCATGTTCTATCTAAACATTCAGTTGAAATCAATTTAACTACAGCGCAGGCAACGCCTTTTTATAACACGAACCGGCAAGGGAATGGGTCTGACATTGATCCCCCCGATCCCCCTTCTGCAGATTGAAAACTGTAAATGGAATAGGCTTATTAAACCCAATGGATCCATTGGAAGGCTTGTTCAAACATCCCTTAATTAAGGGTGTACTACTTTTTGTTAGAAAGTAGGTCAAATCATTGAAAATAGGTCAGAGTGATCAAAGGGCCACGCGTTGAAGACATGTTCTTAAATGTTGAAAGCCCCCATGTAAAGTTTAAACCACTTTGGCTTATATCATAGTCTTATCCAATGTTATCAAAATGTGGTATGTGAAACTTCAAATTTCAAAAATGGCGGAAAACTCAATATTTGAAAAATTATAAGATGAACAATTTTTATTCAAGAGTTACATTTTCAAAAAATTCTCAAATAGTTTTTCTGGTCATAAAAAGGAAAACAATATTTGAATGAAACTATAGCTTCAAACTTAGCACCTGTCTTTAAATGGGAAATAAGCATTCTGATCGAGAGTGAAACTTAAAACTATTATTTCTCCGGACCCATACTTATACAGTGTACGTAGAACATCCATAAAAAGGATTTACTTCGATGTTGTTGCTTTATTCTGATGAAAGTATAAATGGAATGTGTATTGGTTTATTTTATGTTATTTTGCAAAAAAGTGCAAAGATCTAGCATTTAAAGTTGACGCCGAAAATGTTTCAAAGTAACCATTCCCTTTCACCACCTAGTTTATATGCCAACAAAACCTTGCCTGTATTTGGGGTTAAAATGTGATCAATAACTAACATAAATAATGAAATAATGTTTCGAATGGAATATTGTGAGAATATACAATATAATTTGCAATTCTATGATTCTGATACAGCATTATGATGCATGAACATTTAAATTTTCCAGCATGTAGCAAAATTCACACACATAGCTACAATGGACACTGCTATGGGTTTGTCGAATCTCCACATAAGTCTTATGATGATGCCTCCCTTTATTGCCAAGCATTTGATGGCTATCTGGTTTCCATTAACGATGAAGCAGAAAATAATTTTGTGAAGACTATTCTTGATGGTTCAAGTGGTTACACATACATGGGTAAGATAAATAGTATTTGGTCACAGAAGTGCATGCAGAAATTTAATCTCTCACTCCTTCTAATTCTTGACCTCGCCTGTATTCTATTGACAATCCCTTAGTAGTTGCGTTAGACTTTCTTTCCATACTTATACAATGTAACTGTAGTTTATTCTTCAAAGCCATTTTATTTTTTTTATTTATCAGTGGAAACGTTTTTAACACAATGTGCATGATTCTTCCAGACACTTAACAGAGCTGATTTAGAAGCATACATCAGTTTAAACATGTTATTGGGTCTGGGTTTTATATACACATTTTGAAAGGCACTTTATACATTTATCAAACTTAAAGGCTTTTCCTTGTCTCCACAATGTAAAAATGCCCTCACCTAAGCCCCAACAAAAAGTATTTCTATCATTACCAAAAAAAGGCAAACAAACAGGTCTATGTAGCCTTGCCCAAGTGGGGTCCCTTTTACTATCTTGATTTCTATTAATAATTCAAGATCAGATAAGTAAAAAATACCGACTTGGGCAAGGCTAAGGTCTATGTTGGATGGATCAAAAAAGGTACATATATGTAATTCCTATAAATAAAAGTTATATTGTACATATGGGCTTAGCCAGACATGATACAGAAGAGACAACTGTAGAGACAATTATAGCTTGTACATGTACATGTAGTGACTAATCAGAGAGTGAATAGAATAATATCTTTCTATTTTCGACTCGCTTGCCCGATACCTGGTTATGTCCATGTTTAGTTACAATAATTCTTTATTGTAGGCTTGAAACAGAAGAACCCATCCGAAAACATTTATGAAACCTGGGACGATGGCACCCCTCTTGGGTTCACAGGGTAAATATGTTGTGGTATTATGATTAATTGTTAGTATATTCCGCCCAGGTTCTGATTCTTCAAATATATCGCCTTTTTAAAAGTGATTTTAATATTGAAGTATACCAAATTAAAAACTGTATATCTACTCCCAATTTGAAAATCAAGGTCAAAATTTTTACAGTATTGGAAAATTGAACTCCATGAACCAAAAACCCTGAAGTAAAACCACATTAAAATAAGTACTTACATACGGGACATATGGTATGTGGTCTGCATGTTATTTTAGATGGTACACTGGTCAACCCGGAGGTGCTAATGAGCAGTGTGTAGTATTTGATCCATCTCTTCAACTGTCATGGCATGACAAAATCTGTGACAACAAACAGTTTATATGTGAGGCACAACAAGGTAACCTATTTTCCATATTGTTTTTACTAAAATGACGCCTATTCACATGAATCACTTCGAGTGAAAAAGTATTCACAGGAAATGTTAGACACAAACTGTTTGTTTTGATCTGTTTGTTGTTTGGGTTACAACATTACATTTTGATGGTTCTTTCGACGATTCACACATGGCTGCATAGGAACTGCCTAAATTCCTAACGTCATATAGATAATTAGATAAAACAAAGGTTTTGTTGTAAATAAATTTGTAAATGACCTGATGTTTAGTGTCAAAAAGAGTCTCACTTTATCACCCTATGCAGACAGAGCCTGTGGGAAATATTGGGTGCGGCGCAAATGAGCGGAGGGTGCGGAGCTAACGGTCATTTTTGAATTTAAAATTGGGATATTTCTGAAACTAAGCCGTTTTGGGACTTCAAATATACCAAGATATGTGTATTTGACACCAAATATCAATAAAATTGTGAAAATAGTAGTGCAATTCATTTTATAGCGACGCAGTATGCCTTAAACATTTCCCAGACCTAAAAATTTCGGAAATGTTCTTCAGATATGAGCCCCCTCTAGATATTGGGTGCGGAGGTACGTTTATGGAGCTCCTCCGCACCCAATATTTAGAGGGGGCTCATATCTGAAAAACATTTCCGAATTTTTATAAAATCACACAGATACTGCCTGGCTTCCACGATGCAAAAACAATTTGTATAGATAGTGTACATTGAACACCATTTTTTTATGAATGCTGGGGACTCAGTATTAAAAGGATAATTTCAAAATATATAGGTCTGGGAAAGGTTTAAGGCACACTGCGTCGCTATAGAATGAATTGCGCTACTATTTTCACAAGTGTATTGATATTTGGTGTAAAATACACATATCTTGGTATATTTGAAGTCCCAAAACGGCTTAGTTTCAGAAATATCCCAAATTTAAATTCAAAAATGACCGTTAGCTCCGCACCCTCCGCTCATTTGCTCCGCACCCAATATTTCCCACAGGCTCTGTCTGCATAGGGTGTTTATGAGCAAATACGGCGCATATTTGCATAGTATCGGTTTGTTGACGACCAGTTTCTGTTCATTTACTGCTAGTGGAAGAATTCCTACATCAAAGTATTTACTAGCGTGTATAAACTGGTGTACGAGTGTTGCATTTTTACGATATATATAATGTTTTTTTTCTAGAAGTGCTAACGTGTTTTTGTACTGTTGAAAAAGTTGCAAGATTCATTACATATCCGCTCATCAACAATTTCTGTATTATAGGGCCCTCGTTGGACTGTTTGAATGGCCCCTACTATCTCCAGCCCAAAAGTGACAACTCAAGCTACATTGGGGTACTGAACACAAACCAACTATGGCTCTCTAATCAAACTACCACCTCGGATGCCTTCTTTTTTCAAACACCTGGAAATACACGGCAAAACCACTCGGTCTCGCTCATTCCTGACGACAAAGCGGGGAACGTGATGCATGTAGCTTCTCAGACTGTCTCACTACAGAACGAGGATGATCATGCTTCTGACATCAATTTTCCGCACGAGTCAACACTCATATTTATTGAAGATGAATTTTGGCCAGGATTTATAACATTACACTCGTCTACTGGGGACTATTTGACAGTTTCAGGAGGACAGTTGGTTGCACAAGGGTATGAGGATACAGCTTCATTCAAAAGTAGTGCAAGCTTTCAGTTGATAGTGTCTCCTTGAGAATAATGCAAAACTGTTGCGCTTTTGACTTGTCCCAGCTTAACAGCAGCGTTCAAAATTGCAGCGACAATCAGTTTTTATGTCATCACCAAAAAGTTGTGACATATTTTTATGGTCTCCATTTTTTGTGACGGCGGTTGGCGTCTTTAACAAATGGTGGTGACATTTTGAATGTTAATGCCTTGTACTATTGACAATAAACTTGTAACGGCATTGTAAATTGGCCAATGCGCTTGTGAAAATGGACATGGACTTCACACTTTAAAACGTTGGCCAGGTTGTAAATAGGACAATGGATTAAATCACATGTATGTAAATACTGAATATGTTGATTGAATCGTTTTAAAAAGGGGACTCTTAAATAATTATTCTCTAGAATGGCTAAATGACGAAAAAGGAAAACGTAAATTAAAGAGATGCTAATGAGACTTCTCCGTGGTATTTTTTCTTTATTCCTTTTTGTTTTGAATTGCTCACACCATAACATGAACTAACTACTCAATATGCAACTTTTCACCACGTAGAATTTTAAAATATTAAGTTATTATTACATTATTATATTAAGAAAATTCCATATAATGGAGCTCAATGGGAAAAACGATATAATTTGAATTATTTTCAAACGTAGCGACGCGATTTTCTTGAAATTGACAGATATATAAATATTGTTAAGCCAAATGTTTGAGGAAAAATGAACAAAATTCACCGTCCTGGTTACGCAAAATATAGAAAAATGTGAAATAATCATAAAAACCTGTAAAAATAGATTGAAGAGGTGATATTCATTTTATGTGCCTTTCACTACTACAGGGTAACCATAGTTTTGGTAATGGTTTACTAATTTTAAAAGCATATCTTTCAGCATATGTATCAAGCACATTAAGTAAAATACAATAAGTGTGTTATCATTAATTGGAATGGTATTATTGTATTCCTTAGCAATGATGACAAAAAGGTAAAATCGATCGATCATATCACATACTAGTTATTACCATCAAACCGATCTATTATAATGCATAATAAACAATATAGCAGTCGATCTTCAAATTCAAGAAGTGAGCTAAATTGTAAGATAATAAATAACTTGCTAATCCCTTATAACTGTATAATCCCCTTCTCCAAATCATACTGAATTATAATTATATATGTTGGTATGCTTATTTTAGCTGCTAAAGTTTAGGTCACTTGATGAGATATTCAGTAACATGCTGTCACTAGAGACAAAACTTGACACTAAGTAATCACTCGAAATAAACGATATGAATCCTTCATATTTTCTTCTTAATAATACATCAATTCTTGAAAATTAGCATTCAAAGCTTTTCAATGCAATCATGAATTTAGTGATCTGACCCCTAAAATACTTTTCAGGGGGAATAGTTTGTCCATCTGTAGCCATTAGGTGTAGCATCTTTTTCTAGCCATATTTTCCTAAGTCTACTGGAATACCTATTTCATTGTTCAAGTTTAGCATTGTTTTCCCATTGATCATTTGAGTTCTCATGTCAATAACATATGGAAATAAAAATGATAAGATGTCAAACAGGTGAAATCCTTGGGATATATGAATTAATTAATTCATATTCATGTTTCTACAATTTAGGGTTACCCTGTGTTTTATTCTACTGTGCATGGTTATACCGGTGCGAAATATTACAAAACATTATTTACTTATTATCATTTATCTTCAAATTTGTCTATAATATAGTTTGCCTATAAGGTTGGGCAAGCCGTCCATAACGTTGATAGTATACAATTGTTGACCTCTCCAGAGGTCAACCGGCAAAATTGTATACCGAGACTGTAAACCGAGAAACTACTGTTGACAGAGACCGAAGGTCGAGGTCAACAGTAGTTTCAAGGTTTACACAGTCGAGGTATATGATTTTGACGGTTGACCGAATGGAGAGGTCTACAATTGTTTTGTTAGCCCGAAAAACCTAATAATACACATATAGACAACAGTCATCAATCATGGCTTCATTTCACAATCTTTTCTCCGAATCACGCCAGCAATATTTTTTTAAGAAAATCTGAAGACAGTTGTAGCTAAACTCTCTGTTTTCGGTACATCACTGCGTACTCACTGGTAAATTAATGTTAAGGATATACCAGTGTAACCTCCGAAAAAATCGACCATTTTCAATCTCAACGAGACTAGGTTTTTATTATAGACATAGATGAAGCGATTCGAAATATGTAATAAAAAGGGTAGGTCAAAGGTTTAGTTTTTTCACAAGAAGCTTCTGAAAACAGTTGTGACGTTATCCTCATTTGAACATTTGTGGCGGCATTGATTTCACAGCCAAAAATATATTTTTTCTATATTTCTTTGATAAAATGATGATTTAGGAAGTATTGACGATTTTTGAAGCTCCTAGATAAACTTCATTTATCTATAATTACGTTAGTTTTAATTTTGGCACACTCAAGACATTTTTTCTTAGTTTTTCTACTTAAAGTGTTTCCCCTAACCCAAACCTATTTGTCAGATTTTGTAACGTCTTTCCATTAAAAAATGAACTTTTTCATTTTCACATTCTGACACGTTTTGAATCGAAAATTACGCAAATTTCCAATCGATTGAGGTATTTGTTTTATTTGCTCATTTTAAAAAATGTGTTCTCGTGTTTATTTTGATATAAAGAAAACATAGGGTCAAAGGTCTGTTTTACGCTTGAAAATGCCGTTGAAGTTTGATGTGATTTGACGATGATACAAAAGCCACTGGTCAATTCGCGTCATAATTTAACTAAATATATGACGTCTTTCTCAAGAATTAACAAAATCGACTGCTCACAAAAACATAAACTAGCTAAGTCCACATGATAAACATCATTTCAAAATATTATAAATTATGAATAAATTGACGGCTAGATGCCCCAGTAAGACATTCATTCAATAAACGATGATAATTAAAATGGCAAATAATAGCTATATTTGTGTCCTATTCTAATACGCTAATATTTCTGTTCATTTTTCGGGAAAGGATAACGTTACATTTGAGTTTAACAATTGTGAAAACTCAACATGTCCTGTCTTAATGAACTGCCTTCACAAGTATAACCTCGCAGATCAGGCATGAATGATTTCACTCGTGATATATAGCATGTGTGCTTTTTGATGATTTTCGGGTGGGGTTGTACATTCCCTGTGCATTCCTCACCCCGAGGTCCCCACTTATGTAAAGCTGTCGGATTTGAGCAAGATACGTCTACTGAATGTAGTACACGAATAATGTGTTTTTGTGAACGGCTATGGACGTTTTTCGCATTGTATCCGGCATGTCCGATCATGGTCGTTAATACTTACTGGGGAAAATATTTTTAACTGGTAACTATAATTATAAAAAATATAGAATAATAACATAAATTGAACAAAGGTTTGAATGGCTTGTTTGACATGTTTGATGGTATTTGGTTTGACAGAACGAAACAAGGTAATGATTTCAATAGAAATACATATAAATGAATGTTCATGCACGGATCCTTTAAGTGTCCGTGGTTCATGTAATAAGTGTATACATGAATTATAGAAATTCCAAAATAGAATACTGTATTTTACAGTTACCTTTTGATATTAAATACCCCTGGTCAATACATAGGCTATAGACTATAACTTAATGAAAACTCATACAGACTGAATCGAAATAAGAAGCAAGTTACAAATTAGATTTGTCGTGTTTGTAATACATGGGCACATACACATATACTGCTGGGATAAACGAAAGAAACGGACACGAAACTTGAATGAAACAAGAATATACAAAAAATTACTGAATTATTTGGAAGAATTGATGACGTATAGTTCATTTGTTTGTTTATTTGTTGATGGGTCAATATGTCGATGACGTCACAGATAATGGTATCATATTCCGAGAACCCATTAACAAAAGTGTTATATGACGTCATGATAAAACAACATTGAAAATGAGAATCTCATAGTTGCTATGGATTACTATGTCGCAAAGCGTCATATATCGTCATTCTGCGTCCTTGATATTTAATACAGAACACTTGTCAAACGTGAAGTTAACAAACGAGCTTTTCATAGAGGTGTTAATTTTCTATTTCTGTAATTTAAAAATATATCACCATTGTCGTAAGGGTTACACTGGTATATCCTTAATTTTACGTTTCTATTTGTATTTTTGCTATAATTGTCGTCTAGCAAAGTCAAAATATCACTTTCATCAACGTTTAAAAAATGTCCGTCTACCATGTTTTTTCTGTAAACATTATGACGTCATATTCCCCATAATTCACAAGTGAAGTACAGTAACATACGCGGTCAATAATATGATATCCCATGATGCACAGGTGGGGTACAGGTAAAAATGTTGACCGCCAATTGACCAATCAGATGCGAGTATTTACACTGAGGTACTAACAATATAAGATGTTGATTTTGCAAAGCTCTTATGTGCTAATTCTTCAATATGCACAGTAACATATATGTAAAGGTGCCAGTATGTAGTCCAGTATATAGAAAACAAATGAGTATTTTGGTCAACTCATACATCTGATAAACACTAGCTACATGAAGTGTTCTCTATGCAATGATTATATACAGGCACGTATTCATTGTTACTGCGAATTTCAAAAGCCTCCAAATTGTGTGGAATAGAGCATGCAATGTTTTTCAGTTTCAAGCAGGTTTTAGTACATTCTGACCAATTGTATTTTAAGACTTATCCATTTCATGATTATGTAATACTGACCTACTTATCTGTTTAGTTAAGGAATAAATAATGATAGGCCATTCAATATGGTGAAATTCAGCACGAGTTGGACAGAATGTTGTACAAAGCACGAACCGAAGGTGGGTGCATTTGTACTAACATTCTGTCCAACGAGTGCTGAATTTCACCATATTGAATGGCCTATCATTATTTATTCCGATTCAAACATAAAAATTAGTAAAAGCCGTGTCTGTGGAACGGGCATGAAGGAAGAATACGCATGCTGTCAAGATTCTGAAGTCGGCCGGAAAAATTTTAGAATTTGTTTGGGCTGTTCTATTTTACTCCCCGTTTTAGATTT